CGAACGAACTTATTTCTGTGATTCGTTGTGCAGGACGTCGGTGTTCTTGAAGGAGTATTTACCCACTTACACAGGCTGTAGAGCTTGTTCGGAGCGGAGAAAATAACGTCCGTGCCTACTTTGTTTGCTATTTTCTTGAGGCCATGAGAAAAATGATGGAGATATGGCACAATCACTGGTCTTTTTGCCCTGTCCCGATGACTTTTCTTAATTCGCTCATCATGCTTAAAATCTCTGAAAAGTCCTTCCGCCACTGATATTAACAAGGATGGTGGATATCCAGCGCGTTTTAATCTCAACACTTGCCCATCAAAGCTCCTTTGGATGGAATGGAAGCATGACTTCGTAAGAGAGTTCTTAAGGCACAACCGCGCTATGCCTCTCTTTACGAGTTTTGAATGCGCTGAGTTGAATGGCAGAAGTGGCTTCTTTCCCCTTGGCTCGTAAGTCCAGCACGTATGGTACGGTGACGTACAAAGACGAAGATCTAAGAATCTTAAACTTCTTTCACTTGGAAGTTCGTGGGTAACCTCCAATGGGTTCATGCACCTTTTGAAATTGTTGAGAATGTCTGGTACCAAGGCTGTCAGATTTTGGTCATCGGTGGCGAGGACAATTAAATAATCGTCGACATATCTGAATACTTTTTTAACTTTTGACCCGTCGAGGGTTTGGTTTAAATTCCTGTCAAGGTGTGCAAGATACAGGTCACTGAGGATAGGTGCAATGCACGAACCAATACACACCCCTCTCTTCTGTAGATACGTATGTCCATCCCAGGTGGCGAAGGTAGATTTTAGATAGATGTCAAGTAAGTTTAAGAATTTGCTTTGGGATAGGCCTGCCGCATTCTGAAAGGCGGTAATGCCATATGTGTCTATGCAGTCCTCGATACACCTTAGGAGATGGGGTTGGGGCAGGGAATAGTAGAGATCCTTGATATCGATGGAGAATGCTCTTAGATCTAGGTCGCTATTTTGATCGAAGAAGCTGATGACGTCATAAGAGCTATGAATCAAGTAAGGATCATCGATGACTAGCAGCTTCAGTCTTTCTTGCAAAAATACACCTACCGACTTCTGCCAAGTTTCCCTTTCTGAAATTATTACTCTAAGAGGGCATTCCGGTTTATGAGTTTTGGCGCTGAAGAATAATTGAAGGCTCAAGTTTTTGCTGCGTTCAATTCTGGAGCAAAGTTGATTCAAATTCTGTGACTGACAAAACGTTTTTGCTACCCGTTTAACTTTTTCCAGGGAGATCTCGTCGTGGCTGCTGAAGACAGATTCGACCGCTGTTAAAGCTTTTTCTCCGAACGTCTCCTTGTGCATGAGCACAAAACCGCCTTCTTTGTCAGCTGGCATAAGTGTCAGTGAGTGTTCTTTGAGGTATGCTTCTACTCTCTTGATAGGCAGAGGTGTAGCTGAAGGCTTGTAACGAACGAGCATGTCCACTCCCTCGGAGGTGCATCGATCTATCTCGGTCTCTGGAGCTCGTCGCGACACTTGCCTAATGATGGAGAGTAGCTCCGGTGCCGTCTTCTTGGGTTCCACTGCAAACTTGGGGCCCAAGCTTAGAACGTGCTTCACAGAACTTGGTATATCAATGTCCCCTAACGTGTGTACTGGGTTACTTGAAGCCGTTTCTTTCTTGGGTCGGGTGGTCCGGAGATGCCTTAACGTGAGTGTCCAAAGATGCTCAGTCGTACCTTCCGTTAAAGAGGCGTAAGTTTGCCATATTCTTCTGCTGGTAGAAAGAGTGGTGTCCTCATGCAGTAGTGAGAACAGGCTATTTCGATAGTGCCGTGCCTGCCTATGCCACTCGGCCTGGAGTATTTTACAAATTCTCTTCCCGTGCCCTACGGATGGTAGGAAGCCTCCGAAGAGGGCCATGACCTCAGGGGGCAACATCTTTACTCGTATGCAGTACCCAAAGGATCTTGCTTGGCAGACACATATGGCGATTAAGGTGACAAGGCCGTTACGGTCCAAGGAATGATGGCTAAAAGGGCCCGATGTACTAGAAATGAAGCTTGTTAAAACAGAAGCACCTATCCTCAGTGACCTGTATCTTGCACACCTTGACAGGAATTTAAACCAAACCCTCGACGGGTCAAAAGTTAAAAAAGTATTCAGATATGTCGACGATTATTTAATTGTCCTCGCCACCGATGACCAAAATCTGACAGCCTTGGTACCAGACATTCTCAACAATTTCAAAAGGTGCATGAACCCATTGGAGGTTACCCACGAACTTCCAAGTGAAAGAAGTTTAAGATTCTTAGATCTTCGTCTTTGTACGTCACCGTACCATACGTGCTGGACTTACGAGCCAAGGGGAAAGAAGCCACTTCTGCCATTCAACTCAGCGCATTCAAAACTCGTAAAGAGAGGCATAGCGCGGTTGTGCCTTAAGAACTCTCTTACGAAGTCATGCTTCCATTCCATCCAAAGGAGCTTTGATGGGCAAGTGTTGAGATTAAAACGCGCTGGATATCCACCATCCTTGTTAATATCAGTGGCGGAAGGACTTTTCAGAGATTTTAAGCATGATGAGCGAATTAAGAAAAGTCATCGGGACAGGGCAAAAAGACCAGTGATTGTGCCATATCTCCATCATTTTTCTCATGGCCTCAAGAAAATAGCAAACAAAGTAGGCACGGACGTTATTTTCTCCGCTCCGAACAAGCTCTACAGCCTGTGTAAGTGGGTAAATACTCCTTCAAGAACACCGACGTCCTGCACAACGAATCACAGAAATAAGTTCGTTCGATGCACGGAAAATGTGGTATACTCCTTCCCCCTGTCCTGTGGAAGAACATATATCGGACAGACGGGTAGGTGTTTAAACCACCGCCTTAGAGAACACAACCTGTCCACCATCAACAAGAACTCTGGACATGTTGGCATACACATTCGGGACTGTGGGTGCACAGCGGAACTTGACAAGTGTGTGGTGTTGGCAAGGAGTCGAGACCAGCTCACAAGGGAAATAATAGAAGCGGAGAACATTGCCAGACAAAACGGCAGGTGTATTAGTAATCCATCTATAGCGCTGTCACAAAAAGAGCTGGATTACTTAGCTTTGCATCATTGATCTACAGTAATTTCAATTTTAATTTTCATTTCATTTTTCCATTTAAGTTTTAAATTTTAATTTTCAATTTCTGGCTTAAAACTTTTACAGTTAACCGTTAGCAAAGAAAGAAAAAGATGAGGCCTAGGTTATGCATTAGACGTGAAAGAAGAGAAAAGGCGGGAATATACAAAGAGTTGAAGTCAGCGCTGTGTAAGTGTCCCTTTCTTTCGGTGTGACTGTGAACGTTGAGTGTTTGTTACGGGTGCGCTGTGTCCTCGTGTGGCATGTAGGGTAGTGCGAAGATTCGAATAGTAGTTTCGGATAATGCGCTATTCGCTATCAACTTCGATATGAACTACGGTATTTGCACTCTTCACAATGTTGGTCGCGGCGACTTAGTTCCGTTGAGTGCGCTTCTTACCGAGCAGCGGTGCACTGCGGGGAAGCAATACCGCACCTTCAAGGCGGCTGCTACACGCGCGCGCCTGGTGTATTTAAAAGAGAAACATAAACTTTGTGAATGCTGATTTCTACGTGGAAGGAAGTGGCCGAGTGTGGGGGGTAAATTGTTTACTGTGTCAAAAACCGGAGACTGTAGAACACGTCTTTCTAGATTGTTGGGATGGGGTTTTTTTTTGGGACGTGCTGCAACGCACATTGAAAAAGGATTTTCCGTTGGATCCACAGGGTATCGGTATCTAAGCATTGAAAATGATAATTGTGTCCCTTACGACTTGGTTATGCTTTTGGGTCTACACAGCATCTGGAAATCGCGCATGGCGGTTCGTCATGCAGAAGTTGATGCTAGGCCGGTCTCTGATTATTTTTGTGTTTCTTTGCGCAACGTCATTGAGGTGTGGAAAGCGCAGGAGTGTTGCCCGGATTGGGTGCCTGTTCTAGAAGAAGCGCTGCCTTTGAAACCTTTTTAATTTTGTGTATGTAGTGTTTGTCTAACCATCGCGTCTACTTTTATCATTCTGTTCCTCTTTTTGTTGATACTTATGCCTGGCAATAAAGAAGAAAAAAAAAAAAGGAAGTGGCCGAGTGAGCTAACGCGTCTCAGCTCGGAGCGTGGAGCGAAAGCTTGCGCTGGGAACCTCCTGGGTTCGATCCCCGCCGCCCCCGCCCGTTTCGATCTGGATGAGTTTCGTACCGACACGCGTTCGAGTCATCACTACTGCGTGATGCACGTTAAAAACCCCAGGTTAGCGGTTGTACCACACTGGCCAAATTTCTCATCTACAGCTAAGAGACCGATTACCCGTAGAGGCGCATCTCCATCAAGGCTGTATAAACATAATGAGCAAGCCAATTTTTTTTTTAATTTTTTTGTGAATGCTGATTTTTACGTGGCAGTAAGATGTTCAAATGAAATCGTGGCTATCATGATGTTAGGCAGCGGTTTCCTGACAAGCTGCGTTCATCATTCGCGTTTCTCTGCCTTTAAATTGAAATTGAAGAAAGAATATCTGCATAGGGCACGGTTTACAACTTTCTTCAACTAGATATAGCCGGGCATCGCTGTGGGTATATTTTCATGTGAAATCCGTCCTTTAACTGAGCCTAGAAATGAACAAGTGCAAGCTTGGAATCAAAATTTACAAGTCCAGCTGGGTTTTCGTTTAAGGATAGTGCAACAGAACTGAAAGGTTTGGAGAGGGGTGCAGCAGCTATTTGAGATTCGATTTGAAAATATTTGGCCCAAAACCACACTTCGCTTCGAACTCCAGATCCATTATTTGTATGTGTCTACTGTTACGAATTAATAATATATAATTTGACTCATCACGCGAGCAATTCACTAGGTAATTATTTGTCAGAAAACTCGTTGACAGCGCCAAATCTCACCGAATTCGAAATTCAAATTACAAAAGACCTCGCTTCTCGACCCCTTGACAGAAGAAAAAGAGAGTCTGACATTGATGGAAAGTCTTTCAATTCAAGTTTATTTCGACGCATAAAACTCAAATACAAAATGCGTGGACATCAGTACTACTAACAAAGGACGGGTGCTTCTAATCCCGCAACTAGTGAAACACCTGACTCACAACACTGGGCTCGTCTGTTATCGAAATACTCCCATTAAATAGTCCTATGGCACACTGACCTCTACACAAGGAGCGCCACAAAACAGCAGCCGGTGTCAGCCTCAAGAGCTACGAGATCATCCTCTTGGTACTGACAGTACAGATATCCATTTAAAACATTCACTCACATTTCACTCAAACCACATCATATTGCACAATCGTGAAAAATGCCGGCATGTCGACTGGAAATAATATAACACGAGACGGAAGAATCAATGTCTGCATGTAGCAAGCGGATTTTGGATTGCGAAATTTCAAGCCATCGCTCCTCCCATAAAAAAACAAATAAAAAAAACGTCCTTGAGAATTTAAGTGATGCTAATGGCTGATTTGTGCAGATAGCCATGTTTGGAGCCGCTAGAGAGGGGTGGCACTATGTGCAACTAAGTGCCCATACTTACTCCGCATAATTATTTTGAGGTAAATTAGATTACGCATACAAAGATTATCTTCAGTCTGATCGACGGCAGCCATGACAACGTTTTCCAGTTGTAACACGATCCGCGCCACCTCCTAACAGCAACTCCAAACAAGTCCCTCGATCGTCGTGAGTCAGTCGTCTGCTTTGGAGCCCATCGTTTAAAATGTCCAGAATGTTCTCATTTTTTGCAGGACTGAAGCTACACCTTGAAATTTCACAAGGTAAAATATCCCACTAATATACAACCTTAATGAGATTTTGGGTTTTCTACGTGCAGACAACCATTTTTCCTGCTCGTTTTCCAGCGTGCCTCAGGATCAAAGACCCCCCGTATATACACAGTTCTCGGGGGCATAGCACCTTCAAAAGGCTACAGCTGCTAACATCACAGTACTGCAGAATGTCGACGTCTCTATTTACACTCCATACGGACAAAAAGTGCCCCAAAATGTGCATAACTCCCAACTGATATAACGAGAAAAGAAAAATTAACAACAGACCTGCGTGACACCACGGACATAAAACACAAATCAACCTTTGCGTGATGCAATCAACGCCATTTGTTCCTGCACAGTTCGGTTGATTCTTTTTAATGCCGCGGGAACCACATAAGCTAATCGTGAAAGACGACATGGAATGACCGCATCGTACCAGCGATGACCTCTGCAGCTAATGCAGAGGAAGACAATGGCAAACTCCGGCACCTGAAGAATAATTACATAATTGCAACGTTGCAAACGCACATTTCACTCTGTTACAGAGAAACTGCCAAAAAAAAAAAAAAAAAAAGGTTGCAACTCGAAAAGTGTGTCATGGAGAATCAGAACACAGTGTCGTGGCTCTTTCGTGGAAGCAAACTGTGACGCCCGAGTTCACGCGATGCAAGTCACCTAGAGAGCAATAATGCAACTTGAGGAACTAAGAATGTATGCATGATGTGTTTCATAGCATGTAATGCACAAGAAATGCAGCTTTGTTCCTAATCACTAAAAGCAAAGGTTGCAGAAGGGCTGTTTTAAAATAGATTCAATTTGTTTCAGTTCAAAGAACCTCGGCTTTTTATATTACAAATATACAAACATTTTGGGGCCGATGTAAACAAATAAAAAAATGGCACAAAACGTAAACAGCAGAAAGAATTGCGGGAGTTTTTTAATGTTCTCGAAACAAACTCGAGCTGTTAACCTATTTGCAGAGACACTGTTTGCTGATAGTATTTCCACCTTTAATGAGAATATAAATGGTAAGAAAAGTTGCACTCAATAAATCAAAGACCAGTTCAGTTAAATGGCAGCATTTACTAAGGGGTACAGAGCATATATGACACGCAAGTGTTCATAATTTGTTGTTCCCTCAATGAAGGCACCTTTGTATGATTTTTGATTCCAGCATTTCACAAAGTGAACCATTTCTTTTGTGCAATAACAGCTTTGATCAACCCAGCAAACATCTCTCCTCCCCAAAAAACATATATCGATAAAGAGGGCCTATTAGCTTAACAGACATTTGATCATTATAATTATCCTGAGCTCGACTGCAATAGTAACTGACTGCAATTTTATGTATACAAAGAACAAAGAATAAAATCAAATAAAATTTTAACTTGAACTATAACACACAAATATAATTTGTCATAGTTTACCAGTGCCAATCTCACAAGTCATTCTAGCAGAGCAGTAAAGTTTGCCATTCTGCAACCCTGCTTGAAGGCATTGATCAATACGCAAAGAGGCAAGCAAAAGCAAGAAAAAAAAAACATTTTTTTCACACTTAAACATTGCACTTAACCCTTTGATGCCCAGAAGTTTAGTTGAAATACTGGAGACCTAGAAATCTCGACATGGTTTTAGAGCACACAGAATAACAAAAATCTGGTCTCAGAAAAATATTACCTTTTTTCGTAATTATGTTTTCAAAATGTTGATTGTGAGCAACATTGGGCATTTGCAGCATTATTTTATGCCCAACGACCGAAATCAGTTACGACCCAGGAGTAGGCACCAGGTCCACTTCGCATTTCGCACGGTAGAGACACTTGTAACTGGACTTGCAATATTTGCACCTGTTTTCCTTCCCAGAGTTTCGAGGCGAGTGGTGCACTCCATCGTAACTCAGATACCCTGTCAGCTATGGCTTCAAAGGAAAAGTGATCTGTTTCGAAGACGCGATTCGATTCTTCAGTGCTAAGCGCGGGTGTCCTTGTTCTTGCGACAGAGGGCACTAAATTTACTGAGGTGCACATGGCATGGGAGAAATTAAATCACTCTTGAATTATTGCTCCCGAGCAATACTGGGCATCAGAGAGTTAAAACATCTCCAAGCGTGCTTTGACAAGGTCGATCGACGCCAATCAGTAACATAAGCACCTTGTAAACTGGCGCATAAAATTAGAGAAAGGGGTCAATCAAACTCGCTGCAAGCATGAGTCGGCAAAACTTGCTGCGTTGCATAAACTTGAGCTAGGGTAAAAAAACAACGGTTTTGCTACCAGTCCCCCCCCCCCCCCCCCTTAAGTACCAAACAACAAAAAGCCTGAAGCAAAAAGGTCTGCGACACCGAAACCTATAAAGCAGCTCGAGGCTGGTGTTGGCAACAAGAGGTTGCTCAGTTTACCGTCCCCGAGTACTACATCGTCGCTTATAGTCAGCGACTATGGTAGTAACTACCAAGTAGCTTCCACTTTCCTTCAGAAAGCCAATATGTCATTTTTGTTGCACGCCTCGCAGCCGTCTGCAAATGGAAAACGTGGGAAGCTACCTTTGAACCAAGTATGCCATGTGGCTCTGTGAAATAAACTTTAAGAAAGTAGTGATCTATAAACCATCTCCGTCAAACAGCCTTCCAAAATCTTCAAAGATGGATGCCACTAGGAAAGGCAAATCGGAGAGGAACACAACAACAATGACCGGCCGGACAAGCATGGTGGAACATCACAGTCATCTCGAAAAACGCTTGTCGAGCGAGCACTGCAAGTTCAGCGAAACCTTTCCAACTTTGGTGCACACTATCATTGCCCGAATTCGGGAGGTGCCAACCCAAACAGCACAAAATATTCTGCAGACGTCTTCAGGACGTTATAATGTCCCATGAATGTCCTGTGGACATTTTAGGGAAGTTTTAATGTGCCATCGATGTCCCCAGGGAGTTTTAATGCCTCACACATGCCCCGTGGACATTAAAATTGACCCATGAATGTCCCATCGGCGTCCACAGGACATTTTATGACCTATGAACGTTTCATTGACGCTCACCAGAGGTTATAATATCGAAAGAATGTTCTGATGACATTATAATGTGTCATGGATGTTATAATGTGTCACTGATGTCCTCAGGCAGTTATAATGTCTCAGAGATGTCCTAAGGATGTTATAATAACTCATGAATGCCTCATGGATGTCCTTAGGACATCATAACATTCTATTGAAGCCTCCAGGGCATTATAATGTCTCATAGATATCCTGAGCATTTTAATGGACCCATCGATGCCCCATCAACATCCACAGGACATCATGATGACCCATGAATGTCCCATTGACATTCACAGGATGCTACAGGTCTATATAATGTCCTTACGACATCATAACGTATCGTCAACAACCTAAGGGCATTACATTGTCTCACGGATGTCCTGAAGACGTTGAAATGATCCATAAATGTCCCATCAACATTCACAGGACGTTATGACATCAGATAAACGTCATGAAGACGTTACAATGTCGCACGAACGTCCCACGGACGTTTGCAGGGCTACACGAGTTCCGTCTTGCAACTTGACACGTGTTGCTTCGGTGCTCAGCGAGCCCTGCATTGGGAAGCATCCGACTTGCGAAGTTTGACGGACTCGCCACCTCCAGTTCTAGACTTGCAGCGCGAGGGTTGCACCCCGATCGGTGTTCAGGTCCGAACTCGGTTGGGGTGCTTGACTAGTCCGTTGGAGAGCACCGTCCGGTGGTTTCCGGTGAGCGGTTTCACCGCCACCGACGGCCGAGGTCTCGTCTCGAACAGGGTGTCAGAGTCAGAGTCGGACGCCATCAAACTGCTCGTCTGGTGCTTGCCTGGGATGAACGGGCAGTCGAGTGTGAGCAATGGCAGGAATGCGGCACAGTAGGAATGTCTGAGAGTTTGTAGATTATGGATTTATTTCAAGAGTAAATTTTAAAACGTAATTAAACTACAGCTACTCACTGTAAAATATTGAGCATGCACCCACGTTGCAATGAGCGCCCGCCGCCTACTTTTGAAGCATTTTAAATATATAGGCAAAGGACATGATGAACGTCCACCCCGGCCAACTTCCGAGCACACCGGGCTGACCGGGGGGGCTCCGTCGTGTCGGCTGCTTTTCAGAGAAGCCGGTGCGAAGTGATGAAGCTTTACGCATGTGTGTCGGTAGGGGTGGTGAAGCTTGACGCGAGAGTGCCAGTGCAAAGCGGGCTCGACGAGGGCGGGGAGTCTGCTTTAAAAATTAAGGTTTCCGCCAGACCCTTATACTGTTCCTGTACCGTTCTGTCGGATCAAGCAAGGGCCTGCCCTACCATAAGTCCCCTTATGCTTTTCTGCTCTCGGACGTAACAAGAACCCACCCCCATTTTGTTGCGATTACCTCCCCCGTTTGCGTGGGTGCTTGCTCGGTATTTTATGGTAAGCTGACATAAGTTAAAAATACATGTACTGTAACAAGTTACAGACACTAAGAAGAAACAACTACTAAGTTATGTAGCGGTTACTATCAAAAATGTTCCACGACATTGAGGCGCGCTGCGACTGTCGACGACCCGATCAGTTTGTAAAGTGGGAAGTATACTGGCACAGTTCCACCTCAATTCAACATCGTATTGACTGTAGAGTTTGGGGAAGTGACAAAGGGTAGCACGAATGTTGGGACTGAATCCATATGAATTTGGGTACTCGTCAACATGTATCTTTTATACATTTGTCGACATATATTGGATACTCCAAAAATGTCGTCAAGTTACAGTTACTGAGATGTCATCGCAACCTAGGAAGTATCTTTTATTTCCCAAACTAATTTGCGTATGAAGAAATATGACACATCAAAATGTGGCCAATCCTTCCAAGAGAAACAAAGGTTAGTATAATCTAGAAAAAATAATTCAAAATTTAATTCCTTGAAAACACAATGCACATGTGTTAGGCATTTAAACGCTGAAACTTCTACAATTATGTCAAAGTAAACGACAAATAAAAAAAAGTTCAGAATATACAAAATGCGCTCCACACCTACGGCTATTACTTCTGAAGGTTAGCGCAATCTAACCAAGTTGTATAGTTTGTGGTTCGTCGGAGAGTTAGCCTTGTTGTCCGCCTTGTTGGGAACATAAAAAGTACACGCCGGCTCAGGAGAGCATTGAAAATTATAGTGATGCTTACCAACAAACATCTGTTGAGCGACGCCTATAACATAATTTAAAGAGTGCCCAGAGCTCTTGAGGTCTAAAATATATGCCACAGTATAGCTAAATAATGCCATTTTTGTTAAAAAGACTGATACAAGCAGTTAGTCATGCTAGACAGGTGCAACAACCATTCCCAAAACTATTTTTGACAGCCCACCAGCTTGTGATCAAGCTCAAACCTACGTTGAAACTGAAACTAGAGTTCTTAGGCTATCCACAAGATTGTGGAACATAATTCTCCGCACTAAATTTAATTTCTTGACGGCGCTTGGAAACCATTGATCACCGGTGATCGATAACCTATGGCATAGTATGGAAAGAGTTAATATACCTTTTTAATCATGTCGTATTACACCTGAGACTGCGGTGGAAGAAATCGGAAGAACTTTCAGTAGAAGGAACAGACACAGAGAACGTCTCAAACTCAGCTAACTGTTTTTTTTCTCAAACAGCCTTTAAGTACCCACGGAACTTTTTCCCAACCACACTCTACAGATAAACTCCTTTGTTGCAGACATTCACATTCTCTGTGTCTGTTCCTTCTACTGAAAGTTCTTCCGATTTCTTCCACCGCAGTCTCAGGTGTAATACGACATGATTAGCTACCACCAGCTCGCCTGCACACACTCAGTCTTTTCACTAATACCTTTTTAGTTACTTTACAGCTGTCCTGCCTACCATCATACACTTATCTCTTCCCCAAGTTAGTAAGGACTATGTTGGCAAAATTTCCGTCAACACATTGTCGATTATTCAGATTGTAAAGGAGGCAACAGCTGACCAAACAACGCAACCAGAGATTCTACAGCAGAGTCAAATGTGAAGCTGACGAGAAATTTATCATTTCGCAACAGCCTGCTTGGAACACTTCAGTGCCTCATCAGTCCGTTTGGTTCTGCATCAGGCTATCAGAAACACACATGGCACATCCCAGTATACTAACAACACCGAAGTGATCTGAAGTTCCCCATTGGGGAGCAGGCATACCTTTGGGAATGAGCTCCTGCCCATCCTTCTCTACGTCGCGAAAGTCCTTGAGCAGGGTGTAGTTGCTCTTCTTCACCCTGGGCCGCTTCAGCCGCATCCTGCACCCCGCAACCGATGATGGCATGACTCCAACACACCGTTAACCGAAACCTTCTTTCTCATCGACATCAGTGTCCACGTGTGTAAAGACGTAGCAAAGTTTGAAATTAAAAACACAAAGGTTCTTAAAGGGATTGTCCAGTCGAAACCGGAAGTACTTAAGTTGTTGCGCTCGTTATGTCAAGGGAGCCTTCATATAGACAAACATCATTTTTATTTTGATATACGATGTCCCAATATTGATTAAACCTCTCTTGAATGTGTGTATGAAACTGCACTCCGAATTCACCAGTGTCGATGACTGACATTCGTAGCTGCCGCGTGACGTCGCATAATGCAAAGAATCGTTGTATGGTCGGCATAACAAGCGTTGGTCGATGGATGCCTTGCATTTTGTTTAGAATTATATAGTCTCCTAGGCTGTACCCTACTGAAATATGCTCCTTCTAATGCAGCTTCCAAGCAAGTGCAAAAAAGTTGCACCTTTTAGCAGGACATTACACAAAAACAACCGTTGGCTTCGAGCAAACACATGCCGTCTCGCGCATACACAACTGCGATGGCCACCAATCGGACAAGGCGCGCTAGCAAAGGGACGGATGCAGACTTTGTCTCTAAAGCGGTATCTGGGTCCCCATATAGGCAGATCCACTAGATTGGTGATGCGGCTACGGGTCGTTCCCCCGGAGGCGATGCCCGCGGGTTGAAGGCAAACAGCGAATCGTTCAAAATGCCTGCAACATTTCTAGATCGTCACTTGACTCGGACAAGTTTGGTGAATCGTAGCCACATCCCGTTTTCACATGCGGGTCAAATTGAATCGAGCTGCACGCGTGCTAAATTTAACTTTTGGCATCGCTTCAAGATGGCCTAGCTGTTGGTTTCAGTTTCGCTGCATAATCGAATTGATCGATCCAATTTGGGCGAGGAGTGGGTGGACGTAATTGAATATCGTTGACACAGCATCACACCTCAGCTTACGAGCCTTCTGTCTGCTTAGAGCCCAGCTCGTAGCTCCCTTTTGTGAAATGATTGATGCACAAGCAGGATCTCGATCTTGACGAGAACCCAGTGCTCCCTACGCACGGTGACGATCCATTTTTCCTTGTTGCTGCACGTCTCGTGGATCGCAGGTGCAGCCCGGCAATTGTAGCAGTTGTAGTAGTAGAAGTGCAACAAAAATCTGACCCTTCACGAAACAAAATGATCACAACAAATATGAAGTATGCTACAGTATTCACTCGCTGGCAAATGACGAGACGGATGTGCTCGCTTTGCATCATGTGACGTCAGGGCATCAATGTTGCCAACGAAAGCACCGTTTACACGAGGAAGCGATAGGAGCAATTTAAAATTTAATTACTCATGCAGAGGGGCATATAAAATTCCGATATTGCGCGGACAATGCATTTCGGGGCAATAACAATGATATTCAATTGTTCTCTCAAACACAAAACTTGACAGGACAATCCCTTTAACAAGGCTTATCTCGTACAAATTTCACACAACCTTTGAGCTTGTTTAGGTATGTCTTACTGCTTATGCACAGGTTTTCAAACATGACTCTTAGGAAGCAAGGGGCTGCCCAAAGTACCTTCAGGGGCTCCTCAAGTACCTAAGTCATATAGATTATCACTACCCCTAAGCAAAGGGTTTTCTCCGTTTAGGCACTCTTGTAGTATGACTGAGCCGTGCGCAAGTATAAGAACAGAAACTCCCTGGTGCATACATTATTGCAAACAAAGTTATGAGACTCCCACACTACTTAAATTCAACAATGCCAAAAGAAGGGAGGTGGAAGGAAACAAATGACTACATTCCGATTACTGTCTACAAAGTCTGTAGGCTCCTGCACCGCCTTACAGCATCAATGCAGAGACCTGGAGGGGTTCCTTGGCTGCCACTCGAAACAGATAGAGATCTCTCGAGAGCGAAAAGCTTGAGGAGCATGGAACTAGTGTATTACTGCAATCCTTCTGTCGTCGTCCTCAAAAATGTTTCTAAGCTCACGAGCAATCGTCGTAGACAGTAAAATAATTGTCGGTTCCTTGCCGGGGCCTGCAGATGAACTGCAGCGATAACAAAGGCACTGCACACCTTTCTGCACACAGTTACGCTACCGTGTTTAAACTTAGACTTAAACTTAGTTTAAACTTAGGTTTAAACTTAAACCTAAATTTAGTGAGACTTGCGTCTCACTAAATTTAGGTTGGTGTTGACGCGACACTGTGACGTCACGTGACACACTGACGTGGCACGAGATCTGACGTCACACGACACTAAATTCCCGTAAGATTTAGAGGGAGTATTGAGACCCCCTCTAAATCGTAGCGTGACCCGATGTCACGTGACACCACTGGTTTCCCCCTAAATGTAGCAGAGAAGATTTCGCACTAAATCTATAGCCTGTTGTAGGTTAAGAAAAGCGAGACAAGCTCCCCACATGAGGTCCTCCAGTCTTTACCCTTTGACAGAGCAAATGCTGGAGAGGAGGAGGGTGGAGAGGAGAAAACCACCCATCAAGGCGTACAGAGACCTTTGTGAAAGAGGCTGTAGCGAGGAAACTGTCTCCGCCGCATTCAGCGAACATTTACCCGCACGCAAACGCGCACCGGGATCCGTTGCGAAAACCCCCCAGAGCGCAACCGTCATCGTAAGGTGGCACGCAGTCTCTGAGGAAGCCCAGCGGCGTCTCCCCAAAAGCGGCCGAAGGCGCCGTTCGCCTAGCTCGAGTGATTGAGTGGCCTTTCAACCTTTCCCCGGGGAAGAAGATCTTTGCTGCCATCGTTCCCCACCTGGAGCAGAGGCAGGTCATGCCCCAGAGCAGGGAGGACAGCAGGCTGAGCAGCAGGAACGAGATGATGATCACGTACAGGACGCTCCAGTCTGGAGGGGCACGGGGCAACACGTGAAACAATGGGATGTCTATACCAGTATTCAAACCCACCACAAGCTTGCTCAAAGCTCGAACAGAACCCCCAATGTTCAATACACACAAATCAAACGTCCTTTTCGTAAATGAAACCTTTGAGCTCAGCTTCCAACATGCGTGAAGAATTAGGTATCGTGATTTAAGGACGGCGACCAGTGAATGACAGGGTACCAATCACGTTTAGGCCAAAAGGCGTTATGTGCAGCAGGATTCTGAGCTCATCATTGTCCTTGACCATAATGATTGGCACTTTGGAGGAAGCGTGGGAAAGTAGACAGACAGGCTTTGTTTGTGACAAGGTTGTGTGGGATTCGAGTGCGAATGAAAGTGCCCTCTTTAACCCTTTGACGGTCGTCACCGTACATGCAAGGCAGTGGTTATGTACACATTTGAAGGTGCTTGCCTAAATGCGAAACTGTGCACACTGCGGGAGGTATTGCTATTTGTTTTGTCTTTGGTGAACTATAAACATTATATTCGCACAGTGTTTCACATTGCTGGGCTATTTATAGTCTTAAAATTAGATGCTCTGCACACGTGATGCTCACTTAGCATAAAGGCCACCCTGGCGGTAGTGTGAATGGGAGCACTGGCTCTTACGATTCATAACGCTTTTTGGAAATAAATTTAGAGTAAGAGAGCTAGTCATCCGACGGAGACGTTTTGTAAAGTACCTCCAGATAGGAATCTGAGCTGCTGGAAGGTCGCGGAAGCGAATATGCCAAAGTGCGACCGAATGAAAAAAAAAAGCGGCCACTTTTCACGTTCAGTATTTTCATTTGATGCTTCTAAACCTAAACAGCTCGCAAGATAGCTAAAAAAAAAACCTGCGGATTGAACTTTTCTTTATACTATTCCTTTGTAAACAAAGCCGGACCACTGGGAAACATCTTTCGGGGAAAAAAAAGACACAACCATCAAAGAGTTTAGGTGGATGCCTTCTAGCCATTTTCACTACATACCAAAGCTTCGGAAGACAGAAATAGTGCGACACTGTTAGAGCAAACAAGCAATCTTCAATTTTTCCTTTTCTTTTTTTTTCCCTTAAAATCTAATGGCTGTCATAAAAGCCACTACAGCAGAGGAAAGCATTCATTTGGGGCAGCAACCTAAAAGCGGTGGAACTCGCTGCTCATCGATACTCTAATCAAGTCAAAAGCAGCAAATCGCCGATGACGTGTTCGCAACGACAGCGTCATGCAGTGTACAGCAAAAAGCCAAACTAAATCGTGTTGTAGATGAGAAAGACAAGAAAGAGCCTGACCGCAGTTGCTCTCGCGGTCTCCCAGACTCGCACGCACAAAGTCCTCCATCCAGAACGCCTCGCAGACGCAGCGCTTGGTGTAGATGTCGCACGAGCCGTGCCCCGAACACTCGTTCTGGCACACTGCATAAACGGAGAGAGCGAGGATTCGTACAGGACGCACCGGTGGCACACAACACCGGCGACCGCCGCCGCTGCGATGAGCGGATGTGACCCGAAAGAAACGAACCGTCAGCGGTCCAACTGTCGAGACATTATACCGCTGACGCAAACGATACGAGCCGCGCAGAGATTGCCCGCGATTCTTCGATAGACGTTTCTGCTCAAGAGGCACCCAAAGTTCGAATAAGAGCCTGCCACGGTTGTTAAATAAATGGCGACGTCATTGCTTGCCATCGTACGCGTTGAGCATGGCTCATCACCTTCGCGCTTCTTGCTTAGCGATTTGTTCCTCGGCCTTCTCGTCCGCTAATGCTGAAATCTTGTTCGCCACGGAGCGATAATGAGATGCTCTCGACTCAGCTCGCCACACATCTTTTACGCCGTCGGCCGACTCTAGTCGCGTTCCACTTGTCTCTACACCAGAAAAAAAGACGCCGAAAAAAAGACGCCGAAAAAGAGATGCCAGAAAATGTGCCAGAAAAAAATGTTAGTCCTTACTTGCCACCCAACATTCGTACAGGGCAAGGCAGCTTTAGAATTGCGTAGAAAGACGGTTTTACTGTGCACTTGGCGATACAGTAAAATGGGGCAGACGCTACGAGCCATCCCGGTCAAACCGAGGCGGCCGAGCGCCCGGCGAGTCGCCGCGCTTCTCTCTTAAGCTCTCGTGACACTTGCTTGGTAACGGATCAGCTCAAGACGGCTCGTAACGTCCTTTGTGGCCGATCGTAAGGCGAATTGAAATATATGAACGTTAGATTTAGCGACCCCGGGCGACGGGAGGACGACGGCGGAGGCTCACCTACGGTGTCGATGTAGAGCACGTCCCAGTCGAGAAGCGCGCTGTGGGTGCGCAGGCGCTGCTTGAGCCGAGACACCACGGCGGTGCCGCGGCAAGACACCCAGGTCCCCTTGACGCCTTCCTTCTCCGCCATGAATACAATCCGCACCCTGCACCGGAGGAAATCCAAAGGCGTACACCGACGTCGAGTGCCACGTGGGCTTTGCGAAGGGCCGCACGAATTTAGGACGGCTCATCATCGAGAAACGCTCCCGCCTCTCTAAAAAAATTGTGCAAATCGGAAGACGGATGGACGGAAGTCCAGTTTGAGAAAGAAAAATGGTTCTAGACTATGCTCTTTCCATACTCGAATTTTAGGGATAAATTTGCGAAACCAGAATATTTTAATGAAGTATACTCGTATTAAGGATGACATGGCCTTAAAGGGACACTGACACCCTCCAAAATATTTTTTTTTAATTTCTTTCCAGGCAATTTAATATGGTGTCAGTAGACTACACAATCAATATATTGCTAAAGCATCACATATATATTTTATGAAGTCAAAAAACGCAACTGCTCGAAACCAAAACTGAAACTGGACTGGTAAGGAAGAAGAAATATAGAGGAGGAGAGGGTTGCCAAAAATCATATGGCTGTGCAACTTTTTTTTTATTTCAATCAACGTATTTGCAGTTTTTTAGAGGCCAGAAAAAATGGGTATCATATTTTTCTTCCATTTTTAATATTGATTGTGTGGCTTAAATGACCCACAACTTTGATTATATTTGTGGTTGTGTCAAAACCATGTGGAGAACGGCATGTGGCCACGGAGAAGAAAGTGAGAGTGACTCAAACCGGCCAGTTCTCGAACGGCGGTTTTCGGGCGGAAAGAAAACAAATTTCTAGCCACAAATTCTGTTCTGGTAGTTGGACTCTCGTATGTCGTGTACAAATAAAAACCTTGGCGAGCATAGATATTCCGTCAGTGTCCCTTTAAACAATTCAGAGGCATAAAGACTACAGCTCATCATGAGGATGATGCACTATTTATACCATGTATATATCGTTTGTTTGGAAACAGCACTGCTAATATTTAGTTTGGCACGACTCGGGTTTCCAAATATCCGTATGCATGTGTAACTTTGAATCGCAGAGTTTTCTTTTAGGTTCTGTTTAGCATGACCATACATTTTTTTTTTTTTTATACTAATTTTGCAAACTTGATTGTATAAAACACTCCCCCGTCAGGGAATGTAGAGGGATTTCAATGAATAACTAAAACTAAATAAATGTTGATCCGCAGTCAATGAAAGGTACAAGCCCTAGATCTGGAAAAAGAGCCTGAGGCAAACGTCCAGCTTCGAAGATGCACGAGTGGGGTATGCACTCGACAAATGAGCTAGCTCGTCTGCAGCACAATTAACTGCCCAGAAAGACGTAAGTGATCCTGAAGCCGTCCACAGAACGTCCATGGGACGTAATGACACGCATGTGAAGCCCATAGGACGACAGGGGCGGGGGGGTCAAGGACAAAGGAACACCCACCTGCGAGAGTCTTGCTGGTAGTTGAGGTCGACCAGGTGTACACGAACTGTCTCCCCGTCATGCAGCAGCAACTCCAGCTGCTTGAGCAACGTGTCCTGCGAGGCACATGTGCGACACCGTAAATTAGCTTACAATCGATTGATTGATTGATTAACATCGGCTCATAAGCAGGGCTCAGTGTTTTTCGGATTTACATTTATACTGATGTATTTTGATAAAAAAAAAACATAATATGAGCGAGGGACTCCTTGATCTTCAGGGAACACGAGCGTGGCTCAGAACCTTGAAGAACGTCCCCACCAAAAGAAGGAAACAAGATGAAAGTTTTGGAACAAAGAGGTAGCCTCGCCGACAGTTCAGTGCAGGCTGTGTTCCAGGCACGGTATATTATATCTTACAGCGTGGCTCTGGGTCAGCACAAAATAAAGCTGATACAGTAAACAAACCAATTATTGCAAATTTAGCGACTTTTAAAAATATATTGCAAACACTGATCACGCGAGTATATCATCATGGGGTAATGAATACTACATTGGCATAACATTCTCAATCGCAAAGTTCCCTGTCTGCAAAATATTCCCGAAGCCCATCCTTTGAACCATTAAAAAATATTGTTACGGATGTCAAGATTTTATATAGAGTCAATACAGCCCCCGACCAATTTTTCGGACGCCGAAAATTCGGACTTGCCTATTATTTCGGACACAGACGAGGAACCGTGACGCACCCAATTGAAATAGTATGCATTAACAACCAATTTTTTTGACAGTATGTAGTCCGAAAGTTACATTTTTAGGACTAAAGTTGTTATGAGTAGGGGTGTCGCGAACCGGCCGAGGTTCGAGTTCGACCAGGTTCGACTTTTTCGAACTTTTAGTGGAAAATTCAACGAACCTTGTATTGAGGTTCGACTCGTGTGCGCATGCGCGACAGGCTGGCCAGTTGGCTTCGGATTGGATGGTAATGGCTAAGAGAAAAATTAAGGGCAGCGCTGATTTGTTATTTCACTTAATACAGTACAAAAAAAAATTAAGTTATTAACCTCTTCAGTGATTAGAATTAGTTTGTTTTAATTGCAACTGTTTATAAAATAAAATAACCCTTTTCTTAAAAAAACATTCTCCAAATCTAGACATGCTTGTATCAAGGTCTGGCCACACTGTCCACAAAGTCGAACCGGTCGAATCTGGGGAAAAGTTCGAAGGTTCGTCGAACCGGTTCGACCCAGTCGAACCCCGAAAGTTCGACCTAAAAATCTGGTTCGAGAAAAGTTTGCGACATCCCTAGTTATGAGCGGCGACCACTGGGAGGCTGCCGTCTTGGATTTTTTGCTGGCTTGACCATGGGCTTGGCCTGATGTTTCACATAGATTGGATAGGTTTGGCAGCACTATTTTAGTGCTGCCAAACCAACCACTAGGCGTGCTACGCTAAGCGTTTTGTTTTTGCTAACGATTCATCATCATCATCGTTTTGGTTTCTTTGTTTGGTCAAATTTAGATCTCTGACCAACTTCTTGTTCAGTTTTCATGCCATTCACCATCCATTAAAAGACATATGCAAAGGAAAAAAAATGAATGCCGTTTACAACTCCCTGTAACGCCGAATTAGAGTGCAGCTCCTGAGGAGGAGGAGGGAAGTGTACTGAGGGTCACGTGTTCTCGGGGGGGGGGAGGGTCACGTGGCCCCCCAGAGAAATTTTTCCGCTAAATTTAGTGGGGAAATGTTTCCGCTAGATTTAGGGGGGAAATTTTTCCGCTAGATTTAGCGGGGAAATTTTTTCACTAAATTTAGCGGGGAAATTTGCCCATAATGCACCGCACAATTACGGCGACGCCCCTGTAAGCATATATGTTAACCGTAGCCATCTGTTATTCTTCCATCCCCTCTGCCGCCCCCGCTCCGTTCGTTCCTTCCAAATTGCTCCCCGCAACCCGAGTTCTCTGGAGCCAACGAGCCCTCGCCGTTCAAACCACCGTTTATTCTTCTCGACCTCAGTTCTACCCATCGCCCAAATGTAAACACCAGCCAAGTCGACTCTGCTCGCAAGCCCCGGCAGCCGACTTCTTCGCCGCAGCTGTAACCTTGCCCCTCACCTCATAAACTAGCCTCGCCCTCGCCCCTGCCCCGCTGCCATCGCCTCTTCGCCTCAAGATTCTCCAAGCCCGCGTTCTTCTCTTCCAGTTGCTTCCGCCCATCCCACTGACTCAGACATACCTTCCTTCTCCGTAATAAACAGTTATCTTAATCTTTAAACTTGTTCTCTCTTCCTGGGGCCTACCACCGGCCCTCACACCCCTCAAGCCGGAAACGGGCGCCTAAGAGCTGCGCTCTAAAAAAATTGTTTTTGAACAGTCTGGATGGAAAGAAAATGTAATAAAACAAATTTACAATGAAAAAATATTTGTTAGAGTTAATTCTACGGCGCAAAACGAATTTGTAGTTGGCAGCCGTGGGAGCCCGCAGAAAAGTGGCTACTAGAGTCACGTGAGTGGCCACTATAGTTACGTGGTGCTTGCACTCTTCTGGGAGCTTCCTATGGGAACTAAAATTTACTTATTAGTATTAAAGGGACACTGACAGGGTATTTATGCTCATCAAGGTTTTTATTTGCACATTACATACGAGAGCCTAGCTACCCAGAAAACAATTTGCGGCTTGAAATTAGTTTTCTTTTTGACCGAACACAGCCCATCAAGAGCTGGCCGGTTTGAGTCGCAATCACTCTCTTTTCCGTGGCCACGTGCCGTTTTCCATGGCTTAGACACAACCGCCAAATAAAGACATATGATGCCCATTTTTCGTGGCTTCTAAAAAGCTGAAAATGCGTTGCTTCAAAGCAGCAAAGTATCACAGCCACATGACTTCCTGCCACCTTTCTCCCCCTCTATATTTCTTCTTCCTCCCCAGTCCAGTTTCGGTTTCGAGCAGTTACATTTTTGTACTTTATTAAAAATATGTGATGTTGTAGAAAACAATTGATTGGGTAGTCTTCCGACACCATAATGAATCGCCTGGCAAAAAATTAAAATATAAATTTTGGGGGGTGTCAGCGTCCCTTTAAGTGCAACAAAAAACGTTCAGCCTTTCCACTCTCGTGAAGGAGGAGGATCAGTGGAGCTGTGCTCGACACACTGCCGTAACGTGCCCGTTTCCCGTTTCTCCTCGTCCGACATGCCGCTGATCGTGGATACGTCTCCGGCGAACCAGAGTCCCATGAAGCGCACGCGGCGCACGTGACGCCAAACGGGTAATCCACGAACTCCCTCCGGATCCTCGCCGTTGCGCCCGGGAACTGTTCAGCCGGCATGGAGCGCAGTCGTCGCCGGGCCTCGCACTTGCGCTTGGCTTCCGTGGCACGATCGTCCGTGGCATTGGCCCGCCAGCACCCTTTACATTGCTGGTTCTGTTCTCGGCGGAGGCTTTCCAGGCGAGCGATGTGCTCTTCTTTGGCAAGAAAATCCGAAGCGCTCGACGCAGTGGAAGTCGACAGCGGCTTTGTGGCAGTTGCAGCCCCATTCGCGCTGCTGCGTACGTCCCCGCTCCCCAGTCTTCACTCCTCGAAAGGGCGCATGGCCTAAGTCCAAACCGAAACTGATAAGAGCGTAGGGAACAGCGTGCAAAACAGACGAGAACGAAGAAACACACGTGAAGAGCGCTGCGCTCGTTATGTGTGCTTCTTCTTTGTCGTCGTCTGTTTTTCGCGCTGTTTCCTATGATGAATTCCCACCAACGCGCCCAACTATCCATTCTTCTACGATAGCTCGAAAGGTTGCCACCATCTACGAGCGACGGCGGCCAGCAGACTGGTTGTGTGCTTGCCGCCGTCGCTTATAGATGGCGGTAGCTGTCCAGGTAGGTTTGTGTCGACATACCGGACACAATCCTGGGGAACCTAGCCCTTAACAGCGCCGCTATAAAAAACAAAGATTAATAAGCAACTTTAAAACCCATAGGAAGCTCCCGAACGAGTGCAAGCACCACGCGATAGACCAGTGCACCAGTCAGAAATTGACGATGGCAGCATGCTGGGGCATTCTCTCTCAGCGGCGGTGTGGAGATAAGTCGCTAAGTAATGATGATGATGGTTTTTTCGGAATTTTAGTTTGCGTATCATTCGGCTGGATAGGACTCGTGCAAGTTTTTTTTATTTTATATGAAACAATATTTCAATTACTTTCTGTCTATCAAGAAAGAAAAATGCGTTCAGCCAGTGGCGCGCCACACTTGGTAGTGGCGGCGGCGGCGTGGGCGTTCCGAGTGCCAACTACAAATTCGTTTTGCGCAACAAATTTAGCTCTAATTTTTTTTTTTTTTTCTTGCAAGTGTATTTTATGACAACTTCTTTTCATCCAGGCTGTTTAAAAAAATTTTTTTTTTCTTTACCTATATTTTTTAAGTGCGGAGTGCACTGCTGACAGCTTCTAAACTTTGCACCTAAATGTTTCGCAGTTTTGTCATTTTGCCCTGCGTCGATACCTGCTTTGGACCCCATGGCCGCCTTTTGCACCTCCACCAGGTGTGGACATGATGCTGATGTGAATAAAAGCGTACGTGATCGCCTGCAAGCGTAACATGACGGAAGGTACTTTTGTAGAACTTTTTAAGACCGCTTAGGCTCCATAAAACCAAGTTTTGTAATCAGCAGATTTTTCAGACTGCTTTATTATTCCGACGCTTTTTCAGCCCCCACGAAGTCTGGAAAATTCGTTGGCGATTGTAAATGAAGTTTGAGCCACGGTGGGGATCGAACCTGGGTCGGTGCAAAGGCAGTTGGATATCGTAACCACTGGACTTTTAGCTGATATGGAGGAATAAATAATGTTAGTTTTAAAGAAAACGTGCCAGCAACAGCAGCAAATTTGGGTGAAAATAATAAAAAAAATAAGAAAACAAATAAAAATAAATTAATAGAGAAAACAAAAACATATTAAAGAAATAGATTAAAATAATAAAAACAAAAGTAAAACACAATGATATAAAAAATATATAACAAAAATAATCAAAAATCTAGCACAAACCAGACACGAAGTCCGGTTTGCACGGGACAGATTCTGTGCTCCTAGGGGCACTAATCTACACGGCGGGACCAAGGGACCAGGACATTTCTACTTGCTACGATTGGTCAGTGGTGCAGAACTGGCCAATCGCAGCAGGCGGCAATGTCCGGGTTCCTTGGTCCCGCCATGTAGATTAGGGCCCCTGGTCTTGATCAGCATGATCGAGCCTGTATATTTACATCCACTGTGCCCTGTGCTCCCTCAAGGAAGATGACGTAAAGCATCAGGTCCACAGGCTTTGTGTTGGGTACATGCTGTGCATTGAGGAAAACGAGCCGAACAGAGCACGTCCTCTATTGCTCAATCCCCCCGCCAACGATCGGCCACTTGGGTCGCTCTGTCGTGCGCAATTTGAAAGCGGAGACTGGCGCAGCGCCCGCCCCCGACACTGACCAGCTGCTCCTGGGTGAAGGTCTCAATGTCGACATCCAGCAGAAGCTCAACGTGGTGGGCAAGGGTGGGGGCGGCCTTGACGATGAGCGAGGCCGTGTCCTTGCCCGTGGCCCCCTGGGCGTCCCCCACCGTCAGCGTGAACATGTAGCGTCCGGGGATCAGCGAAGACAGCCGCAGCACCGCTGACGAGCTCGAGTTCTCCAGGATGTGCTGCAGCCACGGCAAACAGAGGGGTACCGGTAAAAATTTGAATCTTTTCGCCACGGTGTGCGAAGAAGTGTCATACGTAGCAACGCACACTTTCAATCACATCCACACTCAATCGCACACTACACAACCTTCTGGTATGGTCACTCAAGTATGTAAGAGAAAGGGAACACACCCCATACACGAGTTTTTGCCCAAGACTAAATCGAGACAGGTAACATTACGAGTGGTGGGCTGTTTTACATTGTGTAGTACGCACAAATTGAGTTCTATGGTAAGCAGTGGGCAGCAGTCTCCTCCGCCAATCACAAAAGTGTAAGACACTGCTGCCTGGCAAGAGCCAAGTGCATGCGCTTCGCTTGCCGTCACAGGGCGACGCACGTGAGAGCACATGTTAGAAGGAATTTTCTGCCCAGTACCGCAAGTGTTGCCGGCAAGTCCTCGTAGCGGCTGTAACCGTAAAATCCAAAGACCGGGGACGCACTCGAAAGAAACGTGCATAACTGTGAGAATCTCCCATAATTGTTTTCATAACTAGTGTGGAAGGTGACCTATTAGATTTCTGGCCAATTCTACCAAAAGAGCCACAGTCTCGGCGGTGAAACGCCGCATGCCGTCCTAAGCACGGCAACGGAGACACAAGGCCGGGGAGTCTGAGCCGGTGACACTCACCCCAGCCGCCAGTGACGAGGGCTCGCGCGTCCAGAGCCACGAGACGATCTCGACGTCATCGCTCGAGCGGGAACCATTCAGCGAGACTACGTCCGCGGGGAGAAACACTGTTCGGTCTCCGCCCGCGTCCGCCTTGGGAGCTGCATTAGTGTCTGTGGAAACGGCAAAAGAGAGTGTGCAAATGTCGGGCAGTCATATCACAAATACGACGTCGCGTCTCATTGACGTTCCACTTGCATTTGAAGGTGATGGAATAATGAAACCATCCAAAATATTGAACGCTTCTTGAATTAACGCGAGAGATTAACTAAATATCTCATTATCGTATCTTCAGTCTGTTCTGCGAGCATGTATTCATTGTTTTTATGCTTTTATGTATGTTTCTTATCTTCATTAATTAAAGAATTCAGCATAAAGCTATGCCATCTCCTGTTGACCTCTCAGCTTCTTGGACATTTTTTTGGTGCACTCATTTAAGGCAAGCTTCACTAAGACCTGGACATAGATGAAGTCACCTGCCCAGTCTGTGCATAGTTTGTTTCCCCGACGTCCACCCACTACCTTTTCCAGCAGCAAATAATTGTAGAGCCCTTCCACTTCACGTAAAGGTGTAGGACCAGCGAAGCTGTTATTTTTACGACATCTAGAACGGTGCCTAGAGGACGATGTTTAGGACGACCTCAAGGACGATTTCTAGGGCGGCGTCTAGGACGACCTCGAGGACGACGCCTAGATGACCTCAAGGGCGACCTCTAGGCGGCATCTAAGACGACCTCCAAGACGACCTTGAGGATGACGCCTAGCGGACGACCTCCAGGACGACGCCTAGAGGACCTCAAAGACGATGGCTAGGACTACCTCGAGGACGACGTCTAGGATGACCAGAAGGACAACTTCCAGGACGACCTCGAGGACGCCGCCTTAAGGACGGCACCTAGGACAACCTCTCGGACAACCTCAAGGACAACCTCTAGGATGACTTCGAGGACGATGCCTAGAGATGATAACAAGGGATCAGGACCTCACTATCTAATAATGCCAAGGGAGGCTGACTCATGTTGGTTGCCCCCTCTTTTTATTTTTATTTATTCATACTTGCCACGACCAATGGAGAGTTTTCTGCCAACATCGGCGGATCCATTTTTTCCCAGATCCTAGCACATAACAGCTTTGCTGTAAAAGTAGAAATGGTCAGCACGTAAATGGCAATAAATTGAAATTCCATCTATAGGCCATCAAAACAACCAGCTGTCTGTAGTACCAGATTCCAGACTAAGAAGCAGAAAAGCAACAACTGAACAGCAATCAACAGACTAAAACAGTGCCTCCACCATCATAGAGATCCAATAAATAGACAATAAATGCGGGAAAAAAAATGTAGAGCCCTTCCACTTCACATGAAAATGGAGAACCAGCAAAGCTGTTAGCTTTACGACGTCTGAGACAATGCCTAGAGGACGACGTCTAGGACGACCTTCAAGGAAAACTTCTTGAATGACCTCAAGGACGATGCCTAGAGGACCACGTCTAGGACGACCTCAAGGATGACTTCTAGGGCGACCTCGAGGACGACGCCTAGAGGACGACACCTAGGACGACCTCAGGGACGATGTCTAGGATAATCTCAACGACGACATTCAGGACGACCTCAAGGACGACATCTAGGACGGCCTCGAGGACAACGTCTAGGACGACTTCTAGGCTGACCTCGAGGACGACGTCGAAGAGGACCTCAAGGATAACTTCTAGGACACCTTCGAGAACAACCTCTCGGACTACACCAAGGACGACGTCTAGGATGACCTCAAGGACGACATCTAGGACGACCTCAAGGACAACGCCTAGAGAAATTCAGCCCTTCCACTCTGGTGAAAACCAGAGTGGAAAGGCTGTCGCCATTGCTCATAGATGGCGGTAGCTGTCTGGAGTTTTGTGTCAACATATGTTTGTCCGCGGACACGATACTGGAGAAACTAGCCCTTAACAGCTCCGCTGTAAAAGTTATTCTTGGAAGCATGATCATGCTAACAAAGACTGGTAACCACAGAATATGTAATAGGCGTTGAAGGGAAGAAGAGAAGGGCATCTAACAGCACCGCCACCGAGATTCGCTCCCATTTTTGACACACACCGTGAGATGGCGCAACACGACAGCAAAAGCCGCACGTGAAGCATGCGATCGCACCTTCACGCGCCGGGCAAACGAGTTTGTTTCGGAGCTCTAGAAACCAACGGCCCTGGATAGCTCGGTAGGCAAAGCACTTGGCTCACAATCCCGAGTCCTGAAGCGGGGAGTTCAAATCCTGACAAGGCTAAAGTCTCTTTCTATAGTTCCCTAAAGGCGTAACACCTTCCGGTGTCATTTCTTCATTACGACTGTTACAGCCCAACATTACGTAATTCTGTGAAAACTGGCTGATTAAATGCATTCTGCGTTAAAAGGGCACTGAAATACATTCAGCTTGAATGTGCACCTATAGAAAGAAAGCAGCTCACAAACACCTATTAGCCCAAATTCTCATAAAACATCTTACTCTATTTCACCTTACAACAAAACGTAACCTATGCCACTAGCCATTCCGGCCAATCCAGTGCTGCAAACATATTGTGTGACCGCGTCCTAGGTCGCTGCGCCCCCTCCCCCAAGGTCCCACGATACTCACGTGGCCCTGGATTCGCTTACACGTCTCGTAGCATCCCCCAGGTCCATCGTAAGGCAAAAAAGAAAGTATAGAGTGTCACAAAAAAAAAAGTTTACAGGGGTTTTTTAACCGCAAAAATAAACTAGGCATTGCCAAACGCTCATTTTCCGCCCAAAGGTAGCGCTAGAGGTCACAACGAGATGCCAAGGTTTCAGCCCGATCCAATATTTTAATCAAAAGTTACAAGTGATTTTCTGAAAATTTCAATGGAAAAATGGAGCCCATTTTTGCCCGTTTTCGGTTTCTGGTGCCATAGAGCCCCATGTATTCAAAAACTCCGTCGGCCGCCATTTTCTTCTTGAAATTTTCAGAAAATCATTTATACCTTTTGATTAAGATATCGGATCAGGCTGAAACTTTGGCATCTTGTTGTGACCTCTAGCGCTACCTTTGGGCGGAGAATGAGCATTCGGCGATGCCTAGTTTATTTTTGCGGTAAAAAAAACCCTGTAAATTTTCTTTTGGGATACCCTGTACAGTGACGCTTCGTCGATTCTGACCCCATTAACACGAATGCCCCGCTATATAGACAAAAATACCGGGTATGAACTAGAAAAATACACACTTTTTTGTCTCAATATTAGGGACAACTCGCAGAATGAATGATTTCGGAGGGGAACGGAGGAATGGGATGTGACCGTGACCAAGTTGAACTCCAGAGTTATTGTACGAAATGACTTTTGTCAAAACGCCGACTCACTCTGAGTAACGGTGACGGACACATTGTCGGAGCTGGTCAGGTTGTTGGTGTCAACAACGTCCAGCCGGAAGGTGTACTCCCCCGGCACCAGACCCGACACCTTGGCCACGGCGCCGGTGGCACCCTCGAGCTGGCTCTGCTTGGGTCCTCTGCACCACGGCACCACAGCCACTCACATTTGTAAGGGATGCCATTCTATCGCGAAAAGTATGGCGCCTGGTGCGCACACTTGTGCGGCATCACGTAATACCTTGTTCACAATTGTAGAAAACACCCTCACCACTGACCGAATTCGCTCAGCGAAGAAAAATTGCGCCGTTCCCGTTCGTTGCCTCCCGACACGTCGTGCAGCTCCAGCCTCTCACACTATTCGAAAAACTGCTCTCGTGGGCTTCCTCTTGCACATCAATGCTTCGCTGCCACATCATATAAAATAGCTGACGGCCCACAGTGCCAAGAGAATCGGGGTTTGAACGACCGGTGGGAAAAATGGAAGGGTAATACTTGAAGACCGCCTAGGGCAGCAAAACGCCGACTCCACGTCTGCCAGACGCCGGCCTCGTCTCATAAAAACGCGATCCGTCGGAACCTCCGGCGGCCAATCAACGGACCAAGATTGGCACGCGTACCGTATCTGGCTCCAGCGCCAGGAAGCAATGCCGACGTCGTCGGTGCTGTGGCTCCCGTCCAGGGTCACAGGTTTGTCCAGCGGCAGGGAGACGCGGAGGTCCTTCCCCGCACTGGCCGTGGGCGCCTGGTTGGAGGCCGGCTTGACGAAGACGTGCACCTCGGCCCGGGACGTCTGGTCCGCCGTGTCGGTCACCTTGAGCACAAACTTGTATACGCCCACCTCCATGTTGGACAGGTGCAGGTACGGGCTGGTCGTGCCCTGTTGTGCATGCGGAGAAGGTCGACGGTTTATTGTTTTTAGGAAGGTGCGAACAGCGGATTTTGAGTTCGAAGCGAATATACTGTCGGGACCAGTTATAACGAAGTTGACGGGAATCTGAAATCCCTTTGCCATATCCGCTTCTTCGTTATACCTGGACTCCATAAAAATAACACGCCTGCAGAAAGCGGTCAAGGCTTCCCTGCACATGCTCTCTACTAAATCGAAGCCGCTTCTCGCCAACTGCGAGAAGCTCCAATCGAAAAAAAAATCCTGCGAGCTACGTACGGTGGATGGCATTCTTTAAGTTACTGCGCACTTCGTCGAGGATGGCGGTACGCTTTTGTTTCAAGGAGATTGCCTTCGTCTTTTCCATCGAGGTGCCGGCGGTGCCGGGAGTCGCCGAATCGGTGCTTGTGCGAAGCTAGACTTTCGTGCAGAGAGCAGCCACACCGACAATACTAGATTCACCCCTAAGGTGAGCCTGCGGTGGAAGCTACGTCTGCGTTTAGGGGTGGATCCAGAGCTCTATTTTGGAGGGGGGGCAGAAAATTTGTAAGGATACTATTCTCCCATTTTTTCGTGTGCACCGGCAGGTCCACCCATGTTAAATTGGGGGGGGGGGGGGGGGGGGCGGCAGCCCCTTGGATCCACTCCTGTCTGCGTTAGGCCAGTCATATGCCTCTCTATCGCCACGTCATCACACTTCAGCTGAACACATGAAGGTTGTTCCCAACTTCCCACTTGGTAACTTCCAAGTGGTTTTGAATTTGATTCAAAACACTTAATTCTTTTTAATACAACTACAAACATCATGAATATCACGCAAAGTAGGCTATTTCATGTCTGTATTACCTAAAAAATATGCCTTTGAAGTTGCAAAGAAAACACGCCCCTCCACGACACTAGCTCAAAGAGCCAGCGTCGTGCGTCGTTGATACTTGCTGCGGCTACATGTAGCTGAGCTAGTTGGTGATTTATGCTTCTAAAAGATGCCAGCTGAGCGTAGGAAAGTTTTTGAGAGAGAGAGAAAAGAGGACAAACACACCGATGAACTAGCAACCATTTACTAAAGAAAAGCGTCCTCTTCTTCCACACCCATTAATTTCATATCTCGGAACTAAAGGGTGTGGAAGTAGTAAGAGGTTTATCTTCAGTAAATGGTTGCTTGTTCAGCAGTTCCAAGCACCTTTCTACAAAAAGGCAGGCACCTCGGCGAATCCATGGAGCTTACATGAAGCGGACACAAAACGAGTAAAGGATTGCCAGTTGATCGTTCTGCAAAAGATGCAATTAGAATCGCACCTGGTCCTTTTATGACGTCACAGCTTGCAATTGTGGGGAAACTAGCCCTAAACAGCTCAGCTGTAAAAAAGAAACAGGCTAACAGTGGCACCACACCGGCAGAATTTCTCATCTATGGCATAAACCAGTGTCACTGCACCTCAAAAAGGCAGACCGACCTTACTCCATACAAACACGGAAGTCACATTTGGAGCGTGCAGTCACAGACTGCACACACTGCATGCACTCGGCGACTGCTCTGGGAGCGGGGACTTTCCTCAGTGTGTGTTCGGCGGCAGCAATGCAGAGTATGCATACTATGAAGGCTCTTGCTTCTGGGCTTTGGTGCCGGCTTTGTTGTGCACAATAATGGTGGGCAGAGCAAGGTAAAGAGGGAAGAACAAAGGACACGGCCGCAGAACGAGAGCACCTAGCCCAACAGCAACGCAAAGTCAGTTGACATTAGACACGCTGGCCGACTGGCGGTTCAAGCACCGGTTCATTGACTATTTTGTTTGTTGCGGTGTGTAGTGTCTGCTATTCACTAATTTTGGGTCGACGTGAAAGGAGCTGCTCTAGAGGCTATGCACTTTGAATAGTTCTGGGAAATGCCAAAGGGGCAGATGTATTCCTTTTCGGAGGTTTACCTTCCCTTCCTCTTGAACCGGGGATCGCTGCCGAGGTGCGACTAACATCCTTCGAGGTCAATGCTACTTGAAAGAACAGCAAGTGTCCACCTTCGATCCCTCCACACTTCCATTATTTTGTCATTTTTCCTCTATGGACTGCCGGAAATCGGTAAACCGAAAAGAATGCACATATGCCTTCGTCCAATACCAACACGCTCCCAAGTTTGTATATGCACATCTGCCAGAAAAAGAAAGAAGGCAAAAGAAGTAGCAGTAGCCCCACCTCCATGTCGACGTGCTTGTCGGTGTCGGGGCTCTTGGTCCACTCCCAGGCCTTGATGCCCTTGTCATCCGTGCTCAGGTTCCCGTTAAGGGTCACCTCATTCTTCGGCATGTACACCACCGTCTGGGTGCCCGCATTCGCCGTCGGGGGGTAGTCCACCTCTGTGGAGACACAACCCACCCGTCTTTTATTAAGTCATTAATTAATTTATTCATCTTAGCCCTTGAGGCACCGTTCAGAGGCATTACTTTACTCATAACCCACACTGATCTTTCCACGACCCACTCCAACTTTTCAGACGCACCCGCCACTCACAGACCGCTGCAACGACAAGAACGGAAGGTATGAGACGTTAAGGGGAGAACCAAGTTTTTTGTCATTTCTGATATAATCTATATTTAATTTTCACATCTACTATAAGTTATTGTGCTAAGCACAAACATAAGCTCAATTTTTCTTATCTATTATAGCTTTCAAGAAAACCTCAAATTTATCACAAATTTCTCTGCCCAACTTTTTTACAATACCCGGATAAAAATATATGGCACAAAGTATATCAGCATGTTCTACAAACAGTAAAGAGTGCAACAAAGCCATTGTTATAATGGCTTTGTTGGACTCTTTGAGCTCTCTTTGACACTAAAAAGTGCAACAAAGTCATTGTTATAATGGCTGCATCTTATGGCCGAATAAGCCGGGAGCTTCCAACCCCAAAAATGCAGCAACAAAAGGGGTCCCCCCGCAGTTAAGAGTGGGAGAGGGGAAAATGGGAAGGGTGGAGAGAAGGATGTTCACCCTGGTAGAAAAATATTTTGCAGGTCGGCCTTTAAGGATGATCGAAGTTGAAGGGGCACGAGACCTCTTTTTGTGATAGTCTATTTATTTTGAAAAACAGCGCGAATAACACACAGACAAGAAGGACCATTCTAGTAAGTCTATTTATGGCCATAACTCAATCTATGGGCTCTAAGTATTAAAAAAAAAAAAAACATTACGTTCATGCAAGGCCGATTTCTCTATTAAAATCGGTATCAAAGGTCGACTACCTTGGAACTATCGCTGACACCAGATGGCGCCATCAGACGAGGAGAAGCAGAGAAGCCCTTTTCGTCCGATGGCACCATCTGGTGTCAGCAATAAATCCGAGTTAATCGATATTTGATACCGATTTTAACAAAAAATCGGCCACACATGAATGTAATATTTGGTTTTTAGGATGCTTAGGGCAAAGGGATTGAGTTATGACCATAGCTAGACCAGCAGGAAGTGGTTTAGTGCCCCTTAAGGATCCAAAGACAGTTACACAGTGATGGAAAGCCAGCTTTCGAATCGTTTGTGTGTCCACAACGTTATATCTATTTGATACAGTCTATGTCCTTGTTCGATGTAACAACACTACTGTTGTGCGAATACTCAATATTCGCTTCGAGATTAACTTTGATATTCATATATTTCGAAGCAAGCTCTGTGGGAGTTCCTTCTCCGCAGTGCACTGGTGCTTGGTAAGAAGCATGCTCAACAGGGCTAACCCGCCGAGCATGCTTCTTACAGAGCACCGGTGCAAAGCGGAGAAGCAACTCCCGCAGAGCTTGCTTTCACGGGTTTTGCTTCTCGGCAGTGCACCAATGACGGGTAAGAAGTACGCTCAAAGAGGCTAACCTGCCGCGATCAACACTTTGAAAAGTACAAATAATGCAGTCGCATGCTTAGGGAAAAAGCCCTCTTTAAAAGTGGGGTGGAACAAGCATGCGCTTTGTCTATTTAAAGACAAAAGGAAACTTTGTGACTGTTGAAATTAACACTACAGAAGAATGTTCAAAATTAAACTCTGGTTATTGTGCAAGAATATATGCTAGGCACAGGTGTCCTGACAACCTACATTCATCATTTGTTATTGTTTTCTTTTCTTTTCTCAAGCTCAAGATTAAAAAAGGATCATTGCATATAGCAAAATTCATGAAACTGAATTGGGTATAGGGTTAAATTATTTATATCGAACTCGCAAAAAACTGTCTACCAGTTTGATATAGCAGGTAATTCAATATAAAGGTTTTATTTAATGAATTTGACAACAAACAAGAAAATTAGTAAAATTGTTGACTCCGCGGCGAGGTCAACCTTCTTTGCTCCTCGCTTGCATTTGTTGATGATTTCAAGTTTCATTTTGAAGGAAAGATACTGCCGTTTCACGGCAGCCCTAACGGACGATCAAAGAGGATGAACAGCAAACAAACAGCGAAACAATTGCCACGATCAGCGAGTGTCAACTGAGCTGCAAACGATGGCAACATGGCAACAATGGCACGACCAAAGACGACACGACCCAATACAGAGAATGTGCGGGAAAGGAGGAAAACAAATAGGAGAGAAACCAACTGACCGTTCAAAGGAGCGTCTGTACATCATGAGGGACGTGGTGTGCGGCTATTCTGTGGCCGCCTCTTTGTTTTTCAAGGCCACACCGGCTCACCCTCTCCCCACTCCCTCCGCAAAAGGGAATTTTTTTTCTTCCGTTCACTCGACGCGGTTGCCCAGAAGAAAAAAAGTCAGCTTGCTCTGCAAGCTGGCTTTCAAACACACGTGGCCGCCTGCGTCGTGGGAAAGCGAGCTTGCAGAGCAAAAGGGTGCTTTTGGCAGTTCGACCTATCAGGAGACGCAACAATTTTCGTTCAATGTAACCGCATCTTTCGCAGCTACTAGTCTGTTCAAAAATAGTTCAATAGAAGAAATAGTTCGAATTAAACGGGAATCGGGTTTGACTGTAGCTGGACATCTTTATAGGTTTAATTTTATGTCAAATGCATACTTTACATACCTTTCCAACATAGGCAGTGAACTTTCTGAGGCCATAAAATTAACTTAGTGTAGATATGGACAAATGGAAGCTTAGAAACTAGCTTTATGAGTTCAGCCGAGTTTTTGTTGTAAGCATAGTGCGGTAGTGAAAGGCTTGGAGAAACTATTTGATATTCGATTATAAAATATTCAACTAAGACCACTATCCGCTTCGAACTCAAAATCCACTATTCGCACATGACTAAACGATGCCTTTTTCCGTGCTTGTCTTTGTAAAAATCTTCGACGCATTTTAAAAGATTGTTTCGCACAGCAGAGGATGGACAGCAGGTTCGATATAGCCAGGTTCTTCGGTATTCAACATACCTTTGAGAACGGTGACGTTGGCATAAGTGGAGTTGGTGACGGCGTCAGAGTCGGTCACCGTCAACCTGGAAGAGTGTGCACAGAAGTCGTTTGTACTTGTAATGAAAATACCGTGGAGTGCTTCTCGTCATTCTATAGTGGAAATCCGCCGCACAACACAAATTTCAAAAACAAAAGTGTTTACAATACGCATCTTTCTAAATAAGACTGCTCCAATGTTCTATCACAGTGGTTATTAACTAAGGGTCCGTGGGCCCTTTTGGGGTCCCTGAGGGCCTTCTTAGTGTGACCGAAGCCTTTGACCATCAGTCAAGCCAAGCAAAAACGTTCAGCTTTTCCATTCTCGTGAAGAAGAAAGACCAGCGGAGCTGTACTCAACACACTGCCGCAACGCGCACGCGCCTGATTCCCGCTTCTTCTTGTCCGACACACCGCCAATCGTGGATACGTCTTTGGCAAACCTGAGTCGGTCGCATACGGCGCACGTGACGCAAAAATGGTTGTTGTCATCTACGAGCGACGGCAGAAACCAGACTGGTTGTGTGCTTGCCGCCGTCGCTTAAAGATGGCGGTAGCTGTCCAGGTAGGTTTGTGTCAACATACCGGACACAATCCTGGGGAACCTAGCCCTTAACAGCTCCGCTGTAATAACTTTTTGTCATTATTCATGCTAACTGTCACACAAGAGCAAACAGGCCAAACCATATGTGCCAAGTGAGTAGGGTTGATTATTTTCCATCTCGGAGTTTCGAAGTTGGTTTTCACACATTTAGTTTTTTTTCTTTTTTTACTTTTTTGTCATTACAATCATCCAATATCCCTCCTTCACCCCTGGCTGATTCAGAAGGGGTGCCCAAAACATCAGTGGTTGAGAAGCACTGCTCTACCAAATATTAAAGCAGTCTCAGTGTCAAGGCTAAGGTTAGACCAGAACACAGCTGATTTCAACTGACAACTGGCTCTCAAACTCGAGAGCCAACGAGGCATCCGTCATATTAGCAGGCAGTCAGCCCTCTTCTCTACTCCTGTTGAGCTTTCTCCACGTCTCTTTCGTTCATGCTTTTCCAGTCTACTGCACGTTTGAAGCGACTGCAGGTGGTATGGGCGTGGCGACTCACATGAACCGGTAGAAACCAGGGATGAGGTCCTTGAGCTGAAGCGTCGGGGTGTCGTTGAGGCGTGCGTTGTAGCCGATCGGGATCACTACTGGCTCCCAGTGGTGCCGCACAATCTTGTCGTCGTCTGTGCTAACTGCACATGTAGAGACAGAAACCCACGCCGAGTCCTCGAAGTATGAGCAGCATATTCGCAACATGCAGCCCTCATTTCTTGTGTATGTTCTAATTTGATTTGACAAGTTTCGTACTGAAATTAATAATATATAAATGAGCATTTTATAGGTAGGGTCCTTCCATTTTCGGGTAAAACGCAATATTTCCCTATATTGCAAGATCGATCATGCGTGCCGCTACTGGCCAACTTCGTCATCGTCAGTGGCTGGTGTGCGACACTACCAACATTGTCGGCCGACTTGCACGGGGAGACACTTGTCCGTGCCGGATATTCGAGAGCAACAGTAAATGATCTGGCCGACCTATTTCTGCCTAACATTTTTACACCTTAAACATGTTTTTTTTTTAATTGGGTTAAATTCTATTATTTTCTGAATTCAGAACAAAAGTAATGCAGAAAATAATTAAACAATACCTTCTAGAAAAAAAAAAAATTGCAAAGACAATTTTATTTAGAAAACATTCAGTTAAGATCTGTCTGAAGACTGGACAGGTCTACTATTGGGACAGAAATGCTGCGCATGCAGCTGACTATGTCTGTCAACAAACATTTGCTGAAAACTGAAATGACCAAGTGAGCCCTTATACTGTCGACTTGCGTTCATCCAACCTCAATGTACCGTATTTACTCGCAGAATGAACACACTTTTTTTAACGAAAAATCGATGCAAAGTTGGGGGAGGGGGGGGGGGGGGGGGGGGCGTTTATTAGGCGAAGTAAAATATTTGCGTCCTATTTACTCTATTTACTGGCTGGCATAATGAACCAACCTTTTATCCTAAAAAATAGTACTTCTTATCTCTTTGTGGGCGGCGCCCCGACCTGTAACCAAACTAAGCTGTGCAAAAAAAACTCCTCTTTGTTTTCTTTTTCTTAGTTCCTTGGGGTTTCTTCTTGGCCGCCTTTCCCAAGCTGTTTTGTTTGCTTAGGGGAGGGCTCTCCACTTATCTTTCTTATCTCCTTGCGGGCGGTGCGCGACGCGACTCCCCTTAACCAGACTGCGCTGTGCAAAAAGAAAAGAAGAAAAAAAAGCTCTTTTGCTTTTGTTTCTTTCTCAGTTCCATAAGGTTTTTTTTTTTTCTTTCTTTTTGCCGCCTTTCGCAAGCTGTTTCGCGCTTCTCCTTCTTACCTCCTTGCGCGCGGCGGCAGGCGAACCCAAAGCCCAGACTGGGCTGTGCAAAAAAAAAAAAAAAAAAGCTCTTCTCCATGTTTTTTTTTTGCTTCTGTTGGATCTTTGCCAATCTTTTAGACACCTTTTGCAAGGCGTTTTGTTCGCCCACGCTGCCCATGCACTCGCGACCTCGCTGCACCAGGATAAAAAAGTGCGTCCATTTCGCGTGCGTGGGGGGAGGGGGTCAAAATTTTGACGTCCGATTTGGGGGTGCGTTTATTACGCGAGTGAAAAAAAAAACTCAAAATTTTGAGAGCCGACTTGGGGGTGCGTTCATTACGCGAGTGTGTTCATTGTGCGAGTAAATACGGTATTCGACATATTGTTTAATTTGACCCTGTTCAAAAGTCCTGGCAAGACGCCACACATTTCTGCAGAAAAGAAAACTGGTCCTTTCAATCTTGAAATATAAAATATCGGTTAATTCAACCTAGAGAGAAGCGGCGATGGGCAAATTACATGCACGATTGTGCATGAAGCACAAAACAGGCCTTTTTTTTTCCAAATTAAGTGGTATGCAAGTTACAAGCGTGATCGGCCGCGCCCGTCGGTGAAAGAACCCATTTTCAAATTTTGAAGTGTGCACCGAATTGCGACGATGGAGAAGAAGAGAGCACATGTAAAGACACGGGACACGGCCGGGTCTCAGCACAAAACCATTGCAACACCGCTCCGGAGAAGCAAGCGCTGATTGGCTGTTTGTGAGAGAGGGCCACTGATGACGTCAATGCACGCAAACCAATAATGTTTGCCTCGTAGCACCCGGCGGGTTGCGGTTCGGTTGCCGGCCACCAGTAATTGCTGCCGCACCGAAAGTGCGAAGGACGTACACGGCCGCTGCCAACGTCATGTGGTGGCGCATTATAAAAATGTTGCCCACCTGATGTAAAGCACTATTTAAAATATTGCACCAATATTTTAATTAGACTTTTGAATTCGACCCCCTTTAGCATGTCCCGTCAAGGTCGTATTAATGGAAGTCGACTGTACCACAGTTTAATCCGAACATCTGCACATTAATGACTTGCTTGCATAAATAAAGCATTCCATGTCCTAGAACTGATCAATATTTTTTTACTGTCAAGTATAGTTATTTATTTATATATATAACCCAATTTTCATAATAGTTACTACAAAAACCCGTTTTCTCCTTATTACGAGCTTATAAAATACCACATTCTTCCCCCCACCCCCCATTGTTGAAAAGTATAAATCCTGAAAATGAAGGCACTATATATAAGATATGATCATTTTTAACCATATCCTCTAATTTCAAGAGCAACTTGTAGTGTCAATGTTTTCTTCTTTTTACACGTGTGTACAGATTCTACTTTTCTATTGTATGAGCTCACCGATGTTCTTTATTGGTTAATTATCAATGTATAAGACCACATTTTGATATGTGCTCTACTGTTGCTGTGCTTTGGAGGCCCGGGGCCAGTCAAGCTGCTTCCAACAGCTTTTTCCCTTTGGCTTCGTCAACATTGTTTTTGATGGAAGATGAAGGAAATTATTACTATTCTTATTATCTGTTAGCAGAGGCACTCGTCTCTATGAGATATGTATCCTACATTTTAAGAATAATGCAGGGAAGGGCAACCTGCAACTGGGTGTCGTATAAATATTGTACAAATAGCTCACAGAACATGACTATTAGCAAAATTGTTGTTGGTTTCGGAATTTGCAGAAGCGTGCGTGCAAGTGTTTGGAACCGAATCAAGGAAGTACCGTATTTACAAGATTGTAGGTCGACTCGATTGTAAGTCGACCCCCCACATCGCACATCAGCAAAAAAAAAAAAAATCTTTACATGCGCATTTTATTGCGAACACGTGAGAACGGCAAAGTTTGGCTGTGCATGCACGCGCGAGGTGCACAAGATGGTCAGGCATTATCGAAACTAGGAAGTTCAAACTGCAGGCGCGACAACTGAAGCTGCTCCCATTTCTCACTCTGTCCGTGACTAGTCCACGACTCGTCCGCACTGGTGTTGTCAGTCCCGTCGCCATCACTGCTACGTCCTCGAAGCCCGTCGTCGGCGTCTTCCAACGAAATCTTGCACTTCGCAAATGACAGGATCAACCACATCTTCCGCGCTTGCTCGGCGATCGCGTTGGACGTCACGGGTAGGGAACGATTGCGCACGTTTGAGGCGCATGTTGCATGCCTGACCTCCAACTCCGGAAGGCAACCCGACCTATCCAGACTTTGGCCCACGGAAGCCTTTTCGTTTGCCGTCACAGTTTAAGAGATCCCGCGCCACCGCAGGCCCCACTGGAGCATCAACCGCTCCGACGGGTCAAACTTGCATCCAACAGCGCAGTTGTTGGTTGCTTCGAAGTGAAGAATGGCCATAAACGAGTACCGAAAACCCAAACTGCCCGGATCACGCATTTGAATACAAATGAACGTAGTTAGCGCACCAGCATGATCTCGTTACTCGATGAAACAATGTGTGACCGTGAATTGTGCGAAAAACTGCGAAGAGAAGCCGCGGGGGTTGTTGCAGTGGCCTCCGGAGTGGCCCTTACAAGAAGTGCCACCACCCTCCGGGAATTGGGCGCTCCGTGCGCTGTTCACCGCCGTACATTCGGATTAATTTGCGAATCACTATCAATAATACTCATTTGCGCACATAAAAAATTATTAATTTGTAAAATGAGCGCAAAGAACAGTGCAATGCTAGAGGTACAGCCGGCTGAACTCGTAACAAGTCGAGGTGTCCATGGTATCGCGATTGTTTCATTTTTGCCGGCGGTGGAATGCTTTGGTTCGATTATAAGTCGACCCCCGCACTTCAGCTTTTCAAAAATTTAAAAAAGGGTCCACCTACAGTCGTGTAAATACGGTAGCCATCAGCAACAACCTTGTGAAAATCATAGGGTACTGGGTGCTTGCTCAGTATGTTACGGTATGCCGGCAATTGCTAGATGAAGCAATCCAATTGTTTATTTTTTTACTTTATCATGGTTCATAAGAAAATGCATGGTGGGAGAAGTCTGACACTGTCATTCTATTTGCAACCTTATTGTCAACAGTATCAAGAAACAATCAAGACGCTATTGCTGAAAAAGGAGACAACCAGCAAAAATATAATACTCAAATTAAACCTACTATTCAAACAAATTGGGAGGAAGTGTCAGAAACAAGCAGAGACAAAACAGAAATATGCCACAGCAGCCCTTGGTGGCCTAACTCACACGAGCCGTCCAGGACAGTCTCTTTGGTGGGTAGCTTGACTGTGACGTTGTCCGGCTGAATGACAGCCACGGGTGGTTTGTTGATACGTTTGGCTGAAAAAGGGTGATCAATGGAAGCGTTGCACCCACGCCACATCGCTGAACAAAATTAATCGGGAACCCGACAGAACCCAACGCGGTTCTCACTCACGAGGGAGCACCGTGACGTTGACGGTGTTGTCGCCGTAGGAGTTGTTCCCGGTGGCTTCCACGCGGAAGGTGTAGAGGCCCTGGCGGAGGTGGGACAGCTTCAGGGAGTTGGTGTTCTGGTCCTGCATGACGCCGGTCTCTTCGCCGTCGGGGTGCGACACCAGGGTCCACTGGTACCGGTACTGGCTTCCTGTTGGGACGGGGAGATCAGCAGGCAGTAAAGTTTTCGCGTTTTTCGACATCCACCATAACTGCATAGCAAAAATTCTGATGTAACATCACATGACACTGTGGCACCATGTGACACTGGGGTGCCATGTGATGCCATGTTGTCATGTGACATTTTGACATCACATACCACGATGTCACGTGAACCCTTACGTGTGTGATGTCAATCATTATGTCGCGTGACATAAGTGACATTGTAATGTCATGTGACGCCCAGATGCCATGTGACACTTCGCTTCCCGCAGAAGGGGCTATGACATCAAACCAACAGCTTCGCTAGGCTGCAACCAGCGCGGGCAAGCAAGTCCATGCAGGATTCCGATAAGAGGCTATTGCTTTGAATGAAGGTTTTTTTACCAATCTGACGATTAGGTACTGCAGAAATCTTAAAGGCTTTTTGACACATTCGCGTTTGAGTGCAACCAAGTGCGTAGTTCTTGCTTTTAACCGCTTGCGACAAGAGAACACACTGTCTTATTAAAGAGGATGCTCAATTGTGAAGTACTAGCTAGACAGAAAACATTCACTAGTTTCTGCAGGTGGAAAGTGTTCCGAGGTCTGCATAGGTGGCGTCAGTGCGCTGCCAGTGCATTCCCTCCTCGTAAGCAATCACGAGCAGGCACGACATTCTTTTGATACGTTCGTCTCATAGAAACTAGCCCTATAACACATCCTGTGTTGAGATATTGCTGAGAACTACAAGGGAAAACGTGAAGACAAAAAGACTGGCGGACGCACCCTCACTGTTCTCCTTGAAGACGTAGGCAGAGAGGATGACCTCATTCTCTGGGAGGTGCAGTTCCTTGTTGTCTCCTGCCGACACAATGAGGGCATACGGCGTGGACGTGGCCGTGGACGACGACACCGGCACCGGCGTCGGTGGGCTCGAAGGTGTCAAAGGCAGCTTGGTCGTCGAGTTCAGCTGACGGTAACGTGGAATCATTAGACACACACAAACTTTCAGAACTTAAAATAGATTGGAATATCTGCGTATTCGAGTTAGCCTGTGAAGTGAACACTAATTAATTTTAGAAAATTTTCATAATCTTGCACATCTTAAAAATTAGGTACAACGAACGTTCTTCACTCAGTCGATATCGCTTTTCCGATGGTGCAGGTGAACCGCGGCAAACTATGAGCCGTAACGGCGACATCGTGGAGTTGCTGATGACCCGCTATGTCTAGCTACCAGCGATTTGGTACTGTGCAAAAGTAACTGGGCAGGGTGGTGCAAGTACATTTTCGAAAATATTCTAAATTGATTTTTTTATGTCTCGAAAAGATTATAATCTGCCCTAAAAAGTAAAAAAAAACTGCGGTCATCGTGGAAGTCCACCAAACGTCCGCCACCCACATCCGTGGTGAAAAATATCTCCACCTTGGTTTTAGGCCCTCAACTTCAGGCTGGCGACGCCGCAATTTTTTTTACGATTCTGGCGTTGGTACAGCAGAAGAGGTGTATGGCAGATGCCCGTTGTAGTGCGGCTCCCCCTGGAGCTGGCCGATGGACGAAAATTCCAAGACTTGTAAGTTGCGACGTCACGACAACGACGCAACCTTCTTTGCCGTCACCTCTACAAACAACCACTGGGATTGCAACAATGGACGGCATAAAGCCCCGGCTTTTAAGACATACTTATTCTCACTTGAAAGACTCTGACACACGGGCAATACGGGATGCTAAGAAGACCAGTCGGAGATATCATCCAGACATTTTCGTACGTCTACAGCAAACTCGAAAAACCACAGTTTTCGTTTCCGAAGTCTCGAGAAAGTAAACTCGCATACCGTAAGCTACTTCCTTTTCGCAGGTGCAATACTATGCACAAATTTCATCAAGTGTGTGTTTTGGAAACATTTAGTGTATACAAAACATTTGCGACCGGGAGTGGTATGGCATCTATTGGTTACCAAAAATGATACGTATTCACATTGATCCATTTTATGCAATATTTTTCGAGTCGCAAATTTCGCAAAAATTCAGTCGTTTACAGCGTGCCTTACTCTCTTCTCCAAAAATTAGGTCCGAGGCCTTTCGACGTACCCGCACAAAGTAGTCCCAGTGCCATGCCTAGGAGTGAAGCACGGTCGAACTCACTTGGGTGAGCGCGGACGCATTGAGGGTGGCGACGCAGGAGCCCGTGGTGGGGTCCCTGGAAAGTCCGGACTTGCAATTGCAGACGCCGTTGCGTCGTTTCCCGCTGAGGTTGACGCACTCCTCGTTTTTGGGGCACTGCAGGACCAGTCCATAGTAGCAGGTCTGTCCGCCTCCCCCGTCCACCACGTGGGTCACGGGTACCTGCGAGGCACGTAGCAAAGCCGTACCGTAAAAAGCGAGACACTGTCCGTAATCGTCCGCTGGCGTACGTAGTACTGCCACCGCCACTGTTTGGGTACTGCATCCGAAGTCTCGGAGCCGCCTACATTGCGAGTTGTGACGAAGGTGAAAATGACGACCGGGCACTGACGCATGCCTCTCTCTCGTGCCAGCACCCTTTGTGCTGGCCCGGTACCAACGGAACATTTTATGTTTCGTAGTCGTTCGTCACTGTAGCAGCGACATGGAGTGCATTCTGAACAGCTCAGAGGGTAAGGCAAACTAAAATGTTGCCGGAGCCACCGGACCTCCGTAAAAGTATAAGCTTCCCATTGAACTTGATTGGTTTTTGGAGGCTATAGCTACAAACAAACATATTTGCATTATAGTATGTGGGGTTCCACATTTTTGGGAGTCTATTATTTTTCATGAAATTCGGAGGGTGTTTTTCTAAGTACATTTTTCGCCGAAAATTCTGGGTTTATCTAAGTTTGTTTTTGCTAGGTTTGCGATTCTCCAAGGTTTGAGGTTTAATTTTGCCGTGCTCCAAAACTTTCGAGAATATAAAATAAAGATAAATAATTTCCGAAACACAAACATACGCTAAATTCACCTGTATTGAATAATTTTTCTTCAGCTGGATTGTTGGTGCCCTTGCCATTGGGAATATTAGTCGTTCCATGACAAAACTTGCAAACAAAAATTGCTCGAATAAACGTCAGTACTATAAGACCACCAAACACCTAGACGTGGTCGCTGGGAAGCGTAAAAGCTTCATTGCCTTGTCCCCCTCCTATGAAATTTTATGGGTTTAAATTTTTTCCAGGCATAAAAACATGACCCCTTCTCCTCTGCAAAGCACAAATAGTATATGGTCCAAACTGGAAGCCAAAGCAGTTCCTTTTGCCATGACCCACAAGTGCAATCACCCATTGTCTTAAAGAAACCTTGGCAAAATATATGGTAAACACCCTTTCGTCAATAGTCTCAGATTTGAAACTCAAGTGGTCTCTCCTTGGGATCACTGACCCTGTTCTCTAACCAATCTTACCGTCATTTTATCTTTTTTCCTTCTTTTTTAATTCTTTTGTTGCTACCGTAACTTTGAATTTTTAGGTTTTCTAATAAATTCGAATTGGCAAAATTTATACTGCCAAGTGTTTTTCGGATTTTATAGGATTTATGCGATAACAAAGAACCCTAGTTACATGTTTAGTGCCCAAACACTTGACTGTCCATAAATGCTAGGTACACTTATTCCTCTAGTGCTATCTCAAAGCCTACTAGTCCCCTCTTAGATAGAAGTGCATTGCATTGACTGCCTCCTTTAACCATTTTACTAGCGCCTCCTCAGTTCTTAAAAGGAATGAATACTGAGGTGTCTGTAGGTGCCTACCCACAAGTGCTGCTTTGAGTTCAACCATTTCATACAGTAGACTCATCTTAAAGGGGCCGTACAACAAGTTTTTAACTTTTCTTGTAAAGAGTGGATTTTGAATCTTGAGGCCTTGCTTAGTGATTCCCAAAAATTTGCTTTCTATCCTAGCAAAATACTGCATCGATAGAAAAACACTGATGCAATATTTTGCTGCAATCCTACTTCGGAAATATAAAACCGTGATGTCCTGTTAATCTCGGCACCTCCCAAAAAATTGCACACAATGCGAGACGTCCATAATAATGACACGAAAATGCATGTAGTTACCCAGTTTGTCCCCGAAAGTTTGGTCCATACGGTGGGGTACCATATTAACCAGACATGACTATGCTCAGCGGGGAAAAAAAATAACCGTGCAGAAACAATATTTTTTGTTACAATCTTATTGGCTTAATGTTAAACGGGTCATGAAATGAATTTCGGCCTGAGATAAATGATTTCAGATTAGGCTTTTACTAATTGCAAATCGTTCAGGGGTCAAAAGTCTGCTTTTCGGCACAAAAAATTGCAGTGGCTTAGCTCAGCTATGCCAGGATATATGTAGCGTGAGCGGTCGGGCATGTCGCTCAGCCTCCTGGCGACGCTGCTTTGCTAGACGTTCCTCCCTCTGCTCCGGTGTCTCCGCAGCACGTTTAGCCTTCTTCTGTTCGTACTTCCTACGCTCAACCACCAATTGCCAGGCAACTACTTTGGGATCCGATGAGTTAAGCTTCTCCGCTCTTCTGCGCCGCTGAGCAGCAATTTCGCTCTCCTTCTTCATGGCTATACCACACTGGCAAACGCCCTGCCATATGTATACCCCAACCGATACGTCCGCGCATGCGCAAAAAGTGAGAGGCGCTATCAAGCGGCTCCGGTGCAGCGTCAGACTTGGCTACTGCGCAACGGAGGCGCACAGCTGGGCACGCGCCGGCACCAGTGCGTCTGCTGCGGCTATAACGTCACTTCTCTAAATACGCAGGGCGGCGAGGCGCGCGCGGCGGCGGCGGCGGCGGCTTTGGCGCGCCAGCTGTGCGCCGTGTGACGTCACTGCTCCTCGCGCATGCGCAGCACGGCTCTCCAGGAGCCAAGCGAAACTGCTCAACCTCGGCCAGTGTAGCTCACGCTACAAAAATTGTAAAATATAGCAGACCCTTTCGTACCTCTTTTCCTTTGAAAGCTTTCTGCCTTTTCACCGTGATACATCCGTAGTGAAAAGCATGTCAGCGCCATACATCCACAGTACCGAAAGCATGTCAGCCAGCCCCAGCTCACGCATTAGACGCGAGCACTGCGTCACTTGGACATACGTACTCGTCAACAACCAATCCGTAGACGAATATTTGGATTAATGTTCGAGGCCAATCAGTGTCATGACTACACTTGTCATTACTTGTGAATGACAAGTTCCATGGTGTGTTTAATAAGCTCGGTGAAAGCTTGGAGCCATCGCATATGGTGAAATACTACGTCATGACCACGTGATTTCTCATTCTGCTTTTGAGTTGAGGAGGAAAGCTAAGGAGGAAAAAGTTGAAAAATTAATTCATGGCCCCTTTAAACCACCAATTGATAGAGTTTGTAAAATCCCGAGAGTTGCTATTCTAAGAGCATCTGCCTACATGGCACGCCGCTCCATGAAAAAGCAAACTGCTCAAAGTTTGTGCATCTAGCACCTAGATTCCTTCACAGTCAGATCTAGATTCGATTGGATATTAAAGTTCAATTTTTTTTAAGCTTTCCCCCTTTGTACACCAGTTTACATCTGAAAAAGCCTTAGAACTTGCCGATGCAGGCAGCACGTATACATTGCAGAGGAAGCAGGGCTACATAAACGAAACGCGATAAGCACTCACGGTTGCGTTCCGAGATGCTCCCGTGGAAGACTTGCCAAGGTCCTTCAGGTCCGCCCACGAAAACGGAACCGTCGACGACGACACCCTGTCAGAGGCAGGAATTGAGCACTCGTAAGAGGCAGCATTAGCCATTTCGAGACGCCCGAACCGACCGCCACGAGCGCGACACCTCGAACGCATCACCGACCGGTCCGCTTCCCACGTCCTCAAGTGTGGTCCCTCGATTTCCGCCCGACGACGTCGTGGAGGCATCGCGTCGCCATCGTCCGCGATTCCAGCGGTGTCATGGCTGCGATGGTGCATGTGGAAGATGCAATGTTTGCTGCGGTTTGCTTTCCCGCTTCACTGTCCACGGAAGCTTCGGCGGCCGGGAGCTGGGACGCCACAACGGTGGCGACACTTGTGTTCGCTCGCGTTTTTTGCTGGGACTTTTACAGCACGCTGCCGGGACCGCAATGGGACATTTTGGCGTCTGCGACATCGTTCGTTGCCCCCTTTGGGACTACTCTCGATGCGTGGGCGGCTCGGGACACTAAACGCACCAATCGGAGATACATTACAGGCACCGTGCCACGCGCTGCTCTTCGAGACGCTTTCATTAACTCGCGGACACTTGCGAAACGAGCGACAATATTTACGGACTCTCAAAAGGTAAATATAGATCTTCGTATATTGCCTAAACTGGTGGAAAACGCTAAAATGTGGCACACGCCATTCTGCAGACAAACGGCAAATTTTGAACGCTAAAGCCAGGGACGTCGCAAACTTGTGTTGAAATTGAGGTTTGCCGTTGAACCCCCTACCTCCAAACTTTTTGGAAAGTTTGACGAAGTTTGACTCGTGAACAGTGTTACCCTGTCCCCATTTTGAATCTTGGGAAACCAAAAAAAGTTTAGAAAGTAGTTTATTTTATATTTTGTAGAAGTATTACCAGCATTTACAGGATATAAAAGCAAACATAGGTACTTTTAATGCAATCGTTAGTTAGTAACACAGCAGTGGAGTGATATGGCCAAAAAACATTTCATTTTCTCTCCACTAGGTTGTGTCAGCTCACTTTAAAAATTTTGTGCACGCACACGAAAGTCAAACTTCAGTTGAGCTTCATGCTTAAACTTCAAGAAAGTTAGCCTTAGCCGAACTCAAACCTCAACAGGTTTGAGACATCCCTGGGTTGAAACTGTGTTTTAAAGACAATACTACATAAACTTAAATGCTTGCTGGACGCATGAGACAAATATGTGAAATAAGCAATGCGCCATACATTGTCCCTCAGCTATATCTTCAGATTACCGTACACCATGAAACTAGATTAAGGTAAAGGGATCGAAATACCACCTAAAAACTCCTACTAACCTGTACGCAATGTTAATCGTTTATAGTTTTATACATTCCCTGCCTCGTCCACTTTAATGCGTATCTCAGCTTCTCTACTGTAACCACTTGAGAGACTGGTCGTGGACAGTCAGTTCACCACTGAACGACCTTGGAAAATGAGGTCACTTACGAGTCTTCGCTTGAGCCGACATCAGCCTCGTGAGATTCTTCTGTTGTGCCCTTTTCTGGGAAAGACCAGGGTACATAATGATATAGCTTCATCCTGATGTGCTTTTATTGGAATTGACTTCTCTACGACAAGTGCGCTACTTCAGCTGAAGCTCCAGCATCTTTATTGAGTAACAGTGCTATCGTTTGTTCTTCTGAATGAATTATTTGAATGGCTGTGTTTATTTCTTGAAAGGAATTTGATGTATCTGCTGTATATAAAAACTAATCCAAAAACAAATTATATGTCCATAAAAATTTGTCTCGCTTTAATTTTATTCAATTTAATAGGTTGATTTCATCATTGCACTAAATGACTGTCAACACAATGTTAGAGCATCAGCTTCATTTCAATATTAATGTCAAAAACACACACCCGACTTCCCAGTATGGATCGTTTTTTTTCTTTTCTGGATGTATTGGATGGCTAATGATTAATGTACTGGTAAAATTTAGGCATGGGCAGGCTGTCCTTACTGCGACCCACTTCTAAAGGTAGATCTGAAATATTTAGGTATCACACGGTTCGCAAACGATCTTTGGACTATCGCATATGAAGTGGGCATTCAAAGACAAATGAGATATGACAAGTTTGCACACATCACAGAAAAATTGCAAGCCTATTACTGTCAAAATTAAATTTAACATTAATTTATATGCCACCTAGGACTCGCAGAGCACTCCACAATACATGTTAAAAAAACCCTGAAAAGAAAAACCTTTTTTTTTTTTTAACAGTCTGGTTGGGACACATGTCAAAAAATAAATATTACGGAAAAAAATTTTTTAGAGCAATATTAACAGCGAGAGATTTAATTTAAATTGTACGCGCAAAGACCCTGATGTCACGGAATTGTCATTCACTCAACGAGATGGTAATTCGCTCTTTAAACCTCAATGTGAAGGCGAAGCCGATCACCTCAACGTGAAGGCGAAGCCGATCCACCTCTCCTTCACGCACTCGAAATACCGAGAGGAAACAAGTGGAGAGGAGGTGACTACCAACTAAATTGCGTCTCGCGCCGTCAATATTGCTTTAAAATTATTTTTTTGTGTGTGTGTAAAATTAATTTTTTGACACGCACGTCCCAACCAGACTGTAAAAATGTTTTTTTTCCCTTTTCAGGTTTTTTTTTTAAAGGCTAGCAGTTGTGTTAACTGGTTAAATTGTCGCCCTACAGCAAAGACATTGGATAACTTTTATTTACATGAGTTTGAGTTTTAAAGGAAGCGAGATAAACTGCATGCAACAATGAAGTCATTTGAATCACAAATTTAAAAAAATAAGGGGTGCAAATACAGAGTAGTATACATCAAAATAACCGATCAATGGGAGACGGTGAGAACGAGCAAAATAAATAAAAACAAAAAAAAAAATATAACACAAGTCAAGGTCGCTTGTTATCTGAAAAAAACGTGAAACACCAAAATGGATCCAAGACCAGTACCACAAAGCAAAAGGAACATAACAAAACGAAGGAAACCAATCATGCACAATGGAGAAGGATATTTACATCAACCAATCAAGAGACATAACCATGAATCAGGACAATCGATCACCAAAACAAGCCCCGCAAAAGATTGAGAGCAAAAGAATCACGATAGAATTAGTTCCCATGGAGGAAATAGGACAGCGAATCCAAGGCGGCAAAAATCACTGCAATTCCCAAGTGCGGTAGCCATTTTTGCGGTAACTGTCGATGAGCGTGGGTGGTGCCACGGAGATCAATCAACAATTTTGAGCACACTATGTTGCAAATCTTCCTCACCGGAGAGGCAAAACATTCACGGCAGCCAGACCGCATAGAGGCATTTGAAGTTATTATGCCACCAACGATACAATGAAACTTCCACGTATCCTAGTATCAAGCATTGCGTGACCAGATGACATTGCTATCCAGTTTAGTTCTTCCTATGTCCCCCACGAAAAATATATCTGTGACGACCTTCATGTCTCTGGACACTCGGTAAAGTATGTACTTGAAACGTAAATGAAAACAGATCAACAGCCAATGAAAAAAAGAAACAACGAGGCAAGACCAAAACGAAACACAAAGGACTCCACCTTTGGTGCCCGACCGTCTGCACACACATGAAATGAGGAGCAAACGAAATCTAACACCGGTGCTGCGCAGGCGCCAAGAACGAAACAAACTGCAAAACAGCCAGTCATCCAACCGTTCACCCCCGTGCAAAACGAGAAGCAAACCGAATCTCGAGCCACCGCGTCACGCCGACCGCCGGACCGTTGCGTTGCCCGACTTACGCAGGGGCCGCACGACCACCATGAAGCTCGAGTCGAACTTGGCGCCCGCGCGGCGCTGCGGCTGGCACAGCGCGGCCGAACGGCAGTGCACGAGGAAGCAGGAGTCGCCGTGGAGGAACACCAGGTGGCAGTCGGCGCCCGCGGCGCAGCAGGCCTTGGTGCAGTCCAGGAGGCTGCCGGCATGCGCCACCTTGGTGAAGCGCCCGGCGCTCACGTCGCCGCGCGGGACCACGTGGCGCAGCGGAGTCAGCCTCGGAAACAGCGAGTCCGGGCAGAAGCCTCCGTCGTCGTCGCCGTCGTCGCCGTCCACGAGGACATTGTCGGAGAGGGGATCACCTTCCCGACGGTCGTGCGACGAAGTCGTTGTTATCGTTGCCGATTCGGAGGTGGTTCATTTCGTCGAGAAACAATTTAACAAACATTTTATATCTTTTTTTTTTTTTAAGCACTGCTTATGGGTACCTTAGGCGGTGCGGACTTCACGGAGTGAAAGGAGTATTTTCCTTCGTTTTGTTCGCCCCTAAGCAGACAACGCAAAGGGAGCCACATGTCCACCGAATAAGTCAATCACCTTTTTGTCACCCAGCGGGTGTGGATGAGGGTATGATTGTGTGGCAAAAGAAAGCAGCATATAACTGGTCCAATGAACACATAGTTTCAATTGCACTGTCAGTTTATGAATGAACGAACTGTGATCTACTGGTAATAGCAGTAATTGTTTAGCCTGTCGAGTTGGTTTTCGCAATTCACTAAAATATCATTCAGTGAAATGGCGGCCATTTGCTCAAACATTGTTCAATAAGAGTCTGATTAACCTTAGCGAATTCATTGCACTTGCTATTGTTGCCATGGCACTGAAGCTTTGATCAGAATGAAATATTTTCAGACAATGAACCAGAAAAGATATTGGGGAAAGACCAAACTGAGTGTTTGAATGGAGCAGAAGCATGCGAATGGTGACGTACAGAGTGCTCTTAATCTGTATCATCTAAGTACCGTTTTAATTAACCTAAACTTCGGATGAATGTCCACTTGTGTTTTGAAACTGGAATTTTGTCTTGAACCTGTTTAAGCGTTTTGTGGTTCTTAACTCTCTAAAGTGAATGTTTTGCCATTACAAATGCTCTGGATGTTGGTCAAAACTTGGATGTCCATGCTTTCCGACTAATTTGCTGCATGCTTGGTTTACGAGGGAGGACAGGCTCTGAGCTTGAGAAATGAGAGCACCCCAAAAAGTGTAATCTGTTGCTCTTTCTTGCCCTTGTCAAAAAACAAAAACAAGCCCAAAGTAAAAAAAAAAAAAAAAGTTTGGCAAACAAGTTGCAACTAAGAGCCAAAACAGAAACAAGAACCACAATAATGCAGCCAACGATCCAAAACACTGTCCAAACAAAGGTAGAAATAATAAAACAAACATTGGAAAGCAAAGTATCAACTTTAATCCAGGTCAGAAAAAACTTGGAAATGAAACCATAACCTCATCACATACTCCATGAAACTTAGCACGAACCAAAAAACATAATTTTTGTGGAAAAACATATGGTACACAACATTGTTTTACAAGTTTGGTGTTCCCAGAATGCCCATTTCAACTGAGGCAGATAAGAGGAAAGTGATCCGCTGTCAAAATGAAATGCATTAAAGGCCGACGTACACTTCGCACTTTCCACTCTTGCCCGCCTTCTCCTTTCCTTAATCCTCTCCACTTTTTACCTTGCCCCATCTTGGCTCCCCTCGCAGCTTAGGATAGGGGAGTGCTAAAAGAATTACCTTCCCTGGAGAAAACCGTGTTGTATGTCGGCTTTTAAAGGAAACTGAGGCATCTGCACAGCGATTCGGCGTTCACCTCGCTGAAACCAGCTAGAATGACGTCTTACGGAGAGACACACTTGCCATGTTTCGGTGACATCATAATGTATGATTTACTATAAATCCAGCTCAAATGAACAGAAATGACAGGGAGGGGCTGAGGACCTGATGATATCGAGTCATTAGCAACCAAAGACTCAATTACTACAGTGAGACTCACTGACTTTATCAATCTTTGAACAGATGTCTCAACAAAACCTGCCTCCAACAAGTTTTCAACATAACTGCATCAACAAGGTCATGTTTTAAAAAATGCCACTCAAAAAGCAATTGAGCATGAAATTTTAAAACAAAAAAAAAAAAGTACTTGTAAAAATGTCACAAGAACAACATGGTTAGACAAGACATATGATTCGCTGATTAGATCATTCTTTCCTCCCACATTGATCCGAGGAAAAAATCAATACCAATCGCCGAGACCATTTAAATTGAGACCTTCTCCGAGTGATCATGTTTGTTTAATTAGACATATATATCCGTCCCACACCGTTATATACAGCATACCTTCCCTACAACTCGCAACAAACTTCTACAACACTAAACTAAACTGATCCATGATCACTATATCCACATTTTACAGAACAATATAGATACTATAGTTTGTTGCAGGTTAAGAAAAGCAAGCCAGCTCCCCCCGCGCAGCCCTCTGCACTTCCTACTTTAGCAGAGCAAATGCTGAAGAGGATGTGAGTGGAGAGGAGGAAACACCCAATCACGATGAGCAGAGAGCTCTGTGGAGGGAGCTTGTCCTGGTTTTTTTAACCAGCAATAGACAATTTGCCGAGAAACTGAGGAAGAGGGGAGACGAGAGCTCGCGGGGACTTCAGAGGTTTAACTAGAGTCAAATATCTATTCCACTAATATGTTAGAAAACACGAAGTGCAACGTAAAAAAGGTTGCATCTACTCACTGCCGGTGTCAGCTACAGTATTGCCAGCCCGTGAAGGCCAGAGGAGTGCCGAAAAGCAGCCCAAGCCGAGTAGCGTTGCCCACAGCCGCATGACAGCCGAAAGTTGCTAGGTTTGGAGATTGGGCCCAAGGTTACGTCGAGGCAGTGCCAGATGAAGACGCCTCGCCCGACATCTCTTGCTTTCTGCAGAAGCTTCCTGAAGAAACACAGAACAGGGAGGTGCCCATAGTGCTAGAGGGCTATTTACTTTGGGCTGAGGAGCTGTTATCAGGCAGATACTTGTCACGTATTTGGCCAGGCCAGTTCCCATCTTAGCTTGTTATCTATGGAGGCCCCCCCCCCCCCCCCCCCCCATCCCCCTCCCCCCACATTTCTGTATTCGGTTTGGTTTGGTTTACAGAAGTGGCTAGAAAAGTTTGCCATTCACCATCGAAAATAGTAGAAGGTTTGGGCACGAAAAATTGATGGATGTTGCTGCAAGGCGAAAGAAATCTATTTGGTGTTCGTGAACATCTGACGATTGTTTCTACTTCTTCATACCAAACAGATTGTTAGTTTCTAAGTCTCAAACCGTATCAGCATAATCGCAACGTCGAATCAAACATGAAAGCCTGCTGCCGCATTGCATTCGTAAAGCACCGACCAAAACTACGCCGACAGATTAAATTGTTGACAATACAATGGCTCCGATAATGCCAAAAGGCCCCAGGTTGATAACGTGTGCAGACCACGGCAAAACCACCTGCTTGTGAAGCAGGTATTTGTCACCGTGTTTGCCAAAGCTATGCAAAGAGCAAGTCGTCTGCTTCTTGCGCAGGAGTTGCGGTGACGTCAGGATGAAGCCGAGCTCTATTTGGCTTTGAGTGAAAGAATAGTGGGTAGACCTCAATGCTAGATGCCTTGAGCTCTACCCATTATTTATTTATTTATTTTTTTTCAGCCAATAAGAGCTTGGCGTTTTGACATCATCACACTCTCTGTACAAGAAGCAGACGAACTTGCGCTCTGCATAGATGCAAACACACTAACCGAACCTAGCTAGCCAAATTTAAGGCGCACAGCATATTGTAAAAACCTCATGACCTATTAAATGGCCATGCCTGTAACAATGTCATTTGCTTTTTGCTTTTATTATAACATAGGTAAAAAACTGAATTCTCAACCGAAATCATATCGTTCTGTCATAACAGCAATTCTTTGTAAATTGCAGAAAAAAGGAAAAAAAAAAGCATAGGGAAGGTCGTTAGTTTTCAAGGTGAAAGAACGAGTAACTTTCGTTTTCAGTTATTGTTCTTGCAAGCTTATTTTGGTCTCACAGTCCCGAATTACGAGCGCAATGAAGCAAAATTACGAAAGTGAGTTCATTACGACTAAAAGAACGAAGGCCGCAAAGGATCAAAAACAAAACCATATGGAAACGCTGGTGGTCTTTAACGCGCAAATAAGATCCAAACAACACAGGTGCGAGTTGACAGCCCAATTATGCAAATCGCAACGCAACCGATGCCGGTACCCTAAACGCACCAGCGACCACAAACGATCGACCAGTTAGTTGTCTTAGCAACTCAAAGAAGAAAAAAAAACTAGAAAAAAGAAAGCATCGCTCGATCTAGCAAGACATCTGCCGATACTGAAAGGTGTGCGAAGCGAGAGTACTGAAACGGTAGCTCGAAGAAAAGCCATCGGGGTGAGAAAGGAGCTTTAGAATTCTAAGAAGCGAGAACGTACGCAGAGTTAGCACGCTGTTTTACAATGAAAAAACGTCTTACTTGTTGGTTATCACCGTTCGTTGCAAGTCAACATCACGGCGATAGCCGACCGAGCAAAGACAGTCATCTGCTACAATCGTCAATCAACCGATGATAGGTGGATTCTGTTGGCTATTCCTATTCCCGTTCCAAACGTAGTGTTTGTGCGATTTGTTGTCTAAAATAAAGTATAACAAAGCCAATTTTTACTTGCTATAAGAAAAGCTCATCTTGATTAAACTATGATCTCAGAATACTACGGGACTTTAGCAATAGTGTAATTCGCGGATGAATAGCGGGTTACTCGAAACTACTCTGGCATACTCGAAAGCATACACGCGTAGTGACGTCATAAACTTATTTTCGCCCGGAATCGACCCGCCGATTTAAGGGAATGTGAAGGAGCTCGGTAAGCGAACACGGCGAGTTCAACATTTTATTTACACGCGTATTCGCGCACGCGGTGGTAGATGCCGGTCTGCGATTAGGTGAGAAATGAGATCATGTTTTGTACAAAGTTCAGTAGGTTCAATCAATGAGTTTTTCACCTAACAGACAGCTATGGACCCCAACACAAACGAAAACCACGCTCCAAACGAACGACAAGGCCATTACGCCCGAACGCTGACCGAATCCGAGGCCTCCAAGCTGGCACTGGACACGAACCTGCTGTCGGAGTTCAAGCGCACGAAGCTCGAAGCCGAAGCTCAGAAAAACTGGGACCTGTTCTACAAGCGCAACGAAACCCGGTTCTTCAAGGACAGGCACTGGACCCAGCGAGAATTCGAAGAACTCGCGGCGTCGGCGACGTCTTCCAACCGCGCCGACGAGCCGCCCGTGCTGCTCGAAGTGGGTTGCGGCGTGGGCAACTTCATCTTTCCCTTGCTCGAAGAGAACACCCGTTTCTTCGTGTACGCTTGCGACTTCTCGCCGCGAGCCGTCGACTTCGTCAAGTCGCACGCGCTTTACGACGAAGCCCGCGTGAAAGCATTTCGATGCGACCTGACGCGAGATGCTCTGACGGACAGCGTACCCGAATGCGGCGTCGATGTGGTCACCATGATCTTCGTGCTGTCCGCGATCTGTCCCGAAAAGATGTCGGCGGCGTTGGAGAACGTTCGCCGCGTGCTCAAGCCCGGTGGCGTTGTGCTGTTCAGGGACTACGGGCTCTACGACCAGGCCATGCTAAGATTCGCGCCGGGTCATAAGATTGGCGATGACTTTTACGTGCGGCAGGACGGCACGAGGGCGTACTACTTCTCCGAGGAGAACTTGGCCCGGCTGTTTCGGGACGCCGGCTTTGAGGCGGAGAGCAACGGCTACGTGCGACGCGAGACTGTGAACAAGAAGGAAGGAATCTGCGTGCCTCGGGTGTTCGTGCAGGGCAGGTTCCGGAAACTCTGCGGAGATGGCGCTGACCGGACGCTCACCTGATGCTCAAGTGCTTAAAAAAAGAAAAAAAGACAGGTTGCTGGCTGTTCACTGGAGGCCAAAGCCGTGTTCCTAGCTGCTGACCGCGAGTTGATGGCAAGCTTCCACTGTGTTTTTGTAACATGCATACCAGACCGTCAAGACCTGGAACCAGTCTTTCACCAGCACGTTTACCCTCCTGTCCTGCCCATCCGTTGAAAGTGGTCTCGAAGTTGCAACAAATTACGTCGCAGGAGTCGGTCTGTCATGCTGTCGGATGTTACGATCCTAGTAGTCGACTACAGAAACTCTGGCAAGGAAGGCAACAAGGCGCGAGAATTGCTATCGTTGCCCAAATCCTGGCTGTCGGAGCTTCCATAAACTGTCCAGCTGGAAAGCAACCTGCACTGCTGACGTGCCACTCCCAATGTCGTGGCGGGCAACAGCACGACACTTCCACGATGTTACTGGGCAAAAATTGAGGGACCACATTTGAGGACGCAGTCAGCACACCAGTCGGGAGATGTGTTCCAGGCACAACAATGAAGGCCGTTGGCCTTGGCAGACCTTAGGTGTGCACTCGTTCCGAGCATAGGCCTCCTGCGTCAAAGTTTAGAGCGAACTAAAAAATACCTTGACATCCGGCGAAATCGGCTAGGTCCGACACAGTAGCACAATTGAAAATGCGGGGTTCGTGCTTCCGGTGCTAGGGTACGCGTCTTCTATCTCTGTGGGGATGGCAAAATATCTGGCGTCGTGACGCTTCTTTTTTTTTTTTTTTCTTCTATACTTTGAGACGTGTGAAACTATGCCTTTTGACTCGCGCCACCGTGGCGCTCGTAGCGTCTCATCTTTGGCCCACAATACGACGGCGTTCAAACGTTTCCTGTTTCTTTGCATTTTCCTTGCGATTGCGTTCCGTACCAGGGCAGGCACGCTTCTAGACGTGCGACAGTTTGAGACACCTACGTTTGTACTACCCAAAACGAATCTCTTTTTGCAGCGCCGCCTGGGCAACATAGGAGGCCTATGCGCTTTGGATTGCGCACTCAAATATGGCATCCAAAAAATACTTCATATAGTTACTGATAGAGTGTGTAGGGGGGAGCTTCAGCTGTCCTGTAATTTTCGTAATTTTGAAGTTATATATAAGCTTACCAGACGAAAATCTGGGGACTTTTTATATTATAAAAAAATGAGACCAAATTGACACAGATTAACTGAAGTAAAAAATTTATATATGCATTTTCAACAAGCACAGGTATGTGCACGCCTGGTTCAAGGCTGTAACAATGCTCAAACCTTTTATAAGGACGTCTACAGATAAAATTTTGGTTATCACAAGTTACAACTCATTACTATAGAAAATTCTTTTAACTTCTGGCCTGACTCCACTCATTTCTTTCGCTTGATTTTTTTTTTTATACCTTGCCTACATTATCTTTTTCAAGGTTTTTGCCTGGTAGCAGTTGGCCGACGATGGCATGAAATGTGAATGACTAGTCTGTCAGCCCTTCTTCCCGACTGAAGCAGACACTGTGAGCACAGGCTTCCTTCTGTGCCCTAATGCAGTTACGTGTGTCAGTATCTTCCGTCGCAGTGTTACCCGCTCAAACACTAGCCAGAGAAAATAAACAGGGCACACAACTCTGAGCAGTATTGCTTTTGCTAACCGTAGCTGAGGTAGCTTGTTTGATGTGGCCGTTCAACAAATCTCACTGCTGCAATTTCGCTGTGCTCTTGCTATCTTTGTGCATTGGCAACAAGCGTTAGGACACACCGGCCAATAAAGCCAAGAACATGGTTACCCCCGGTGGACACCATTAGCATCTTCCGAAAGGCATCTTCTAAATCCCCGCGCACAAACCGTACCCCGAGAAGTGCGGTGTCGAGCACTTCCTGCAACCCTGTTTCGGCGAGGATGGGCACGCACCGCACGCCTGTCACCTTGCCGTGGTAACACGTGACGCTCAGCCTCATGACGGCGGCATTGCTACCACTGAGCATGTCACCGAGGTCCAATCCGCTGGCTATCTTCGGCGGCAGCTGGAAGGTGCCGCTGATGGTAAAGCGCGGAGTCATGCCAAACACCCAGTCCCAGCTCCGGAGGTGTGCACAGGTTGCGTCGATTCCCGGGAAGTTCTCTTCAGAAGGGTCCACGGTGTGGATCTGGGATCCTCTGTCGTGCGACAGCCGAGCCTGGTGGGCCAGTCCAACGGACTCTGCAAGGGACTCCACCGTCATCCTGGGACAGAGTTCTTTCAGGTTCTTGACGGATGCTTTGACGCTGGATGTCGCCTTGCTATCTATGTGCTCCTGAAACCAAAGCAAATAGATTTCAACTGGCCGGCTCGACCGAACAATTCTGTTCTCTGCCAGCGACCCTGCCATATCTTAACCGTTGCGAGTGCAAAACGGTACTTCCCGTATTTGTAAACGCTGGCTTATTGGAACGCGTATGAAACTAGAAAGACTGGCAGCCACACTTCTGCAGAAGCTGAAACCTACTCGACCCATTCTTCCTAGGCATCAAAGCCGCACACTACAACTGAGTCAGGTGGCAGGAGGCGTGTGGTTTAGAAAGGACGAATGGGAATGACCCCACATGGCTCTCGAGGAATTCTTGAAAATCCTCTTTTGGCGTGCCCTTATTGGCTGCTCCGATGCTTGCTTTCACAACCTTGAGTTTTGTTTACCAGTTGCAGTAAATTTATGATGCCGGCTACTGGAGGCGGCGGAGAAAAGTTCACTGGAGAAAATCCCACCGGAAAAAACTCGCCGCAAAACTGTCCGAAGCGGAGAAAAGCTCACAGGCCTTTTGACAGATGCAGAGAAAAGCTCGCCTACAAATCTAAGAATCGAGCATTCACTCAATTGAAATACATTCATTCCAATGAGCGCACGTGGTCATTGTGTATTTCCCTAGCAGAATTTATTTTTAAAATATAAAAACGTTTTTTTTATGTTGCGTGTTGCCTGACGAAAATAAAATATGTAAGTTCAATAGCACGCAATTGAAAAATAATAAGGGGCAGGAATATAACCAGTGTAGAGGACTGCAGCTTGAGTAGTTTCTGGATATTTATTTTTTAAATGACCTTTTACGTAGTATACCGACACCGCATTGCCAAATCTTCACATTTTACCATTTGTTTCAGACTCAAGTGGTTTCAATTCTTGGCTCATTCAAACTGAAAATATAGAAAGGTTGTATTTCCTACATCCAGGCTACGTTGGAATGAAATTATGGTTACTCACGCGAGGTGGGTTGATGAAAAAAATGCAACAAGGGCTATCAGCCTGGGTGGAGAATAAAAATCAAGATTTTAATTGTGATTTAAATCAGACCAGTTTTACTAGGATGACTTAAACCTTTCCCACAAAAATACCCCCCCCCCCCAAAAAAAAAAAAGATATATATATATATAAATATTATGTTTGTTATTAGATGCTTCTTATGTGCATCCGTTCTGTATTTAAATTTTAAAAAATCATCACGCAAGAAAACTTTTTATTGCTTTGAGCTTTATTTCTACCTTCGTCTCTGTTCGCCGGTTATGTCACATATTTTGTACATACATATATGTCACATATCACAACTTATACTAAGCTCTTTTTCTTCTAGTTTGGCAGAATTTTCACAAACAAAAAATGATTAAAATTGGTAAAAATACTTTTTTTCCTCATTGTTTCCACTGATCGAAAGAATTGATCAAACAATCTGTCGTATTTAAAATGCATATAGTGATAAATAATCAATATTTTCTAGCTACAGTGATTTAAAACATATTAATAAATCAAATAAATCTTATTTAAATTAATAAAATCTGATTTATTTTATTGTTGTTTTTTTCATTATATTTCTACCCTGGCTACAGCCTGGAAACCTGATGTGAAGTGTGTACACCGTGTAACACTGTTGACATAAACAAGCAATTTTTTTTTGTCTTAGTTAGGTTTTAGAGGTTGCATAGATACTACTAGTGCGGTGGAAATTGCTTGTTGGAGGCACAAAATGGCAACCACTTTACACAAAAATTTATTTTGATGTGAGCTTTTCTCCGGGTCTGTCAACAGACTGGTTAACTTTTCTCCAGACCCGCACAAATGTTGGTGAGCTTTCCTCCAGGGAGCTTATCTCTAGTGGGATTTTCTATGGGATTCTGCTGCTGGTATGAACAAATGACTGCTCTTGGTTTGTTTCCTGTAATGGCTAATTAAAGCTTCAGTTTTGCTGGAATCTCCAATTATGGCAATCCATCTCACAACAGTACAGGGGCATGATAGTAGGGGTTACGATATATTTTTTCCCATATTACTACAAAAGAAACAGAACACAATGAAATCGAGCTAGGAAGTTGTCACTCACACATCGTCCTCCTAAGACCTGGTGCATTGTAGTTGTGTTGACATCGACCAGGAGTGTGAAATGATGGTAAGCTTTTTGGTGTCCAATCTTGGAGGCTGTGCCAGATATCTGGAAATGGTATAAAAATGGCAGGTCTGGCAAGATATGCGCAACAGTTAACTGATTTAGGAAGATGTTAACCAAATGCTCCCAAAAAGTTGCCTCTGAAAGATTGTTGGCAAAAACAAGACACACACTTTGAAAGTGAAGATTCTGAGAAATATATGAATTACTACAGAGCATTTCTCCCCCATTTCACATTTCTTTTTGGTTTCAATGGGATGCTGGTCACATTGAGCGCCTCAACTGGATCCTTAAATAGAACAATTTAATTGTATACAATTGATATAACAAAGTGGTGTAGCTAAAAGTGCATTAGCATGATGAAGCAAACGACTCAAAGTTGTGAAGTACTGTTTGCAAAGCAAGTCACCCTGGGTGACCTGCAGTGTTTGGTAAAGAGTGTCGAGGCAATAATTTACTCGTGTAGTTTCAAAAAACGTGTAAGTACATATAATAACAGACAGTCCAGTAACGCTGCTGAATGGCGTCTGCTACAATCGCCCCATGATGGCGGCGACGGTAGCAGACGCCAAAGAGGTCAAGAGCAGAAGGGCACCTTGAAGGCGTCCTGCACCAGCACGTCATCCCTGCTCGTGATGGACGCATTCACGCCCCAGCAAGTTCTCAGAGAATCGCAGACAAGTCGGAGGTTAGCCTTGCGGTCGTAGTCTCGTTCGTGACCCATGAAGCAGCAGTTGAGGTTTCCCGCGTCGTGGTAGACGGTGCCACCACCACTGTTCCGCCTCGCCACGTCGACGCCAAACCGGGAGGCGTTATTCAGGCTGCACTCCACCCACGGGTTCTGGTGCCTCCCGATCACCACCGCCGGTGCGTTAGCCCACATCAGGAGCAGACCCGGTGAGCCGGGCTCAAAATCGACCTTCTCGTAGATCCACTGCTCGAGCGCCAGGTTGCGGTAGATGTCATTCGATTTGGAGAAGATGGCTGCCCCTTTCTTGGCGAGGTATGAGAGTTCGTGCTGTTTGCCAGACACAGACGCGGCGAGGTAGCCCAGCAAACGCATTGCGGAGATTCGGTGTATTCGTCGTGCGATGCCATCCGTGCAGGAACCCCGCGTCGCGTGAGTGGCGTGCTTTGCTAATGGAGGCTGCCATCTTCGGGGAAGCAGACGAGGTTGACGAGATGCGCAAAATTCTGTCAAAGTTAGCGAAACTTAGCAAAAACTCCGGGGTCGCGAGTTTTCGTTCTCGTTCCTTTCGTCGAACCAGTCCAGTCGAACCTGAGGCCCCAACGCTCGACAGGGTCGGCAAACTTGAACGTTTGGCAAAAATAATCTTGTTAAGTAAGTTGATCGAAACCGAAAGTAACGACATCTAAGTTCAGCTGAGACGGTTCTGTATTTGAGTAAAAACATCTAAATAGTCTTCATTTGGCCTCCAGGATCACAAGTATCGAGATTAATTTTCAACTTTGTGCACGAAGGCTGCAGAAACTAAATAGTACCGCTGAAGCCCCTCCTTCCCGGGCGTGACGGACATATACGCCTCGCAAGTGGGCTCATTTTCGTCTTCTGCGCATAAGAAAGGAAGTAGCGGTGACGTCAGAACGACGAACTCTGATTGGCTGATCGCGGCCCCCTATCTCAGCGTCGTCTGCTCCTTTGCAACGTCGTCTGCTCTCAACGTCGTCTGCGTCTGTCTTACCTTTCCTGCGACTTTCGGAGCGAACTCGACCTCGCCTTTAAGAGAGGGCAAACGAAATAGCTCGAGCGGTACGTTGTTTTTGTCTAACAACTAGCAGACGCGCATCAAGGAGGGAAGTCAAAGGACTCCCTGGCGAGGTGTCCCGGGGCGCCGAGGTTTTTTTGCTTAGAACCGAGGCAAGTTCCCTCCCAAATACTTTTTCCCTCCATTCGTGTGCGGCGAGACCCCTCACTCTTTAACGGCGTCGGCGGGTTGGCGCAGTTAACGTCGTCTGCTTTACGTCTGCTAGTCAAAGCGGTCAAAGCGATGGCTGCTTTACCTTTGCTGCGTCTGTCGGAGATTCACCGCTTTTTCATTGGCGAGAGTCACCGTTGCCTCGGGAAACAAGGAGATAACAAGAGGAAGAAATTGACCCCTTAATCTAAAATTGAGGTCAGCAATCAAAATATTATACGGGAAGGGTTCACAAGGGTCGCGCGGGTATATTCCACTCAGCACGCCAGCCGGTCGTGGGCAGACGGTCGCCGAGTCGCGGAGAGCCTGCTAGGCCTAACTGCCCAGCTCGTTTGGTCGCGTTCGGTGGGATCGTGGCCGTGGGAGCTTTTCCCGGGTGTTTGTGGATCCAGTGTTCTTGTTCGTCGTGGTCTGTTTCAAGTACTTTCTTCTCTAGCTGCTTGAAGTCGGGACGCGTCAGAACCGCACGTAAAAAAATAAACGTCCGTGGGTCGTCGCGACCGCGACGTTGTCGGCCATGCTGATTTGATCGTAAGAAGTGCGAAGACAGCTTCGGAGCTGTCGTAGGATTTTGTCGTAACCTGCGCAAAAGTTACGAAAATTTCGTTTCGTGAATACGAATTTGCTCTTAAGTTTTGTCTTACGCACATGTTTGGCGTAAGATCGTTTCGTGAATCTGGCCTCTGCACTTCCGAAAGTCGCAGGAAAGGTAAGACAGACGCAGACGACGTTGCGAGCAGACGACGTTGCAAAGGAGCAGACGACGCTCAGATAGGGGGGCGCGATCAGCCAATCAGGGCTCGGCGTTCTGACGTCACCGCTACCCCCTGCGCGAGAAGCAGACGAACTTGCCCTCCGCATTAGTTTTCGGGACTTTCGGAATCTCGGCTCTCGCGCATCTTCAGCACCTGTCAAAGCTATGCACGCACACTCTTGCTATATTCAGAAAAGGTCAGGAAGAGACATCACGACTGCTGTCCGTGCGGGGGTATTACGAGCGACACGCATTTGGCGGCCCAAAGCGCCTAGTATGACTTTTAACTGACGTTGCTTTTAACCATGTTCATCCTAGTATGACGCGTCACGACTGCTTCGAAAGTTTTTCGTGTTTTCGCTCATTTAGTTACATCTTCGGGGAAAACGAACAGATTCACATGATAAAAATGTCAGAATTCACCCCTATCTCGTTTTTATCAAGAAGTGTTCCAGCTTTCCCTTAAGCGCGGATCAAAGAATCGCATTGTTCCACTAATTTCAGGAATGTAAAAGTGACACTAGGGATAACAAAGGATTGCCTGGATAGTCCGGGCCAGAGCCGTATATTGGGACAGTCTGGCCAGTAGGTGTGGCGACGAACGCACTGGAGAGGAGAAAAAAAGGGGGAGAGCGCTGAAGTAGCGACAGGAGGGAGTAAAGAGGAAATAACAGCCATTTTGATGCAGCATGCTTTTGGCGCAGAGCTAAGGTAGCTTGTGGCAGAGCACCGTTGTGGCTACGCGTCGTCTTCTACGGGTAGACTTCTTTTTTGCCTGAATAAAAATTTGCAGTCAAACATAGAGAAAACTTCATTCGTTAGCTTTTTGACCCACCGAGGAATAATACTGTACAATTTTCTTGCCAGAGCCAGCGAAATAAAAGAAGTGAAATTTGGATGTCGATCCCTTGCATTCCACTAGTCGAACGAATGATAATCGCCGCCATCCCCGCACAGCTGGGAGTTCACGCAAATGTGCACGTGCCTCTTGCTCTACGCCACGGGCTGATTGGCTCACTCGGGAGAGGGGAGTTATGGCAGCAAGATCATAAACTGGCCAAACTCTCACTGCTCTGGCCCAGGCCAGAGCCATATATTGGGAGTGTGGTTAGTAGGCGTAGTAAAAGGCACTGGAGAGTAGAAAAGTGAAGGAAAGGGGGAGAGTGCCAAAGGAACGAGAGGGGAAGGAGGGAGCAAAGGAAACTACCGCCATTTTGACACCATACGCTTTCAGCACAAAGCACTGTTGGTTGAGGCTACGCATCATCTGCTACGGGCAAACTTCTTTTTCGCCCGAATAAAAGTTTGCGGTAAAACGTCGAGAAACCTCCTTTCATTAGCTTTTAACCCGCTGAGGAATTAACACTATCATTTTCTTGCCAGAGCCAGCGAAATAAAAGAAAAGCAAACTGGATGTCGATCCCATGGACGCGTCCCACCGTTAAAGATGGCAGCATTCCACGCACAGCTGGAAGCAGACGGGAGTTTATGCGCATGTGCTCGCGCCCCTCTATGCCGCAGGCCGATTGGCTCACTCCGGAGAGGGGCGTTACGGCGATGAAATCATAAACTGGCCAAACTCTCCCAATATACGGCCCTTGCCCAGGCCACAGTGGCCCCTAGGCATGGAGGTAGGAATAGGAGTCAACGTACTGGCTCAAGTGAATTCGGAAGTACAGGTCGCGATTGGTGGGAACACTTCCAAGGGTGCCCATAGTCTTTTGGTTTTTACGGTTTGGTCGTCATAGTGTCCCTCCAAACCACAAGTCTCCCCCGGCTTCACCTCTGGTAGCGCCATGTCACCTCCAGAAGCTTCCTACTTCTGTGACCCCATGCCTTCTGTCATAGCACCAGCGAGAGCAGTCGAACTCTACCTTCCCGGTGCTAAATCTAGAGGTGCGCAAAGGATGGGGAATCTCTGCTCCAACAGCTAGTGACAAGCCGCCGAATGAGCAAAGGGTTCAGTTTCTTTTGTGGAAAGGCACAAAAACAGAATAGCAAGTCGCAATATGAAACAAGCTCTTGCTTTGGACGAGCTCACCTTGATGTCGCACAGGGGATTTAAAGTGTCCTCTGCAATAAAAACCAACTCCTTCACCCAAGTTTGTTGAGTGGTCGGAACTTTGGAAAATATGAAACTGCTGCTTTGAACAGACTTTCAAAGTCACCTTGATGAAACCAAGATGAGCAGAAGAAAGTAGTGCAGACAGTGTTACCACACTTTCAAGCAGTTATATACGTCGTCCAGATGTACAAAATTTCATGTCTTAAAAAACTTTTTTTTTTTAAATGAAGTTATGCCGCGAGGTTCCAAGACTACTAATTAAAACACGAGATTCAAACAAAGATGTAAAACATGCGCCAAAATGCTATAACCACACTAAATAAAGTAGCAAGACAACCACAGTTTTAATGCATAGACTAATGTTTATTTCCGCATTGTTAATGCTCTTGGCTACGGTGTTTACAAAAGGCTCTTTTATTAATTCAGCTGCGAAGTTTCAAACGGATGTCTTAAAAATCGAAAGCATCATATGCAAAAAGATTAAATTAAAAAATTTAAAAATCTGACAAGACACATAGGATGTATGTAAAGCAAAATGGAACAAATTTTCAGGAGCAAAAACCAACATCATACGAGTGTTCACTGTCTACTTCCCTGTTTGTGCCATTTAAAGTTAAATATATTTTATTTAGATTTGCTCCACTGCAAACAAAACTTCATTCGCAGAGTCATTTTATATCTTAATGTGGCACAAACCACAGAAAAGCTTTATGTCCAGTCATTCTCTTAGTAATGTGCCAAACAATTGCACTGCTTGTGCCATTTAAAGTTAATCTTTTTTTATTTTCTCTACTCCAAATGACCCTGTCTTCATAAAGTCGTTGCAGTTATTTATGTGGCACAAAGCATCATGTTCCTTCAGTAACGTGTCAAACAACCAAAAAAAAAAGCTTTGCAAACTTTTTGTTGTTACTTTAGCTCCACAGCCTGATCCCAAGTTTTGTTCCACTTTTGATCTGAAACCTGATCCAAGAGCCCCCCCCGTGAGCCAAGTCAACAGCTGCGAGCGGATTTGTCTTGTCTTGGCTATGCAGACGTGTCGGACAACCCAGGGCTGTCTGCTCATTCAAAGATGGGCACAAACTGGAGCACTAGGGCCTCGTGCTGGTCCAAGGAGAGTTCGCCCAGCCTGACCTTGGACTGCAGAGCACGTGTCGAGTGCGTGCTCACCACGTCCACGTGCCCAGACTCTGGTATGTGCGAGCTCGCCTCTGCGAGGTTCACCGTCACCTGCGTAACACGGTTTTGGCATTAGAGTTAGCAGATGCGCCAGGGCGGCGCAGCATGGTATCCCTACAGTTGGGACACACCTGAAACCGTTGTGTCATAGTGAGAGAAGGTATAGTGTCAAGACCCTGCTCTGGTACTATGCCAAGCTTTTGCTTGAGGCAGTACGTCGGGTACGTCAAGAAGGACGTAGGAAAATTAGGGAAACAAAAAAAAAGAGAAGGAAAACAAACAAGGAACTAGGTAAGTGGCACACTATGGCATCTCGGGGAAAAATAGGAAACTAGGGAACTATATAAAAGAGCAAGGAAACAAAATAAGGAACTAGGGAAGGAGCAGATTATGGGCACCTAAAAGAAGAAATGGGAAAATTTAGGAGAGAAATAAAAGATGTAGGGAAATGAACAGGGAACCAGAAAATAAACATGCAAAGCAAGGGGAAAACTTGGGAATGATAAGAGTAGAAACAATACTAGGGGAAAAAGGCAAACAACGAAAATTGCAGCCTGCACAAAATAACTGTTTTAGTAGCAGGGCTAGCAATGGTTTGGGGCACGTTGGGCACCTCGAGGTAGCAATTAGAAAATTTGGGAAACAAAAGTGGTAGGGAAACGAACAGGGAACTAAAAAATAAACCTGCAAAACCACGGGGAAACTAGAATGATAAGAGCAGAAAAACAATAAAGATGGGGAAAAAAACAGAAACAACAACTTACTAATGTCACCTTTGTCAAAGCTCGAAACATCCAGACAGTGCTCCGAAAGATCTACGCCTCGCTAAGGGCTCATTTTGTAGGTTGCAAAATAATGGATAACACTAACCCAAACCTCTCAATTTCAGCGAGTACTTTCTAGTTTGCTGGGTTCAGAAAGTTCTTATATGAAAAGCCATGACCGCTTATCTGAAAAGCCATGAGACCAGCCACGTCTCATTCAAGCGATCACAACGAGGGCATGGGCAAGTCTGGTGCAATCAGAGGTCACGTCAATAGTCTAATTTGGGTGCCTAAAGGGCCGTTCACACACTTGCGACCTCTTAAAACCAGGTGCCTTGGAACCTCTTAATATCTCTAACGAGAGGACACACTGGCGCCATCTATTGGGTACCAGTGTAAACTTGGCGGTCCGGCGTATTTTTTATTTCTCTCACGCATTAACCTTTCTTTCTTGGCTCAAAAAACTTTTGTCAACATTATAAACGAGCCTTTCTTATAGGTATTATGCACATTTGACCTCGGAAATCCCGCACAACCTTTGCTGTTCTGAAATGCAGTTACAGGGTCACCGCATAGATGGTGTCAGCGTGCCAGTGTGTTCTCTCGTCCCAAGAAATTTTAAGAGGTTTCAACAGGTCTCGTCTCTCCCGGTCATACTCTGTTGCAAGAGTGTGAACGGGCATTACGTGCCAAACTAAGGGCATCTGGCACGCTCCAGCGGAGGACTGAGAATTAATGCCCACTACCTGGGGATCTTACGGTGTGGGTTTGAAATCTTGGTTACACAGTACCTTCTCCCCAATAGAACCCTTTCGAAAATTGTGAAATGACGCATAGAATATGCACAGCCGCCATTAGTTGGTCTCATCGCTTCTGGCCCGATGCCCACACGTAACAGTGCACGACCAACTGATGTTGGCCGCACATAATCTATGTATTATTTTGAAATTTCACAAAGGGTCCATTAGCTTTCGTAGTATTGCGGCCACCTTGGCCGGGATTAGAGCCTGCCATCTGAGGATCCGTAGGCCAGCACATTGCCTCAAAGAAACAGAGATGACCTATGTCAAAAGTACCAGCAGATGATTTCGACGAGAGCAATTACTATTTTCAGTTAAGACTTCCAATGCAGTCGATCTTGTTTGCAGGTTATTTGAATGAGACTCCCGCTGTATCGCTCGCAGCTAGCCAGTCAGCACCGACTGTAAGCAGCACGTGCATGCATCACGCAAGGCTACTCAAGAAGATTTGAAACAGACACGGCAACGAGAGACACGCAGAACAGCCACTCACCGGCTCGTGAGCGGTGTTCACCACCACCAGGTAGCCCGGGGTGCCCTTGCGCACCCTCAGCATGGTGAACACGGTGCCGTTGTTGAGTACCGACGTCACCGTCGAACCCAGACGCACCGCAAGCTTCTCCCTGAGAGCCACCGAGTGCTGCACCACCTTCAGGTGGGAGTTGGTCTCGTTCCTCTGCGCCTGAATTCCGCAACAGCGCCATCGTGCAAATGTCAAACGAGCACCAAAAGCGAGAACTCCAGACAACTTCTACCAAGGTTTAAGCTTTCACTTTCTGAAGAAGACTGTCGGGACTGTACGTTTTCACAATTTCTGGTCGCTTAATGCCGCAAGTTATACGAGTCATAAGCAGGGTCTTTGGCACATACTGTAGTCCCGATTAATGATTGCTTCATTCTGGCTCCAGTCTGTTTTGATTGCAATGATGACGAGCCATGTAAATCGGAAAAAGCCAGTAGTAGAGTAGTTTAGAGATTTCAAAGTTGCAGCATAAAGCTTCAGGTGCAAATCCATGGCTATAAACAGTACTTTTATCGGACAGGTGCAGTCCAGGCCAAAGAACTGCGACGTCCCAAACTATTCTAGCTCGCGAAGTTGTTCAACCGTGAAGACAAAAGGATGTCGCTTACCTCAACGCTGGTAACACTGGGCCCTTCCGAGTCGCTGGGATGATACCACTGCATGACATAGTTCTTTGACGGATCTTGCAACTGCGTCACAGAAAAAAAAACAAAAAAAAACATAAGGCACCATTACTGTTGTGCAGGATGAAAAAGTCTAATGCTTCTAAACACTTCCCTCTCATTCACAAATTTTCTTTAGCCACAACAAGCGTGCCATCTGCAAAACATCTTGGGGGATAGCATCATTTATGGGATTTAGCGGTGTGCCCATTCAAACATAGTCAAAAACGACGGGCTTACTAATGTCGCCAGACGAGACTCCACTAATACCTCTCTTTCGAAATGCACACCACATGTCTAATTATGAGATTTGATTTGGAAATCAAATTCTCGTGCAGGGAATCCACTTCCCAAAACTACAAGCATGAGTATGCATACTCTATTTAAAAACAAAGAGCGAACATCAGCTCCCAGAAAAAAATTAACACAAGGTTCATCCGATGAACCTGACAGGGACAGGCCCATAGTACAAAGTAATTTCCATTTTGTAAAAAAACAAAAAAACAACCTACTAGGCTTATCTGGGATGGATGTAATATTTCACATGTCAAAATGCACATGCGCACAATTTAAAGTCTCATTATCTCGAACTAGCATACATGACTATAAGACAGCAAACTAAACTGAGCTACAGATCTTAGCTGTTAAGAGATTCAAACGTCACTGCCACCTTGGTCACTCAGTAACTACTTGGCAGCTGCTCCCTAAAAATTTAATACATAAATTAATGAGACACTTCACAGGCCACATGATGTGCCTACAATGGTGAAGTTCCATCTTTGTCCCAAGCTAATGAATTATCCACTCCTTTTAAAAGGACATTGAACACTAAAAAATAAAGTTTTTGATTATTCAACTTACATGTCAAATATATATGCCCCCCCCCCCCCCCCCCCCCCCACCCCCAAAAAAGATTAATGCAATACGGGAGCAGCGAGATGCAGTTCAAACAGAGCTGTGGATAAGGCGTTCTGAGTCAATCCTCCCACAGAGAGAAGTGCAGTGGATGTACTACTTTGCGTTCCTTCCAGGTGATGGGAGGCTGACAAAACAATTCTCATTTCGATGCACCCGCAACGTTTTCCTCCAAATAAAACTACCTCTTGAGCCAGCACATTGCATGCAACTTAATACCCACATTATTTTTTTGTTTATTTTTTTTTTCAGGGAAAGTATAGCTCGAGACATCAATAAAAATATCTAAACAAATTTAAAAAAAAAGAACATTTTTTTTAGTGCGCACCATTATTTGAAGTGCAGCAAATTGCATTATTTGCAACAAGCGACCGAACAACCTAAATGATTGTTTTTCACGAGACACCGGGGATCACTTCGCAGAAGTAAGACACCTAGGGAGTGCACAAGTCACGTGAAAGTCTTGGCAGCATTTCATCCACCCCACACGACATCCACGGCACGAGGACTGCACGTCGCACGGAACGAAGTTCCCAACCTTGAGACCGTCGTCTCAAGATTAGGAACTCCGAGTCGCCGCACCTCCCTCAACCGACACCTCCTAAAGTTGACAAGCCCCTAGTGCTAGATTTTCCACGCCACCCACACGAGGCCAGCACGGGAAAGAGATATCAGAGTCGGCGTTTGAGCCGGCATGCGTGTCCTCCGACGCAAGGGGCATGTCCACGCTACACGAAGCACATCTCCCCGACGGGCGTGTTTACGGCGTCCTCAAAAGAATCTCTAGATTTCCGCTCGACGGCGTACATCGTTAAGGTGCCAGGATCGCAGCCGTGCCACCGCCGTTCGGCTGTAGCTCATTCTCGGCTCGACGGCCTGCAGAAGCGTCTGCAACAGCGCGTTTGGGTACTGCGGCGACGGCAACGCGTTTGGCCAGTTGCCTCTTTTCATTGGAATTTCTAGAACTGTCGTACGCTCACAAATATTCAAACTGATATTTCATACTTCTGGGTAATTCAAACAAATTTTGGTTTGTCCCTCTGTTTTTCATGTATTTATAAACCCCTTAATTCAAACGGCATTTTCGTGCAATTCAGTTTTCGTTCTCACGGCCCCGTCGAGCGCGCTTTTTTCCGAGCACTGGTGCACCGCAGAGAAGCAACACCAGCAAAGCTCGCTTTTGCGGGTGCTGCTTCTCTGCAGTGCACTGGTGCTCGGCAAGAGGCCACTCGATGGAGCTAAAGCCAGGAACATGCGACTGTTGCTATAGCAACTTACGTGGACGCTGCGACTTGGCGGCACAGCACAAGTCCACGTCACGCCGTCCGTGCAAATTGCCGTGGAAGCTGCCGCGCGGTGCCCATTTTCATTGCTCATCTGTCTGCCGCTTAATAGTCCACAATAGACAACTTTTTTTGCTGGAAGAGCGAACTTAATTTTGCTTTGAGGTGTCATCTGCTGTCTAAACAGTACACGACAAACAACATTTTGGAGGGATGAATAAACTTCGGCCATGCATTTCACCAATGTTTCATGCGTGGCATACCTGCTCATGATTAGTACGCCTGTGTAGAGGAAATCGTGAAACATCTACTTTGCATGTGTAGCCATCCACACAACAAATCATTTTTATCTTGCATCGTATTTAGGTGAATCTTTGAAAATTCAAATTTCCGATAATTAAAAAACAAAATTTTTGGCTTTATGGAGTTTGAATTAATGAGGATGTAGGGCTTTGTGGAGTTTGAATTAATGAGGACGCTACGACACCTGACAGCCACCCCGAAACCACCTTTGATGCACGAGCAGTAAGATTGCCAAACATGCCAGTCGAAGATGAGTTTCAGACGCCATACTCGTGACCTCCCCCCTGCGGCACGCGCTACCTCTGCTAGATCTGGTGCTACAACTTTGTCATCGAGGAGGTGTCGCCTTGACACACACTAGACTGATGGCGAGAGAGGGCCAAAACGTACGTCTCCTTGCACTCCCAGCTCGTCGCCGTAGTAGAACAGGGGCGTCCCTCGAAGCAATGCGGCCACCATGTGAAGTCCGTCCAGGAGTTCCTCGCCTGCCCGGTGCGCCAGACGGTGGACACCCTTGGCACCCAGCTGCAAGACAACGGCAGGAACGCTCGTCAACTGTCCGAATCTTGCGAAAAAGGTTTGCAGTCAACCTCCTAAAACTATGTTTGCTATGCGGAGTGCAAGTTCGTCTGCCTCTTTTGCTGGGGTTGTGGTGACGTCAGAATGCCGATCTCCGATTGGCTCTCACTGAAGGATACTGGGTAGACCTTAAGGCTGCTTGCTTTGAGGTCTACCCACTATCCTTCCATCGTAGCCAATCGGAGCTTGGCGCTTTGACGTCGCTACAATCCCCGCAAAATAAGTGGATGAACCTGCACTTCGCATTGCAAATGCACAATAAGCGTAAGGGATAGGATAAGGAAAATGAGTTTGATATGTGGTAAAAGGCTACGTGCTGCGAGAACAGGTGGCTTTGTCCTTCGTCTCATTTGCACGTGCCCTCGTGCAAAGGCCTGTGCAAGCAGCTCCGACAGCACCGAGGGAACAATGCTGGCCTCGAAAACATCGCACCATAACGCCGACACTGAGTATAGAGGGAAACGCTGCGGTTTCCGCCTCGGAGTCATCCAGAGCTTTGGTGCCATTCAGTTTTTTAACTCTCTAGACGCAGCTCCAAAGAACCAACCGATGTACATGCGAGGCGAGGCCAAACCCTCTCTCTCTCTCTCTACACGTGGCAATGGAGGACCCACTGCCGTACATGCGAGGTCCAACGCCGTCTGGACTATCTGCACGCAGCTCCAGAGGTGCTGTACGCGCAACGCCCCACATCCTCTCAACTCTCTCGGCCTGTAGCTCCGAAGGGCCCCCTCCGTACGTGCGAGGCCGGACACCCTTCTCACTCACCACGAGGGACGGCCATTGACCTTCGGCCGTGGTGGCATTCAGCGCCTCGTGCACCACGTCGTTGAGGACCTGTGCATCCAGCGTGCCCGACCGGCGGGCAAACTCCCCGTTCAGCACCAGGTCAGCCAGGGGCTCGTCCGCCGACCCGTACAGCCGGGACATTTCGGCGGGCTTTCCGAGGGCCTCCACCGCCAGCAGCCTGCATTTACAACCGCGCGGATCACCACACCGTTCTCAGATAAGCATCTTCGAATGGCGTGTTCAGCGTCCTATACCGCCCACGTGCCAAAAATAATAACAATAGTGATGATCTTTATTTTCAAAGTAACGATACCCCAGGTGGCAACGAGCGATGTCGCGAGAGTCTGCGCGCTGTGCTGCGAGATGTCGGGATCCTAGCGGTTGGCCGTATATGTAAAGTGCAATCCATTCATGACGATAACGAAAAAACCCGAAATTTCAATCATTTCAACCGATTACCATACCTGGACTAGAAAGTACTGGTAGTTTCTACTCTAGGAACTCTAGAAACTGATTGTTATATGCAATACATTGTTTCAGGCACGTAGCCAGGTTTTTGTTTCGGGGGGGGGGGGGGGGGGGGGGGCACCCATGACAAAATGCTGTATGAGGGGGAGGGGGGAGAGGAGGTCCCAGCAAAATAAAAGATTCCGGGGGGGGGGGGCCTGGGCCCCATATGGGCCCCCCCTGGCTACGTGCCTGTGTGGTATCGTTTTTAGTGGATCGCACTGTGGTGACAAAAGGTTGAATGTTGCTGTCCTCACAGTGTTTCATTTGGCGCCAAGTGAAATTTGAATGTTGCTGCTCTGAAAGCTTTTGCGGTGTCGGCCATAGTAAATTTCGTAAGCACGAGCAGCGCTGAACCAAGTAGCAGTAAAAAAAGGAGTAAAGAATGAAAAGAACTTATTGAAAAAACAGCCAATTTTTTCAAACCAGATACAGCATATTTCACACGGTGTTCCAATTATTATAAAATAATGTGACCCTTTAGTCTTCAGTACAAATGGTTTTTCCCATTGTCCATTCTTCCAACGATTCCGTGGGGCATCTTATGAAAGTAGACAGATCCATGGGCTTTCTCCATGACGGCTTCTCCAACCTACGTCCCTCCGTTAGGTTCTTCGAGCGACCCGACTGGTTTACTCCTAACGTCGGTAGAGCGCCACTGGTGCTTCAATTTGTGTCTAGCGAAAACTTTCCCATAGCGTGACGGGAAGATTCCAAGCCAAGTAATTTAAGGACTATGCTATAACTAGACTGTAGGTTTTGCAGTATTTGAGAGATCAAAATTTAAGAAGTCCCCACCTAGCGTGGAGGAGATTCACTTAAGAATAAATCGGCCTCCACCTGAAATGGAGTGCAACTCGCACCCTCTAGGAGGCTGGTGGTCTCTGAAAAAAATCCGCCTGCTTCAGGCTTCGATCCCAGGACCTCTCCGGGAGTAGAGGAGCGCACTCCTAGTTTTGGAGGGGACCCGAGATTGAAACCTGGACCAGACGGGTTCTTCCACTGACCATCAAGAGGTTGTGAGTTGCGCTCCACTTCAGGTAGAAGCCAATTTATTCTTACTATCTACGAGAAATGGTCTCTTATCAGCGCTCAACACCCCAAAGCCAGACACCCATTCCCAGCGCCAACCCACCTGTGCACAGAGTCATGGCTATCCGAATAGTTGGTCAGAAGCTGACGCCAATCTTGCAGCAGCACCACCACTTCGGGGATGTCTCCTTCCTGCATGTTCTGTGCCGGCCAAAAATACATACGCCGCTTTGAAATTTCCTGGACAAGCTAACATCGCAACTGCAAAGTACAAGGTCCATCTTGTTCCGACCCCCACTGTGGTATCGGACAACATTACTTGGCGCTGTTTACTACGAGGATTGCGCACCTACTTTGTCGCAAAACATGGATTTAGCCAGTCGCTGCTATCTATAGAAGACTGCTACACTCCATTCGCCCCTAAGCGAACAGTGTGGTGGGAACTACGTATGAGTTTGCCCGACCAATGAGCAACCTCTCCTTCATCGCCTGACCCTACTTTCTATGTGTGGATGCGGGAGGGAGCGCTATCATGTGGTGACAGAAGACGCGTGACTGCTCCGACGAGCAGATGGCTCTCACCGCACCGTCAGGTTAGGGGTGAATGGAGGATGGCGGAGGCAGATACAAGTAGTTCTACATGAAATCACAGTCTCTGCTGCAACAGAGTATCGTGTTTTGCACACCAACCTCACGGCAACAAAAGGCTCTGTCCTTCGCCCGTTGTTTCATGGAAGTAAATGTTCAACACTCGTTCCTAAACAGCGCAGGAATTATTCGAGTAAGTATGGTACTGCAGTGACGCTCCTTCTCTGTGCCTCTCTTTGAGTGTTCTTGCCTTCTTAAGGGGGGGGGACATGGGCCTAAACATTTTTCTGAAAAAATTAATTTTTCAATTTTGAGGTTCTCGGTTCTAGAATCAAATCATACACCCTTGCACTAAATTTGATACCCATACGCGCAATAGTTACGTTGATATAAAACATTTTCAACACATTGTGGAACAAAGGAGTTCAATGTTTGAATGACTTTTTCTCAGTTCCACTTCTTGCTGCAAATTTCATATGAAGGAATCTTTTGTTCAAAGGTAAAAGTATTCTGATACCCCAATCAAGATGTTTCTGAACTGAAATTTACTGGGGAATCGGGCTATCTACTTCGTTTTAAGTTGAAGTTTTCAATGATAAAAAAAACTTCAGTGATAAAAAACAAAGTTTTCAAAAATTGACATAGGACAGATATGCATCTCCTATCATGAGGTAATAACTCTTCCTGAAATATTTACATTAGAGTTATTAAAACTAGATAGCCCTAAGTCCCATATCCCCCACATTATATTCAAGCAGTAAAAATGGTGCTTAATAGGTTCATTTGCATATCATAGTGACACATCAACTTATGCAGGTATGTAAATTTGTCCTAGAGCTGAAAGTTTGCACAGTACACCTACGTATGAAGTTTAATCTCCCCTGCTAAATTACGTTCCGATCACTTGAGTAGTTCAGAAGTTCGACCTCTAGCCAGTGTCCCCCCCTTAAAATGCACAATGTGATACCTCATAAACACCATCTGCAGCTCAAATCCTGTACTCTGGCTGTATGACACACTGTACCCTGTACTAAAACTAAGCAGACAGGGTGCATGCCAGAGAACGGAACACTCACGCTTGCACTGCCCTCAGTCAAGTTGGAAACCAAAAAACCGCTGACGCCACGGTCCAGCCAGAGCCGCAGGATCTCCTGAATAAACAAAGGCAGGAATAAACTCCAACTCTACAACGAACAAATGGAGGAACCAGACAGTGCAGACGTTCCCCCCTGCAACGCGTCCTGTTTAATGATATGCCTCTCAACAAACCCATGCGCACATTCGAGACAGTAGCTGAGCTGGTACACAATCACTGCTATGCAACGGCTGTAATAAACAGAATCTGAGCAACAGCGGCACGGAACATCGGAGCTATGCTTTGATAAAACAGATTTTATTGTTCAAGCTAAATGTTTTGGCAAAACCTTGCTTACTCACTGATCTGACCACTGTGGCATGGTGGTACAAGTCCAAGGTCAACATTGAAAGTATAATGTGAACCAGCACTGCATCAATAGCTTTCAGTTTTTACATAACCTCCTCTATTTTTTTTTTTAAACAAGCACATTAGCTTATAGGAATGGATGACTCGAAGCCACTTGCAAATCATCAAACTTCCCAATGTTTCCCCTGATTATTTACCGTAAAATCCCAAAAGATGCCCCACGCCCGAAAGAAGCCCACCCACATTTTTGGCTTGATTTGCTATATTTTTGTAAACACTGAAAGATAACCTACTCCTAGTAATAGTAGTGTTGGGATCAATGATGGCATCAGCGTAAATGTGGCTAGTTTGCTATGGCGGTACATAAGCGAACGTTGCTGACTTGGAAGTACAGTCATCTCTGCTTCGTTGCCCCTTGCCTCTGTAACAAGCTTGGAGGGGACACAACCTAAAAATGGCAAATTTTTAAAATCTTTTCTGGATTGTACACCTAAACTTAGCCCACTCCACATTTTCAGCCAATTTGCTCTTGATGTTAGATACGCTATCTCTCGGGATTTAACGGTAGTCTGAAAAATGCGGTAAAGTGAATGTATGCTTAGAGCTACCTGAAATAAATGTTATGCTGCGACAATCTGCTCCTTTTGTGCTCATATCTAAACAGAGAATCCTGGTGGCACAAAGCTCTCCTGAACATTTAACCTTCATCACGAAGTAACCAAGTACCACTGGCGACCTCGCGATAATAATTGCAGATTGCAACTATGACCATCAACAAGCGACTATGTCTCACTGGAAAAGTGCAAGGTGTCATTCTCCGAGGTAAGAAACAGCAGGGGTTCATTCACGAACGAGCCTAGAAGGTGAGGTTCTTACATTGAAACGCTCTCGGAGTTGGAAGCTGCGAAGGTTCAGGTCCGGCTTGGTGACGCCGCGCCGGTGAAGGAAGAACTGGCTACGGTCACTGTTCCAGCTCCAGGCAGGCTGCCCGTCTGCCATCGTCTGGAAAGAAAAGAGGAACAAGTTTTCCCCAAAGTTCCCTACGACAATGCCTAACCATGGCTCAAGTTTTGTATGCTCCCACCTGGGCCCATTTCACAAAAAGGGGTGCGGGCAACGCCGAACTTGTCCAGGACGTCATCTACATCGAAGTTCCCCAATTTTTCCACGTCGAGAAGCATCTCTCTCGTTAGTCAAAGTTGAGCGAAAAGAGAGAACGCCAATGCAAACTCTTCTTCGTTCGTAAAACATACCAGGTTTAGCTCGAGGACAGTAGCAGTGGAAGGGGGATTGGGAAGGGGGGATAGTTTTGCTGACTGCAAGTAGGCAGTGCCACAAAAAGTCAATCAAATATAAGTGCGCTCAAACGAGAGCATTTTAGGATTCGATACGAAAGAGAGCGGGAAATGGAGGGTACTGAGGTCGACCCCCCCCCCCCCCCTCCCTTCCCGGCGATGTCGCAACGTGGTTCCCACGACCACTGTAAGCAGCTGCAGGTTGGCAAGCGTTGAGTTTTTTTCCCCTTGCAAATATATGGCGGAACTGCGTCATTCCGGGGGAAGGTGGAGAGTCTTCTCTCTCTTGCGCTAAGGCAGTAGTCGGCAACCAGTGGCCCGTGGGCCGGATCCGGCCCGCGAGGCAGTATCTTGCAACCCCTAGCCCCCCAGCGCCCCCCCCCTCCCCTCCCCCCCCCCCCCCCCCCCCCCCCCAATGCGACCAGCTAAAAAAGAAGGAAAAAAAAATAAAGTTGTCTAATTCGCTGCCCATTGCCCGCCTTCACGAATGACTGACGAGGACCTCTACAATGTTTGCGACTCGCAGTTAGTAGCTTGAATGTGGATGTCGTAGTCTGTCGAGCGCAGTTCAACACCAGAAATCTCACTAAGAGGAGTCTCTAGGTTTTTGTGGAAATGTTGTATCTCATGTCGTGTGTCGTGAAATAAAGAAACTGTTCATTTTCGATTTATGTACGTCAATGTAAGTTTGTGCAAGTGTTTTTTTTTGTTTTTTTTTTTTAATTTTAACCCCCCCCCCCCCCCCCTCCCCCGCTGCTTGCCATCCGGCCCATTTCACTTTAGCTTCACGGTGACTCGGCCCGCTGCGCCGAAAGGTTGCCGACCACTGCGCTAAAATAAACAATATAAAAAATACAAGCTGCGAATACTTTTAATGCTAATATCGTTGCACCACATTGTCACATTGGTCATAAAAGAACTGCCCGCAGACACATTCAAAGCGCACATGCGTACGAAGCGGCCTCGAACACGCTCGACCCTTCTGTGCGACGTAGGGGCAGCGCAAACGCGGCTCAAGGGTCCGTCCACGTACCCAGTCGTTGGGGGGTTTGCTGTCGTCACCTCCGGCTCCGTCCCGCCACACATAGAGGTCGTCGAAGCCGTTCTCCTTCTTGGCACTGCTGGCAAACCAGGGGTGGGTGGCGTCCGTGAAGCCCGGCAGCACTTCCAGGACCAGGTGCATGTCTGGCGCCAAAGCGGGGAAAGGGGAGGTGTGACACCTTGGCTTCCCTCATTGGCATGGTTCTCAAATCGCAAGCGTCGATTCTCGGCCTCCTCTTTAATAAGGACGCTATGGTCACAGACAGGTTGAGAACGGCGGGGTGCCTCTTTCGGATGCCTAGCCTCCAGTACGTGCCCTTTGCCTCCCTCCGTGCTTTGGCTGTGCATTCATACTCAAAGCTCGTGAGACGACAAAGAGTTACCAAAGGTGGGAAGCTAGTCCTGGAGGCGCTACAACCAAGGGACCGCCCGCCGTTCTCATCTCGTCGGTGAACATAGAGGTGATGACGAACGCTTGGTGCAAACCTTTCCCTTTCCTCCCACAAGCACTTGGCGCGTCAAGAGAATCGCGCCCAAACCAGAACTTCGCCGTCGATAAAACGCGTGAAACCTGCACTCGTCGTGTCGGCAACTATCTGCCTCTGCTCGCTCTCTGGAGGCGGCAACACGTTAAGAATGCAGTAGAAGCTCTGCCTCAAGAACATGCTCGTTGCCTTCGGTGGTGCTTTGGCTGTGCATGCTCACGAGCTGCCATACTCTTTTATAGGCGCGCACCTTGCCCGTATAAGAGATTCAAAATAACCGAAATAAAGCGCTGACGTACACGGCTTTCTGGAGTTTGAATTACCGAGAGTCTACTGTAAAAATGCTTGCACCGAAGGCGGAGCCTCACTGCACTCTTAACCAGTCACCGACTACAGTAGATAGGTCTTCAAACGATAGTCTGTTGCAGGCTGTGAAAAGCTGTACGAGCTCCTCCAACAAAGCCCTCCACCCTTACCACTTTAGCAGAGTGAAGGCCGGAGAGAAGGAGAATGGAGAGGGAAAAACCAATTGTGAAGAGCAGAGATCTTAGGAGGAGGGGCTTATGCCGCTACTCTAACCCTGCAACAGCCTATGTAAAGAGCAAGTCGTCCGCTTCTTGCACAGGAGTTGCGGTGACGTCAGAATGACACCGAGCTCCGATTGGCTTTGATTGAAAGGATAGTGGGTAGCCCTCAACATCAGATGTCTTAAGGTCTACCCACTAGTCATCGCAACCCCCGTGCATGAAGCAGATGAACTTGTGCTCCGCATAGGCACGCAGAAACCCTCAGTTGTTGAAGGGAAGAGAGAAGACCGAGCAGGAGAGACGTGCCACAGGTCCAACTCAACTCACCCCCGCTCCTTGGTGGCATTTACCAGCGCTTCGAACTGGTGAAGGGTGCCCAGGAGGCCTTCATCCACCGTGGAGAAGTCCGTCGTGCCCCCACTGCCCGGAGCGGTGGGGAAGATGGAGTTGAGGAGCAGAGTGGTCATGCCCAGGCTCTTGATGTAGTCCAGCTTTGAAGTCAGACCTGAAGGTGGTGGGGACGATTAGAGATAGCAGAAATTTTTTTCGATTCAATTTTGTACTCTATATAGTCGCAAAGAAGGAGAGGGAAAAAGTGAAAGCCGTTTACAACTCCCTGTAACGCCAAATTGGAGCGCAGCTCTTGAGGAGGAGGAGGGAAGGGTACTAAGGGGAGGGCAGACCCCTCCTCCTCCTCCTCCTCCTCCCCTCATTCTTTAATATGCTCCGGGGGTCGCCTGACCTCGGGGGGGGTGTCGCGTGACTTCGGGGGTCACCTTGGGGGTCACGTGACCTTGAGGTGACCATGGCACGGGTCACGTGACCTTGAGGGGTCACGTGACCTTGAGGGGTCACGTGACCTTGGGGTGACCTTGGTTACGCCGACGGCGACGCCACTCAAGCCGGAAACGGGCGCCTAAGAGCTGCACTCTAAAAGAGCTTTGTAGAGTAGCTTGACAAGTAACCTCCTTTTGGAAACCAAAACAATATGGTTGTGCCGGGAACACCCAGCATGTCGATTCAATTAAGCAAAAAATCATGTCTAATGCGTTCTTAGAGTGCCTGTATTTAGAACCTTTCCATTTATATTGTGTTCTTAACTTTTTGGCTATCTGCAACCTGATCAAACCTCTAGTGGGCAGAGGCATATCCAGGGATATTTGGCAAGGGGGGCCGAGGTGTCTGGGATGCTGGGGTGTGTGTGTGTGTGCGTGTGAGGGGGTATACTGAAGTCGCATAAGCCGCCCCCCTGGCTATGTCACTGCTAGTGGGCGAATCATAGGTCACAGTAATCATTTATTTACACTATGCGGAGCATCTCAACTACTGTACAAATTTAAAAGGTCAATGTAGAAGGAAACTAAACAAAGAGTCCACCCTGAAAACAAATGTTACGGTCTCAGAGGTCTGAATCTTTGCATGCCAACTAGCGGCACTAAATACACTAAATGCTCTAAATTTCTGCACAGAACTTTTAGCAACTCGTCGAATGATGGCATATTTCCTGACAAATGGAAACTGGCCAAGATTGTGCCCATCCACAAGGCCAGTGACTCGCTGTCCACTGCCATATACACGTTTGCAAGTCCGGTCTCAGGGCGCCGCCATCTTGCTCAGTGGGGTGCGCTTGGGCGTGGCCAGAATCCGATTACGTCGCCTTAGCAAGGCTTCATAATCGGATTATGACACATCCAAGCGCACCCCAGGCGAGCAAAATGGCATTGCCTTAAAGCCAAACTTGCCAACCTGTATATTCCCCTTCCCTCATCATGTAGCTAAATAGCTGAACACATCATACTCAAACATGTGGCCAACTTCCTTGATGCTTGTCAACACGGATTCAGATGTCTACTTTCAACCATGACTCAACTGACAGAAAGAGTACATGACATTGCGGAATCTCTAGACAGGCAGGGGCAAGCCGATGTAGTATTTATGGATTTTTCTAAAGCCTTCGATCGTGTGACGCATCCCGAACTTCTGAGAAAAATCGGGATAATCCTAAATAATAGCAACACAACAGAGTGGATTGAATCATATCTCGTGAACTGCAGCCAAAGCGTATTCGTAGGAGGTGTTAACTGATAGCATACTAGTTGTCTCCGATGTCCTTCAGGGGCCTGTCCTGGGGCCCCTCTTATTTCTTATTTTTATGTACGATTTGGGCAGTCATGTTAAACGGTGACAAGAATGTTTGCAGAGGACTGTATTTTGTACCACGAAATAAGAAAAGTAGAGGACCAGCCTTATCTCAACAAACACTTGCAGGATTTTTCGAACTGGTGCTCTGCCTGGCAAATGCCACTTAATCGGAGAAAATGTGTTATTTTGACTTTTACACAGAAAAAGCATCTGTTTACCGTTTCATACACTGTAAACAACCATCCTCTCCCAAGCATGTCCAACTTTAAATACCTTGGTGTAACTCTCAACGGACCTACGATGGAATATTCATGAAGACACAATTGTATGCAAAGCCCAAGGCAAACTTTGGTTCCTAAAGCGTAACCTAAGGCATTGTACCAGCTTAGCTAAACTGATTGCATGCAAAACATAGATTCGCCCAGTACTCGAGTATACAAACAAATGTAAACAAGCTGGAAATGGTTTAATGGAAAATACTTCATTTCAAATATAATAAATATAGCACCCTAGAATCTGTAACCCCCCTCTACACGCAAGCCAAGTTGAACCACACTCTGATGGTTTCTCTGTTTTCGTTATTAAACCGTTTATAATATTGATATACAGAGCGTTTCACGAAAGGTGGACCCATTCAATGTGAAAATCTCCCCGTTTCTAGCTGAACATAGAGACGAAGATGTGCCTCACCCTCAAAGTCACCAGTGTTGTCCTTGTTGGAGTCGCGGAAGGCGGTCACCTCAACGTTGTACACGGGCGAGCTCTGCCACCACGCCAGTTGTGGGGGCGAAGCGCACCGCGGAGTAACCACGATGATGATGATTGCTCCAACCAGCATGGCCAGCCAAAGCAGCCAGAAGAGCACGAAAAGGGCCATGCGGGTGCGCACCCAGAATGGGTCGTTGGCATACTTCATCAGCTCGTCCTTGCTCAGTCCCACAAACACCGACTGCGGACAAAAGAGTATGTTACGGAAAGGTATAGTCTTGGGGGTGCTGGGACTGTCTGGACCGTGATGTCCTTACTCCGCACCTAAAATGTCACTAGACATCCCTAGATATCTCTTGCATTGCTTCTCTTACTCCTGTTCCATTTTGGAGTTACAAAGATAAAAGCCCATTCACATACTAGTACCATTTGACAATGTAACTACATTGTAGGGGATTGGCATTTTGTTGTTCAAAACCTGGCTGGTGACGTCGCCGTCACCAGCTTCTCCTTGGCAGTCAGTTCGCCATCTGCCACAGCATCCTCCATGGTGGCGTGGAGGTTTGATACCAGACAGACTAATGCCCTTGGGGTCACTGCAACTGTGTTGCCATGTCAACCATGCAATTCAAAGCTTCCCAGGTGAGAGTCAATCCACCTGCAGCTGGATTATGGAACTGGACCCAGCTGCATCTAGCTGGAAATGAGGCAGTCTGGCTGGATCCAGCTAAGGCCAACTCTATAATGCAGCTGCAATTGAACTGCTTTTCACCTCGGTTTGTTGAATTGGTAACCCAGATGCATGCTTCTGAGAGATAATTTTGCAGTCAAAACATACAACCTTTATTAAGTTAAAACAGACTAATATTGTGCTGCCTGGATAGCACTTCATGCACCCTTGTCTGTTGCCGACTTGAAACCACGGGGCCTCCCTTTTAATGGCTCCCAATGTAACAAACATCCTGCAGGGTTGTGAAAGGCACTGTTTAAAACTGTCAATGTTGAAGTTTGATACCAAACAGACTAATGCCCTTGGACAAAAGCATGACCACAGCAAACAGTCAAGAGCACGTCTATAGCAGACAGTCAACAGAATGACCAAGGCAGATGGCCAAGAGCACATCCACAGCAGATGGCTCAGGGCATGATCTGCATGGTCACAGTAGATGGCCAAGAACATGATCACAGCAGATGGCCAAGAGCATGATCACAGCGGGTGGCCAAGAGCATGATCACACCAGATGGCAATAGCAGCTAGATGATATCTCATTGAACATGACCAAAACATTGGCCCCAGACGTATATTTTGCTTTCTATTGTATTGAGTGCTCAAAAACCAACAAACCTCGACTCCCTGGATCTCGATCTTGGCATCGCCGTTGAGGTCCTTGCCATCTGCCTTGCTGTTGGTGAAGGTGATCTTGGCGGCATCCGTCGCCGTCACCAGCTTCTCCTTGGCAGCCAGTTCGCCATCTGCCACGGCATCCTCTACGGTGGCGTGGGGTGCCTTGTAGTTCTCGTTCTCAACCACCTCCATAGCCACTGAAGTGCTCTAGGGGACCTACTGCAGCCTGCACGTAAAAAGTGCAGAACCACACATTCAGAGCAGTCTAGCTATCAAGTATGTTATCGAAGGGCAAGAGAGGAGCAGGGGGAGTGGCTCTCAAATGTGGAGATCAAAGTCGAAATTGGGGGTATGATGTGCCAAACCAACGAAGGGCATCTGGCACGCCCCAGCGGGGGACAAAGGAATAATTTTGACCACCTGGGGATCTTTTGACGTGCAACCGAAAGCTCGACCTCTGCAATATGCCCCCGTCATATTGCAGGCACCTTGGCCGGGATTCGAACCAGCCACCTGGGGATCCGTAGGCCAGCGCTTTGCCTCGAAGCAACCAAGGCGCCTTGAATGTGGAGATAACCAATACCTCCAGTATAGCAAGGTCATGACTGAATTCTTCACCAGATGCCAATGAAGCGAACAGGCGGGACACGAGTGCTGTGTCAGTGTCCAGCCGCGACTTCTGTGGAATCTGTGCATCATGTGCGCTGTGAAACAATGGGAGAAGAGGAGGCGAGAGCACATAGGGACATTAGAATGCTGAGCTCTAGTTGGAATGATTAGTGGGTATACCTAAAGCTAGCTGCCTCTCTCCACTGCATTTGTCAAGCACGTTCGAATGCGAAAGCCAAACGCCCGATGCCTGCATTCTATGTTCCAATGCATTTGCAATGCAAAGGAGACAAAGCTAACTTTATGTCTACATTCCTACCAGAACTCGGCGTCATAAAGTCTCCACGCGCTCTACTTTCCTCCTCTCCTTCAGTTTCTCAGAGGATACGGGTCTCGGCCAAATGCCGACACAGCACTCGTGTCCACTCTGTACGCCCTGGCCTCCATACCAAGAGGTGTAGCTAAATTATTCAATAAATTCACAAAAAAAAAAAAGACTTCAGTAATTAACGTGTTTATTGCTTCTTTACTGTCCGAACCACAGTGATTCAAGCAACTATAACAATAAAAAATAACCTTCTTTTTTTTTTTTTTTTTTTTTTTGCAGCGTGCTGCGGCTTAACGCCACAGCTGCGTGGTACTACCTTTGCGGTAAGCCACCTGCTCCGCACAGAGCTCATTTCCAAGGTCTGAAAACGAATTCTACGCCTACGCATCACGTACTCAAGCAACGCTTGAGTGCGTGATGCTTACGTCACATGGCCCCTTCGCAATGTGGGGCTTTTACTGCGCAAAAGGCGACAGAAAAATATAACGGGTCTTCAACAAGTTACATCTCATCCGGCGTGGCTACTATTGATCCCCGGCACAGGGCTATGAGGTCAACAAGTTAAGTGCCGCACGATTGGCTGCTACATATTTCGTCTCTCAGGATAACAAGCGGCCAAAGTTCATCCGTCGATCTCAGCCAGCTCCGGCGTTGAGCCTTATCGTACCCACGGCGGTGATCGTACCACTATCATTTAGGGATCATTGTACAGGGTGTCACAAAAGAAAATTTACACGGTCTTTTTTACCGCAAAAATAAACTAGGCATCGCCGAACGCTCATTCTCCACCCAAAGGTAGCGCTAGAGGTCACAACCAGATGCCAAAGTTTCAGCCCGATCCGATAACTTAATCAAAAGTTATAAGTGATTTTCTGAAAATTTCAATGGGAAAATGGCGGCCGACGGAGTTTTCAAACACATGAGGCTCTATGGCACCAGAAACCGAAAACAGGCAAAAACAGGCTCCATTTTCCCATTGAACTTTTCAGAAAATCACTTATAACTTTTGATTAAGTTATCGGATCGGGCTGAAACTTTGGCATCTGGTTGTGACCTCTAGCTCTACCTTTGGGCGGAGAATGAGCGTTCAGCGATGCCTAGTTTATTTTTGCGGTAAAAAAGACCGTGTAAATTTTCTTTTGTGACACCCTGTACTCGTGAACATTCAGGATACTTAAAACCGAATTATTCGTTAAGAATTTCGCCTGCTCTTATACGAACATTCATACGGAAATCATAGGCTTGTGAGGAAAAAAGGCTTCTAGAATAAAATTGGCAACGAACTTGAGGCAAACTTTGGGGCCGCGGTGGCTGAGGCCTCTCGAGTTAGTCCTAGCGGAACGAGGTGCGGTGCTGAGCGGAAAGGTGGTTCTGCCCGATCTTCCCCCCATAGCGCCTTTTTTTTATCGGCGTTCATAGTTTTTCCCGTGGAGTTATAAACCAATAAGGGTTTTCGAAGATGTCAGACTCACGAATAAAATGAAGGATGTCCTCAGCTGCAGCTTGCTGAGGTGGCACGCAGACTGAACGACTGAAGTGAACCGAGTGAACAGCCGGATAAAGTCATAAAGTGTCGTCGGTGTCCGTCCAGCCGGGTACGTTATCCCTAGACCTTTAAAGATTCCCTAGATGACGCACGTTGAGCAGAAATTACTTTGTTAACAACAATTATTTTTAATTAATGGTTATCTTTTAATCTTGACGGACGTTTAGAAATGTAAAAGCACCTAAACATCATGAAAGTAGGTGCCTTGTAGTTTGAGCGTAAGCTGGATTTGAGGGTCCCTAGGGACATTCTAGGGAGTCGTCATCGTCAAATACTGCAGTAACTACAGCGTACTATTTAACAATAAAACCACATAGTTTTCTTTTTTTTTTTCTTTTCCGTACATGGCGCAAGCTTGTCTGAATGCGTCTAAATGGCTTCAGCAAAATACCGATCGCTCGCGTTGCTCGCCTTTGCTCCCAACCCAGCGCCCAACCGCTTGACAAACTTGGCCATTCGTTTACATAAAAAAAAGAAGGAAAGAAAAAAAAAACACTTTAGAAGATTCGTTTTTGGTGTGCTATGAAGTACATATCTTACAAACTTCCCGATTAAAGACTGACATACAGCAAAATATTTTCAGCAAGCTTGACAGGAGGTGTCTTCAGCAAAATTTTGAGTTCCCTATGCACCGCTTTTACTGCTTTTACTTCCAACTACAGCGCGACGCATGGCAAGCTGTTGACCGAAGCTCTCGTTTCACTCTACATGGGGGCGTTCTTAGTTTTCAAGAAAGTCTCGATTTTATCCCAAACGAAATGCAATTTTTGCACAAAACATAAAAAAAAACGGCGGTCTTTTGAGCAACATTTTAAAAGCTATCTACACCAGAATCGCGAAATCAACAAAGCAAAATAAAAAAAAAAAAAATAAAAAAAAAAGTGTGGAAGTTGATTTTTACTTGGATAAAATGTTGTAATGTACAAAACCATAATGTAATATAAATTCAATAACATGTTGTAATGTATGATGTATAAAACCACAAGGAACCCGACACGTAGGCTTCGGGCCCGTGGGCGAAAACGAACACTCTTTTGGATGAAAAAAACAAAGCTTTACTGAGAGGTCAAAAAACGTCATATACACAACTTCATCACAGATATTTGAACATCACTGTGTGCTTTGAGGTATGATAGGGGCACGTGATGGTCATCAGGGACACTGTGGCAAAACACCCGGTACAATCGCCATTTGCCCAACAAAGAGAGCCCGTAGACAAAACTGAGAAAATTGTTCTTTAAAATATGCTGAGCAATGCACCCTCGCTGCTTGGGACGAAGCACACGAGTGTATGTGATGATTTCGGTGTATATGCAAAAATAGGAATGGCACAGGTACGCCAGCGTACCAATGTTGGGAACGAAAAACGGTGGCGTTGCCAGCAGCGCCGCAAATGGATGAACATGAACAACAATGAGAATCACACGGCGAAATGTATGGGCTTTAAACAAAACTTTGAAACATATTGAGCGGAGGAAACATAAACAATGAAAGATACGTCATAGAAAAAAACCTTGTGCGGTACAGGGGCACCACCTCCACCTTTGCATGCTCCAAAGAAACGAGGTAACAAGAGTCCTCGAGTAAACCGACGATGCAACATGCAGTCGTCCGACCTCGCTCCGAGTGAAATCCCAGAGCTCGAAGACGCATTCCTGCATAGTACTCTCCAACATACACACACACACACGAGTCAAGAAATTAGAATAGAAAAATTCACATTCGTTCAAAAGACGGCAGACAACAAAACGCGCAACAAGAACTTTCTGTCAACAAGCTGAAAACGTGCTAGCAAAACAGAGAAGCCGCCGCGATCAACGGCCCTCGGCGGCAAACGCAACTTTCTCTGGCAGTGGGGCGACACGAAATACTAAAGTTTTTGGACCAAACCTCGAGGGACGTGCCATTTTGGGTCACACAAAGAGAGTGAAACGCCGAGCGACGTGATGCATCGTTGGGGCTTCTGAAAGAAGGCATTGCTCACACCGCCTTGCGGTACTTCACCCCCTCCGCTCGTAATACGACTTCCTGCAAGCCACCGGCACATTTGTGAGGTCGACCGTCGTGCGAGGCAGTTACAAAGTAGACGTCACAAACGGTCGCCGCGCACGAACGAGCGCGATGACGACGTCGAAAGTCCAGGGGCACCCAAACGACAACGGGGTCGAAGCTTCCGTCGGTGAGCTCAACGGCAGCAAGAGGATCGCTTCTTGGACGGTGCGCGTGTGAGACGCTTCACGGACAGGTCGCGCGAGGACAGGCTGCTCGAGCGCCACAGGTTCTCTTCCTGCAGGGTCAGAATGTGCTCCACGAGAGAGTTGATGGACTCGTCTGTAAAGAAAAAAAGAGAGGAGAGCTAGCATCACGCTGACCCCACTGTCGCAGAGTTCCAGGATGCCACTACCGGCATGTACTGAGATATATCGGGTTTGCCAAGACAGCAAAAAGAACGACCTTGAGAGGTGCTCAAGATGGCGGCCAACGGACCTCTCGAATACGTGGAACTGAATGGTGCCAATTACCGAAAAAAACAGGCAAGCGATTTTGGCACCGTTTCTGATAATGACTGGTACTCTGTGGGGAGTTAACTTTATCCAATATTCTTCCCCCTGTCTTTGTGCGCTGTACGTTTTAATCGTCATGCCTTATCAACATGCCCAAGCTTCAATTTTAAATAATATTCGCCACCATTTTTGAAAATAACTGATGCACCCCCGATTACCCCTGGGACTATGCATAACAATTGTTAAAAAAAAAAAAAAAAAAGAAACACTGTATAGGGGAATGCAAGAGCATCTCGAGAGATTGTGTTAAAAAGTACTTGTACCTTAATTTGAAGGTACATTGTATTTATAGTACACTTGGCCACAAAAGTTCATGGACCATGCTAGCTGTGGCCGAGCTGCATCACCACACAAACTTGCGGCGCAGCGCCCACTGTCGAGACCCGTAGCATGTGCATGCGCGTCCTTTGGTACTTGCAGGCATGTCAACTCTTCCGGTTCCGGCAAGCGCCGCTTCGGTGGCTGCATTGCTGCAGCTGTATTTTGGAGGCGCGATGAGTGGCAGAAGCCGCGACATCAACTCTATCACCCGCCGTCTAGCATAGTATTGTTTTGCCCAGCTCAGCGGCCAGGAATACAAAAAAAAAAAATATTGCATAAAAAAAAATATATATATATGCAGTTTAAAGGGGCACTAAAGTGCTTCTTGAGATCCTCGTTTTATGGTCATATTTCAATCTATGAGCCCTAAGCATTCTAAAAAATCCGAAATTACATTCATCCACGGCCGACTTGCATATTAAAAAAGTGACGGAAGAACCCAACACCTACCGTTGACGCAGGGCAGATAGCACTACCAAACCTTGCTGAATATGGTGGAATGACGGATGGCAGTTGTCAGCCACACGCGAGCGATGGGTCCCCGCGTGGACGAGCGGCTGACGAGTCCCGGTTGTCCACACGGGAAACCATTGCTCGCTAGTGACCGACGAGCGCAGTCCGTCGTTCGACCATATTCAGCAAAGTTTGGTAGAGCCATCTGTCGTTCTACGCCAACGGTAAGTGCTGGAATCGTTGATTACTTTTTTAATATGAAAATTGGCTGTGCATGAATGTAATTTCAAGTTTTTTAGGATGCCTAGAGCTCGTAGGTTGAATTATGACAATACGAGGATCTTAAAAAGCACATTAGTGCCCCTTAAGTGCTCTAGGACTACCTAATAAGATAGCTCTCTGGTAGTAAGTAGTTACAGAAGATTGCTTACGAAAGAGCCCGGTGCTGTAACAACACTATCATCTGCAAAATAAGCAGACAACCTTGCTCGTCGTATAAACAAGAGGGAAATTGCGGCCCCGAACGAGGTCGTCAAAAGAGGCGGCATGCTCACTGATGTTGATGTTCTCCTTGGCGGAGGTGAAGAACCAGCCGACAAAGCCGTGCTCCTGGCAGAAGTTGGTGAGGAAGCGGGCATTGATGGTGCTTCCCTCCAGGTCGCACTTGTTGGCCACCAGAACCACGGGGATCGGGTGACCATTCTGCTGCTCCACCTTCTCCGTCAGGTCCGCCTTCCACTGTGCAAGATGAAGCGAGCGAGGGAACCAGAAGCACCCTGTCACCAGATGCTGGCTCTAAACTTTTAAGGCTGGTTCAAACACATGCCTCTGGTTTCAACTGCTACAACCGGTTTATAAAGGCAAAACATTTATAGTCACTCATTTGCCTCAAAATTGGCTGAATGCATTATTAGATGCATCTGAACGTTGTAATCTGGGAGCACTACAGCTTGTTCCCGACAGGTTACAAGAGGTTAGATGGTATGAAATTAATGCTAAAAAAGCTCATATCAACAAAAATATTTAAAAAGGAACATGCAAAACACTGTTTTTTGGGCTGCCTGCTTCAGTTGCAGGTTATGCAACATGTGGCGTCACATCACTAGAAAGCACGGAAATATTTGAACGGCGGTTTCGACACAACTTTTACAGTATGTAGGTTCGCGATAGTTCAAAGTTTCAAGATTTTGGCTGTCCCGCCATGCTTTTCATGTATTCATAAGCTGCTTATTTCAAACGGCGTTTTCGTGTAATTCTAATTTTTTTGTTCCCGCGGCCCCATTGAGTCTGCTTCTTTCAGAGCACCGGTGCACTGCAGACAGGCAACACCCACGGAGCTTGCTTCTGCAGATGTTGCTTCTCTGCAGTGCACCGGTGCTCGGTGAGAAGCTTCCCAAAAAATGTTTACTTTGGGTAGCTCAAGAAACCTCCGGAGCTCCCCATTAGGCCTCTTGCAGCTGCTTACAACCAGCTATGCTGCCGCACTGCTGGTCGCAAGCAGTCACAAGAGGCTCAAAACTGGTTGGAGTACACTCATTTTCAAACTAATATAAGTGTACCAACCAGCCTTTACAGCATTAAAGGAATGCTGAACTTACAAAAAAACTTCTTTTGTTGAGTACTCAGATAAAACACATACTATGTCACAAAATAAAATTGCCCCCCACCCCAAAAGTTTTTTTGTTGCAAGACATTTTTGAGTTAAAGGGGCACCGATAACTGAAACCCCAAAGGTCATATTTGTTTTTGTTGTCAAGAACGATGCGAATTCTAGTCATAGACACCCAAAAAAAGTTTTCTGCACACATGCACACTTTTTTATTTTTGTTTCCCTTCTCTCTTGCTCCTAACCACCTCGCACCTTTTTATTTGCGACGTAATTGATTATGAAATTTAGAAGCTTTGTAAGCGTCATTTCTATAATATTTAGTAACTGCATTCATAAAACATGTGTTATAACGCAACTGCGAATGCACTATGGCCCTTCTTTTTGAAATACTGAAAATCGGAGTCTGGAGTGATGTCGCCTCCTGGCTTTTTATCCACCCTCGGAAAACATGGCGGTACTCGACGCATGTAGCACTGAGGATGATCGGTGAGTCGGGGAATCGGAAGAAGTTATCTTTTCTAGGTGCCCTGCGACCTCTCAAACTTCGAGAAGGAAATTGTCAAACAATGAAAACAACTGGGCTTGGTGTTCGTGTACCATTGTTTCGGTTGTGACTCCGCTGGGACAGCCTTTCATGCAGAACCGGCGTGAGGTGTCCCTTCCCGTCGCTAACAAAAGTCCACTGCGCATTCTTTTCGACCTCACACCATTTCAAAGAATTGGAGATCGCTGAAAGAGCCCTCAAAGAACTTCCATCTCGAGAGTGAAGCGTCGTCTGATCACAGCGATAGGCGGCCCGCACGGAGCGGTTGGCCGTGGGGACACTGGCAAACATGACACCGAGGCGCGAGAGAAACTCGAGTTGCAGGACAACTCAATCTTTGACAACTCTGCACTGGCGCGGATCGTGCGGAAACTTCAAATTCGGCTTTTGGAAATTGATTCTTAAGTTCTTAAGTTTTGAATACTGAGGGCAATGTCAATGCATCAATTTCAATCGTTTCAAATAATAATAAAAAAAAAATAATTTTGACCTGTCAGTGTTTTTTTGATTTTGGTATTTGGCAAAAGAAATAGAAGCAGGATTCGGAATTGCCCGTAGAGACACTGAACTTCGAAAAAATATTTTCAAGGTGCCTGGATTGCAGACGCATGTCAGAAAATAAACTCCCCTCCTCCTCAAAATAATTTACAGCAGTAATTATTAGGCTGTGAGGCCCATTTTGAGAAAGAAGCAAATCAGAAACGTGCTTCCATTTTGGTATATTGTCTCAAAATCCAGAAATAGAAACCGGCAATACAAAAATCTCACAATACTGAAAATGAGGCATGCAACCTTAACATTGCACCGAAAGCTTTTTCTTTTGGGGGGGGAGGGGGTGCAAAAATTTTAAGGGGAGCTGCGTTTTTGTTTTAATAACACGTCACCTAAACACTTATGAGCGTTCGGTGAACAAAGGAAAACAGAACACCGCCCAAGAGAGCTCAGCCGAGAAAACTGACGAACTCTCCGAATATTAATGACTTCTTTGTTTGTGCTAACCGAGTCGCACTCTATACAAAGTAAGCCAAGCCAAGTAAGCACACAGGAGTGGATTTGACTGATGTCAACACAAACACTTAAGCAGTACTTGTGTGCACTCCAAACATTACTTTGAAACGTCTCACAACTGTTCTTCTCATCAGCCACAAGGCTGTCATGTATGGGACAAACACCATTTGCACCGATCAGCAGAAGATGAGTCATATCATATATTTTCCCCAGTCACCCCAAGCAACATGGCATAAACGTTAAAGGTACGCATTTTGATGTTCTCCATTTTAAAGAACAAAGGTACTGCTGAAGTGCTAAAAACTGGGCTAGTTAGTACTGGAGAATAGGATGTATGTATGTCTCTCTTCAATCTCTTTTATCCTGTGCACTCTGTTTCTAACCTAAAAGGAGCTGTTTTTAAATAAAAAAACATTAACAGCAACAAGGTAAACAATGATGGGATAGGATGCACATTCTTGTAACAAATATTGAATTGTTTCATGAACACCCAGATAAATTTAGAGCTTGAAAAGAAGCTACATATAAGTATTAGCTCGCAATGTGCAATACATAGAGGCATACCGTATATGACAAAAATCTGGCGAATTTTACTGCCGCCTGCACAAGACAGGATGCGTGTGCGGCAGCCAAAGCTTTTGAACAGACATACGCATTCCATACTCGTTTCTGCCCTCCAAATTCCTTTCCCACCAACGTCCAACCATCAATCTATTGTCACCGAATTCTTTCTCTCATCGTTTTATGAAAAATATGAAAAGAAACAGCTGCACATTCCACACTGCATCAAAAACGCTTGATAAAAAGCAAGAGAGAAATAGCAGATGTCAGCATACCTTCAACACAGAATGCAAGGTGGTCGGCCTGAAAAAGATGAAAAAAAAAACAAAACAAAGTGGTTGGCACATTCCACGAAGATTCACATTTTGTAGGAAAACTACGCCGAATTCAATACGTCATGTTCTGCGAAAACTTTAAATGAATGTACTCCGGCAACCAATTTCTTGTTCTTTTTTTTAAATTTTGTCTTAGAGGTCGATGTACACTTTCCTCTTTTCCTATATCCTGTCCATTTTTTACCTTGCCCCAACTTGGCTCCCCTCGCAGCTTAAGAGAGGGGAGCGACAAGAAAATTATCTTTGCTGCAGAAAAACGAGAAAATCTGCGGAAAACAGAGCTAGAAAAGAGCATTACATGTTTCGCAAGTTTGAAATGCGCTCTGCAAAATGTTCATAGGCACGTATTTTAAACAAAATGGAACACCTCCATTTCTTTTTTCTTAACTAGTGCCACATCGCTAATTAGCATCACTAATCAATATTGTATACATAACCATAGGGCTGACTTCATGAAACACTTACAGTATTTTCCGTACTATGGTCCACGGACTTTACACGTGTTTAGAGGATGTAATTTTATGCGGTGCGGAGCCTGCAGAGATTTGTTTTTCCATGATCATTCATTACAACGAGTCATGTTCTGTGAATGATAGGCTTTGTTAATGATGCTTTCTGACGATACAATATTTCTGTGCGCTAATAAAGCAGGCGTATTTCAAGGCGTGCAGTGTACAAGAACTGTTTTTAGTTGCAAACTATTCAAGGAAAAACTTTTTTTTTTTTTCAGACAAAATTTGTTTTTGCGGATAACATACCAGGTGCAGACTATACACCTTTCCGAAAAACGCTTTTAGGCCGCCGCTATGTTGCTGATGCTAACGCGGCTGGTGCGACTCTCGCGCCCTCTATCAGCCAGAAATTTTCTGTCACCCTCTTGGACAGTGAAGACCCGCTCAGCGCGGTTCTCTACCTACATTTTTGCGGTTTAGCAGTCGACGTTTTCTCGCCCCTCTTGAAAGTTTCCACTTAATTTTTTTCTATGTGTGCTGTGTACCCTATCTGTGTTATCTTCTATCGTGAGAAATAAGGCTGGAAAGTGCCTGCCATCCAAGCTTTTCTGCTCGACACTCACGGGAAACGAAGGAGGTGAAGGACGTCGAACGACCCTCGACGCGATTTTGCAAACATTGTTCTCCCCCCTCCCAGAGATAATCCGCGTAGAGGTCTCAGCCATTTCCGAAAATAGTTGTCTGGGTTGGGGTGAAAACGGGTCAGTCGCGTTCGTTTCTTTGACTTGGTGCTGTTGTGAAAAAAGGAAGCTCTCCCCAAAATGGCTCCAAAACGAAGTCATCTTGGATTCCGTCCGTCAAGATGTGACTGTCCTCGACTGTGACTGTGTTATTTGAGATCTTTCTCAAATAAATTTGTTTTAGATAACACTGCATCGTATGGTACGTACAATATATTGTTCGAATGTTAACACTTTCTAAATTGCATGTCCGTGTTCTGTCCATTGCTAAACACGTTAGTTGTGAGCGTGAAAAATGCATGCCTTTCGGCTTTCTTCTCTTGTGATTTATGACAGCTAAGCGCATTGTCGTTTGTCATGCGGCGAATCGCGCGGAGCCGTTAAAAACTTATCGTAAAAAAATAACACCAAAAACTAGAACTATACATTCCAGTCGCATTTGTTCTGTCGTGCGCGTACCCAACAAAAATAGTTTATAAGTTTCTTTATGATTTTTTTTTTTTTTTTCAAAGGTGGTACAATGCTTTTACAGTGACCTCGGGAAACTGCATGCACCATGAAACACAAAATGCAGCGGGAAAAGACGAGAATTTAGCCGCCAGCAGTGTTTGGAACTGCGCCTACGCAGGGCTGCGCCTATCGGAATCACAGTCCACTCGGTTAGGGTTAGCAGGGACGCCGGTGACAGTCTAGCCTCAAACCCAGTGACTGGGCTCGAAAAGAGTTTACTGCCCCTGGGGTCGAGTGTTTATTGGAAAGGTGTATAGACGTTTGCAAGTATGGCCTCCGGGCGCCGCTATCTTACTGCCGGTGTGGGTAGATTGTCTGAAAGTCAAACATTGCTCAGGCATACCCCCGGTTTCTAGACTTGCACCCAAACAAGGTGTTTTTCATCCACAGTGGCCAGACCAGCTCTCGAATCGCAGCTGCTTGCAAACGTCTATGCGGTCCAAAATACGTGGTGAAAATCAACTGCAGACGACGACCGAACTTACCTCGACAGGTCGTACACCACTATTGCTGCAGTGCTGCAAGGAAAGACGGGGACAACAATAAACAAAGGCAATAGGACAAATTTCAAAGCGACAGGCAAAACGAGGAAATGACAGCTTGAATATTACTTACGCATATTTGTAGTATACCCGTGTCATACAGCCAAAACGCTCATGACCGGCAATGTCCCTTAAAGATCAAAGAAAGGATGAATAACTTCGGCAGTATCACATTAAAATTAAAAGTCGGTCTCATATATTAGGGAATTAATGAGTCTTAAACTGACATCTGGTGTCTCCAGTGGCGAGAGAAGGACAGTTAACTTGGGTTCTCAACATCAACAGGCAATATTAATTACACTAATGTTCTCTGGTATACTTCCTATCCTCATGTGATACATGTCAGTGCAAAATGTCTGACAAATGAATTTTTATCATAGATGAAGTAATGCTATATTAAAAGAGAGGAAAATACTACTTTGGCATACCATAGCTGAAGAGTGATGTGTTTCTTGTTGTCGTAAACAATGTGCTTCAAGGAGAAGTCCACCCCAATTGTGATCTTGTAGGCCTGATTAAACACTCCTGGAAGCAAAGCAGTCATGGAGACGTTCAACAACATATACATCTCTACAGACCATTGCAAAAATTTCTCCAAGAGTTTGTATGAACCAGATAAATTCATTCTGGAAAGCAGCATGGCATAATTTAACATGCGGGCATGATATTGCCTTGGCAATATTTTTAGTTACAGTGCAATCTACTTATGATGACACCACATATAATAATGTACCATTTATAGCAATCAGTTTCTAGAGGACGATATATTTTTGTGTAGGGTATCCAGTCCAGATAAAACGATAAGCGGTTATGACTATTGCATTTTCGGGCTTTCTCATTACCATTATATGTGGGTTGCACTGTGTAAGCAAAATACTGGCGAAACAATAGGTTTTAAAAATCAATTTCTCCCCATCAAATAGTGGCAACTATTACCTGATGGCATAAGCCCATTCTGCAAGGCCATCGCGAGCGCACACTCTTTCTGATAACTTAAGAATTCAAAATGCTTGATTGGAATTCATCTTTGGAATCCTAGCTCTCATCACACAAAATATATTAACCGTGTGCAGGCTGTAGCTAGAAGTTTTTTTTTTTTTTTTTTTCTCTCTCCTTACAGTGTCTATAACTTTACTCAACTGACTTCATCTCCCAACGTTAGTCCCAACATCACTAGCCCAAAGCTGAAGTTCTGCCCCAATTTGAGGGTTATGCCGAGAGAGACGAACTGGCATAACACATTTAGTGATGCCATAGCCACTTGCCTTCAGTGTAGCGCCGTATCAGGGAGGTCTTTCCTGGAGGAAAGGACAAGGTTACATAAAGTAAAACTGCAAATTGTTGACAGCACAAAAAAAAAAAAAGAATCAAGGACAATTGAAGCCAATCTGAGCACTCGAGCAAAGGAATCGCAAACTCGTTCAATGAGCTTACCGACTCCAAACTCCCCGACGACAAGAACCTTGAAGAGGAGATCCTCCACGTCATATTTGTTGTAGTCGAAAGTCCCGTTCAGACGATTGGCTTCTTTCGAGGTAAACGACATTGCAGATCAGCGTCTGCAGGGAAATGACTTCCACAATTACGCTCGGGAAAAAGGAAATACTGTTGTGTTCTATTAAAAAGAAAAGACAGCTATCTCTCACGTGAACTTTTTTTTTAGGGCTTATCAGACAGGAACAAAGGTAGATGTGTCCAGGTGATTTGCTGACACATTCCTGGCACCGAACTTTCAGCAGCCACCTAAAGAATACAGGAAACATTTTGTTTTCTTAAGCTTACTTTCAAAATAACCTTATGATTAAGAAATGTAGGGAAGATAATTATAACCGGTAAGTTATGCCTAGGGCTCCGTGTTTTTGGATAAATCCAAAAAACTCCGAAAAACACCCGCCGGTAAAGTTTTTGTCAATTCGGATTTATCCGATAACACCGAATAGTTATGTGCCTATGCAACCCCCCCTCCCCCCCCCCCCCCCTGTTGTCAAAAGGGGGTCTTACTGCTTGTCCCTTCAAGGTTAGTTCAGGAAATCAGGTCATTGTAACATTCGTGTCACTACAAAAGCCACTCTTTTGGTTTCCAGTTTTGGCCATGGGATTTGGAATTTAGAGAAAGCAGAAGGTATGTTTCTGGGGGTAACAGTGAAAGCTATGGACCATGGAGATTGCATAAAATAGGCAAGAGGGCCAGTGGAAACTTCTCTATTACATCCTTAACCACTCCACCTCGCGCAGCCGCGTGATAGATTGATGGGATGACTACGAGCTTCCTTACGGCTACCTACGGCAGTTTATTGATTTTAAGGTATCGACGTTTATCAAAGCGCCACTTGTGTGTGACTTTTGTCGTGGATAAATTAGTATTCTCAATGGCAATGGCACCAATGCCAAATTCAACTGAAGAAATCTTAATCGATACAAGCTCGTTTTATTTTTTATCTGGCATATGTTTGCATCCGGTTATTATTTATTATTTTTTTAAAACGAAACACTGCAAAATTAATCTCCGAATTTAAAAAAACTGGGGATTTACGAAAAATAAACTCCGATAGACACCCAATTTTTGCTAAAAAAATAAACTCCCAAAAACACCCTCCGAATTTCACGAAAAATAAACTCCGAAAACACAGAGCCCTAGTTATGCCCAAGCAGCACGGATTTTGGCCCATCATTGGTCAATATCTGGCGATGGACTTTTGGCCAATGGCCAAAGAGTGGCCAGTTATTGGCCAACAGCTGGCCACTGGCCAAAGGACCATTCCCAGTCATCGGACAATGATCGACCAAATCTGTGCTGCTTGGGTGAATACTATAATGCACAGTGCTGTAGCAGCAAGCTATGTGATTACTCATCTCTATGACAATTGCTGGATTGCGCTTCCCCGCTCCACAAATGCAGCCACCGGACGGCCATCTTCGGGCACGAAAAATGAACCTTTTGGAGCGTTGCGGAGGCTGAGCGGCAGCGTGCTGAAGAAAGGTTTTTCTGCTCGTTCGTCATCATTCGCCGAAGACGTTTTTTAAAACCTTGTGTAAACTGTAAGGATTCCCTTTGAGAACACGTGAATTTTTACGAAAGCGCAGCACCGCAGGAAAAGGCACAACTCGTTGAACTCGAATCTCGCCGGTCCAGCGGCATAATCAAAGCTTCATTGGCACGCCGAAGTGCTGCGTCTCTGTACCTTCGCACGCTTGAATACTTATCAAGAGTTGACGCAGTGTCAAAGTTTTGAAGGTGCGCCAGCTGTTCCGGCAAGTTGCTATCAATAAAGGGAAAAAAAAAATTAGTGGTTGCTATTACGCATGATTGACCATGGATCCCATTACAGCACAAATAGAGCAACGCTGTGGAGCAAGGTAGGTTTTCCGAACACAAAAGTATGAAACGGCGAGATTAAAACTTTGTAAACGCGGCCCATATGGTTGTGTGCCATCAGTCGCCTTCGCTGTACGCCCTTACCCCTCTTTTGTCTCCACTGGATCAAGCTCGTTTCTAGAACATGAGTGCCGCAAGATACAAATAGCCGCAGAGTAAAGTAAAACGCTGCTTCATGAGCACATACGTCTTCACGCACTTTAACTCGTGAAACAAATCCAGATTGCATTGACTCTTGATCGGTATCTAAGCGTGCGAAGGCACAGAAACGCAGCACTTCAGTGTGCCAATGAAGCTTTGATCACACCACGAGACCGGCGAGACTTGCATTTGACAACTGCTCCTTTTTCCTGCGGTGCTGCGCTTCCGTTAAAATTTCCAAGTGTTCTCAAAGGCAATTATCACCGTTCACACAGGGTTTCAACAAACTTCTTCGGCAAATGATGACGAACGAGCAGAAAACATATCTTCAGCACGCTGCCACCGAGCCTCTGCAACACTCCAAAAGGTAGATACTCCGTGTCCCGATATGGCCGTCAGGTGGCCGAATTTGCGCTGCAGCAACCAAGCGGGGATGCGCGATCTAGCAAATTGTCACAGAGATCAATGTATGTGATTGTGTGCCAAGGAACTATTCGAAATCAAGATGAACAAATTTATATAGTCAAGGTGCTTCTTTTGAGACATATAAGCAACAAAAAAAAATGTGTAAGACAGTTAGTAATTAATCTGGACGTAAACATTTGACAGAGATCAGTCTCGTCAAGGCAGCACTAATTAAATTAATATATACTTAAAAATTAAAAAAAAAAGATAATATGGTCGTTTATTATCTTTTGATTTAACACTACTTTCTTTTTCTGCGTGTTTGGAAAACCATTCCTGCCTAACTTTATTATATATATTTAAAAAAAGGAGAAACAATAAAGCAACGTCCCGTTGAAAGTTCTAAAAGAGCTCAAGGACGCGATCTCGTCCACTTGTGCAATCCTCGCCAGTGGACACGGTGCGACCTTGGCAGTCCCACGCCCGCGAGATATGCGGAAATATCGCAGTAGTTCCAATGCCAATTACTCGCAGTCCCAGACAAGATTGCATAACTAAACCCCGTTCCGCCTCACGCGAAAACGCTGTAGGTAATGCAACTTGATTCAGTCGGGCGATATGTTTTGTGACAGGTGACTTACCCTTGCAGGCAGAGTCCAAACAAATAGTTGCAAGTCAGCTGACAACTTGTTGTGGCTAGTTAAAAGAAATACATCGCTGGACGGAACAGCTAAAGGGGGTAATCACCGAGAACACATTTCCCGTTCAAGAATGTGGCCCGCGAACACACACAAGAGCTCACACAACAAGGCGCACGCACACACACACACGTGTCTAAGCGTCCTTATGAGTCACCTGTCGACCACCGACCAATAGGGTCCGCTCTCTCATGGCAGGTGACCGCAAACTAGCGGATTGGATCGGACAGGTGGCCAATCTTTTAAATTAAAATACAAACTGCCTAAATTAGCGTCTGAAATGTCTACCGAAGCGTGTATGAGCGGTACCAAATTGACCTAGGGCCGTTGTGTATTAGAGACTATTTTTTTTTTTCGGTTATAATTTCCACATTGAGCTCGTAACGGTTGGTGGATTATTTTGCAATGCGCGTGATTGATGTAATGAGGCGAGCGGAAGAATACACAAAGTGATTTTATGCATCGTGGCAGGCGATGTGGTTCCACCGCTACGCTTCTTAAACTTTAAGTTCGAGCTTATTGTACATTTTGTTAGTAAGCCTTGTCTGCATTACTTGACGTAGTTTATTCAATATAACAAATGATTGGTTAAATTATATATTTAACACTTGTTGCTACGAGAACTATTTTTCTTAGCAGTCGGATTAAGGAGTAATCTGGTCCGCGGAGTAACATACATTGCGTCAGAGACGAGCGAGGGGAACATTTTTCTTGTCTTCACGTGACCGGAACAGAAGGCTGCGGTTGAGGTGGCAAGGCGTGAACCCTCTTGAGGCGCTCCGTTGAAGAATCTGTGTCGTAAGTGGCTGAGTGGTCTTTCTTATTTTTCGGTACCTCCTTTAAAGATCAAACGACTCTGCTAATATTAGGTTGTACAGAAGCACTGTAGCATTCAAATAACGGCCTCCTTCCCAAAGGCGTAGCGTGGGCTCGAAAATCTACAAAATGGCGTGTCTCTTCGCCGCCTTTGTTCATTTCGCAATCGAACTACGCTAACTCCGTAGCCGCTTAGCCTTTCCTGAAACTAGACATTTCTCAATGCCATATGTATTTTCCGGCACTTTAAACCGCCAAACAGCCGGTTGTGACCAGCGTACCGACCCGTCGAGCTAAACTGCGTCGTCTTTACCAGGGTTGGAGAAGCCGCCATTTTGAAAGGTTCTCAATCAAGTTTGCGGAAGCGCCGGAGCCTGAACCCGGAAAAAAAAATAATTAAAAACTAATTGACTGATTAACTGAACTGTTCTCCGCAGCCTGAAGACGTCCCATTCCCGAACTCAAGTCTGCCTATTGTAACAACCCGTTTTCTTTTTTTTTTTTTTCTTGCTGTCGTTTCGCGTGGCGGTGTTCTAACTTGTCTCGCGACTATACTACGTGGACATTTTGATCACGCTCTTTTCTTTCCCATCTAGGTACTCGGCGAACTCGACGCCCAGAATGGTTAGTGTAAGGCAATATTTTTTGAATACTCTCTATCCCCTTAGCATTTCGAAGAACGTCCTGAAGAAGCGAATTTTTCGTCTGCTGGCGGTAATTTTAGGCTTAGGTGGCTACTGCTGCGCTAATCCGTCACATGCTAAGAAAACAAAAAATTCGCTGCTTCACTGTTCTTTACCCGTTCGCTCCTGTTGCGTTGGCTGTTCGGCTTTGGTTACGCACGAAAGTGACTCTGGGTAACCTTAGACGAGTGTTGCGGCTACGTGGAAGTCATGCCGTCGGATAATTTTCTTCCATCCGCGGCCGAGTGGGGCAGCCGAATAAGCCAGCCGAGCGCATTGGGAGCATCAGTTTCGTCTGCACTGCTTCCTGCGTTGAGAATGTTGGAGGCTTAGTTCTGATCTCTAACGTGTGAGGAACTGAAGATAATGGTGGCAATTTTCCACATCATCGGTGTTGTAGCATTTGAGTTGCCAGGTTGAGGAAGTGTTGAATACCTCATCGCGTTATGGCTAAATTTGGAGTTCATTATGACGTCGCATGCCGCCCTGAAAATCTGATTTTTCAAGTATTTGTGTCAAGTTAAAAAGTGGTCAGTTTTTCCTTTTATCTATAAAGGTGGTTCTAAACCTTTCCTAACAAAAAATTAATAGAAAGCTTGACTTTTGCCTGTGCTGCTTCATAAAATCCTTAATCGTGAACTTTATAGCTTGCCATTGTGAAAAAAAAACAGCTGCGCGAATTTCACAGCTGCTTGCAAGATGCTTGTTAAAGAGGACAATAGCTGTCGATAGCTGTTTGAGAATAGTGTGGTGATGGGTGCCGCCATCTGTGGTGACGTGGGCAAGGCGTGTGTGGAAGGTCTAGATTTCATAATGAGGGGAGTCCAACTGTGGAGAGTTTGCAATTTAATGGTGGTCACCACCTGTGCCCATTTGTGGTGAAGCTTAGACAGCTGCAGGCAATCAACAGTTGGGTTTCCTCCTCACTGTGCAAATGCAGACCATGTCACCCGATTGAGCAGTTGGTAACGCTAAAAATCGAGACTTACTAGGCTTGTGTGCTGGCTGGTGGCGAGTCGTGTATGTGCTGATTGGTGCTGCCATCTGTGGGCTTTCAGACCAAGCTCTACGTGGGTAGCCTCCCCGAAGGTTGCGACAATGCATCGCTGGAGGCCATCTTTGCCAAGTACGGCAAGGTGGACGAGTGCGACATCGTCAAGAACTACGCCTTTGTGCACATGGCCAACGAGGATGAAGCCAAGCTAGCCATTGACGCCCTCCACAACTCTGAGTTCATGGGTAGCAAGATCACGGTGGAGGTGAGTGAAGACTGGAGGCTGAGAAAAACCTCCGTTCCCATCAGACTCGTGGCGCATCTCTTGGCGTAGACTGCGGCGATTCTATCCAGGGGAATCTTCATTGGTAGGGATTGGGAGAGGAGAGCGGGCGGGGGCAAACCATATTATCCTGGTCTGTGTGCGATTATCCAGTTGTCTTTTTGAGGGAATTGGCTAATTTGAGCGAATTGCTTCATTGCAGGCCTCTCACAGCAAGGTGCGCCCCAAGCCCGGCATGGGCGGCCGCGGCCAGTGCTACCGTTGTGGCCGCCAGGGACACTGGTCCAAGGAGTGCCCACGCAACCCGTGAGTGCCCTTTTGCAAGCACTGTTTGAGACTTTGTTTTGGCGTCTGTTTGTTTAGTTAAAACTGGATAGAAGAATGCAGTGCTACGTGATGCTTCACTTTTTTATCCGTTACGCACAGACGTGAGGATGTCCAAATGTGTTGGCGCTTCAGTCGAGCTAACTCCCTACAGTCAGTGACAGGGTAACCACATAGTGGGTGCTTCAGCGTGCACTTGTTGCTTTCTGCTGAGCTTTGGCCGTGCATGTGATGGAGTTTTGTCAAAAGCTGGGCATCTGTGTTTTTAACCTGCCTCAGACCATGGTTTTGATGAGGGCCGCTCATTGGAGGAAAGAAACCAGGAACAAGGTGCCAACTGGCTTGCTCATGCCGTGTCATGTGTTAAGTCCTTCCCTTTTTAGATGAATTTAGGGTCTTCTGAGATAATGAAGATGATTCTTATCAGCTGGCTTGTTCCTATTAGTGGGTAGGCAGCAAAGCTTTTCGGGTAGGAGAATGGGGAAGCAATAAATGGACCTTCCTTGATTGGAGAGGACTGGGCTGTCGTTCCCAATCTAAAATGGGCAGCCATTATGCCTCTGCCAGTTCGAGCACATTCATATCGTGCCATTGTATCGGTTTTCATTGATTTCTCTCAACGAAGGACCTTTCAAGAAAGATAAAGTACTACACGCAGAGATGTGTGCTGAATGTGTTCGTCAAGCGTGATGGTGCCTTCCGGGAGGCAAGGTCGGGGAGTGCTTACTGGGAGGGGGCTCATTGCCAATGTGTCCGTGTAACTCTCATCGCAATTGCCACTTTCTTCCTGGGCATTGCAGGAATGCCCGTTTCGGGGCTGCGATGCCCATGATGCCTCCGGCGGGAGGCCCCCTGGCCCGCTACCCGAGCGTCGGGGGTCCCGACAGGCTGGGCGGCTACGGCGCCGCCGGAGGACCAGACCGGTTCCTGGACCGCAGTGCCGCCTACGGGGCAGACCGTGGCTTTGGGGCAGCGGCCGGGGGCTATGCGGACCGCATGCGACCCTACCCGGACCCCTACGAGCGCAGGGCGGCCCCACCTCCCCCATCCGCGCCCAGGGACGACTTCTACTACTACAGACGGCCCTACGAAGACTTTGGGTGGGTGTCCTCGGGGAAGACTGGCCGCATTGTCTGAGGGCAGCGAGGCGTCTTCGGTTCTTGTAGCATTATTGCCTTGAGGAGGCCTACGGGATCCCCCCCCCCCCTTCCCAAATTCAAGAACCACTGGTCTAGAGCGTAGAGAGACAGTCGGTTATGCTGTAATTAAGATGCTCCATTAACATCTAGCCTTTGGCTGTCTGAAACGAATCTGTGAAGCTTTGTCGTTGCCTGGTATGTTCGTGTTCAATTTGTCAGAGAGGGGGGGGAGTGCATGGACTATGCCTCTCCGGACCCGAGCGCTTGCACGCAGCACGCTCTGCGCTAGGGGAATTAACAAAACCACTATGGAGTGGGCATGCTAGTCGAACATGTGCATTTTCATAAGTCGGCATTCTCCGGCCTAGTGTAATGTAACATTCACAAGTGGTGAGCTGGACGCGATCTTGTAAGAGAAGCGCTAGGGTGTCAGCGATAGTTGTTGCATGTGGGTGGTCTTGTGTTTGCAGAAGCGGCTACTACGGTTCCCAGGAGGGTCCCAGCCAGAGCTACGGCAACGGTTACAGGTGAGCGGACCCTCCTCTCTCGCGCATAACTCATGGAAGCGGTGCATGCGGTTTGGTCGGTGTGGCAGGGCCGTGTTTGGGATTGTGCGTGCCTAGCCGGTGGCGGAGGGTGTGTTTGGTGTTCTCCGCCCGATGCGTGGGCATTGGACGGTGGTGGGACGTGGCTAACCAGTGGGCGTGTGTGCCTCTTTTCTCCAGTTATTCGGCCGATCGGACGACGTACCCCAGCGCGTCGCGTACCCCCGCGTTCTAAAGAGAGAGCGCGCGTGTCGCGGAGCGCCGGGCGGCACACACACTCGGCGGCACCAGGCGCTCGGAACGGACGGAGGAAGGAACGCGTCGTGGACAGAGAACGCGCGCTGCCGTGGCTCTCCGCCCTCGTCGGGACGGTCCTACGGTCTCGGGTCGGTGGCATCCTGTGGCAGCGGCTGCCACTCTTCGACCGGGCCCGGAAGGTGCCCGCCGACAAAAGCCTCCCCATTTTGTTCACTCCCCATCATACCTCCTTTTTTGCAACGGGGACCCGGGGCGTCCCCTCCCAAAGTCTAACCTCTGTTTATACACCCACCTGTTGTTTTTTTTTACATGGTCCCCTTTCCCCCCCATCATGTGAGTAGTGAGTTGGTGTGCGGAAAAAGTGCACCTTTTGCGAAAGTCTGTGTCTGAATAAAGCGGTGGCGGTGCGTCGCTGGCGTCCACCCACGTGAGTCAAAGAACGGCTTCCGCGTCTTTCATTGCTTGGTGGGTGGGGCGGTAGTCTGCTGCGGCGCAGTGGAGGTGTGGCGTCGTGAGACGGGAAGATCGGTTTTGGACCCGCTGCCGGCGTGAGACGGGACCGCAGACGAGGACTGTTCTCGGGAGCTGTCTTGGAAGTCGACCTGCCACTCATGGAGGGGGGGAGTGTTCACCGGGAAACTGCGCGAAACAAGTCATTTTGGTTTGACATTGGAACTCGTTCTGTTGGGCACTCTTCTAGAGGGATCGATCTTGCGAGCAAGTTGGTCTTCGGTTTGATTAATGCTGCTTACATGTAGCCCAGGTCCAAACCTCGTCTTTATGGTTCATTTCTAGCCTCTTGCAGTTTGTGTTCCAGTGACAAATCCAGACTTCACCATAGTGCCTGGAGCATTAAGACTGGTCCCAGAGTGGCTACAGATTGTTGGATATGTCATGTCAGTTGTGAACTTTGCAGGAGATTTTTTTGCGCAAGATAAGCGAAGGTGGTTGTCCCAGTTTGTAGAAGCTTCCATGAGCCATCAAGATAGCAGGCTACTGCCTCGTTGCTGCCACATAAGCAGGATCGTGGTGGCCAACTTAACAGCATGCCACTTCTATGATGTAATTGGGTGAAAATTGAGAAACTGAAACGTAGACGAGACGTGCTCTGGGCACCAAAATCTACGAAGATGAACGCCTGTTGGAGCTCCAGGAGCTGCGAACTGATGTAGTATCGCATGGAACTGGAGATAGTGTCGCGGTGATAAGTCAACACCCCGTGGTCAGTCTCTGCGCGGCTGGCATCTTCCCCTGCAGGTTGGCCCTGGTGCTGTGGTGGTACCGGAGGACTTTGGATCGTCCGGGACGGGCCACCGCCCTTGTGGCGACTGGTGATGGTTTGCAGTCTGCATTGGGGTGTTGGCTGGTGTGCGTGTCGTTTCTTTTCAGGTGTGCCTGCCACCGTGGGACCATTCATGGCGTAGGTATTGATAGCAATAAAGATGTTTTGTCATCCCCTCTCCAGTCTGGTAGCGTGGATAACCGGGACAAGTGTGACACTGGTGACAAAGGTTCATCGTGCTTGCATAGTTACCTCGAAGCTGGATGTCCAGAAGTGCCAGTACTTCCTGTCCTATTTCAAATCGAAAGCCCCTGTCTACAACACTTCATAAACTCCAGGGGTCATTACTGATCTTGTAAGTGTAATATTAGTTGCATGACAGGCCTCGGAATTAGGTCTTCGGCTACATTTCGTCCCCTTAAAAAGAGTTCTCGTGAGATTTGAAGACCCAAGTCCTTTCGGGCAGTGGCGACGCTAGGGGCCGGTAGCTTGCGGACATCTGGACATAGGATCAAAACAGATCCTATGTCCAAATGAAACGGTACACGACCGCACGCCGGTACGACCCCCAGGCTAGTGGTTGTACTCCACTGGCTAAATTTGTTTTGGAAATCGCTAAAGCAAATACAATAAAATTAGCGGGTTTTTTTTTTCTTATGTATATTAGATCGCGGGGTTTGTTGTACGCAATTTTCTCATTACGGCTGGTCCGGACGGCTGCATTCGAGCCTAGCGTTCGGCGATCCGTAGTTCATTTTTTTGCGGTTAGAAAAGTGCCACCCCTTTCCTGAATAAATTTTACTATTACTACTACTACCCAACACCCGTAGTGAATAATTAATGCTCAAGAGTCCTGGATATATTACAAGTACCGCGGTACACGTGATGGAACTTAGTGCCACTAAATAAGCTACGCTTCAGAGTAACGACACTTGGCCATATTGTGTCTTAAAATCATGGTTGCCAGTTATCTGAAGCTTCATCTGAAATCACAGAAAATGCTTTTCCGCCCTCCACAAATGTTTAAACCGTTCGCGACAGAGCAAAGCAATATAATACCCCTGTCAGACGGCAGCTAAAATGGCATTTACACCAAATGACATTCAGTGTAAATGTCATTTAGGCACTGCCACACGGCAACTCAAATGGCATTTAACCTAAATGCCATTTCGGGTAAACAGAGTTCCCCAAACCCATTTACGGCTTGCAAAGCGTACTCTCGATGGCAGCGCTCGACACATATTACGGGATTGTTTTAAAAAAAGAAGGCATATATTACGGAAACAATTTTTACATCGTTTTAATTACGAAAATAATTTCTTTAACGCGTATTTCGCACGCACTTTACGTTCCTAATTGTTTAACCTACTCACGACTCCAGTTACCCAGTAGGCCTAATGGCTCTGAACCGCTGAACTTGTCGTGTGCTCGCCTCGGTCGGCTCTCGGTTCGTTGGTTCCACTTGCGATGCGCTCCTCATTTACGCGTTTTTACGATATCGGAAGGAGCGCCTGCAGACAAAAAAAGGCGACCTGTCCCGCGAGACGTCGGTACTCAAACTATGCGAGACGAGCGCCTCGAATGGTCTTCGGTAGCAGAAGCGGAACGGCGGGTTCTGCACCGGCCAAAGGCGATTTGAGAAGCCCTCCGTTTCCTCAAGATATACGTCGCGCTCCATCACAATACCGAAACCTCAAGGAACATTTTTGGGTAAGATATAACTTTCACGGTGGGCATAACCAACAGGAGCACGCGAAACAATTAGCGGAGCGGACGGCCGTCTAGTATTCGTTCTGTGTGTGCGGGTCGTCGCAGCACTGCGTACCTCGAACGAGTTCATTGCACGACCGGCGTGGTCGTGGTTTATACTAGCTTACTTCACCTAGCAGCGCTTTAAATTTCGCGTTTGTTGCTCTGGCAACAGCTTGCGAAGTTGGCTGAATCTTTACTTGGCTGCCGCGAAGTAGAGATTCTGGGAAGAATGCAATACGACAAAAACAGTTTACTTTTCTTTAAGTGGTACAAATCTTGTAAATGCCCTGTTGTAATAAACGTAGTCTAGGTATTCGTCACCCTGACTCTTGACCGGCTTTTACATTCCCATTGACATCCTCCAAAAAGAAATAAAAAGAAATGCTGCGTGAAGTCAGTCTCTCAATGTTTCTATTTCTAGCTTTCTTTGATGTTGGATAATCCCATACTGTTTCAAAGCGAAATATGTTACGTGTGTTTACGTGATGCGTGCACATTTTTATTCCAAAACATCCTAAAAATTGTTTAATAATGCATTGCATATATACATTGAATACAGTTGCTGCACAGTTGCTACTTGAGATATTTACGTGTTCCAGAAAACATCTGCTGCTGGGGGCCACCATAGAAGTAGGCAAAGTAGTGAGCTGGCTACATTACAAAGGAATCTACAAGTTCCCGGGATCACTGTCTCTAAATAAGTGGCAGTTTCTTGCAGCCATGGCCACTTTTGTGACATTCTCCTCACTTGTTTTCAGACGTGCAGTGTAAAAGTATCGCAGAAAGCAACCTGGGTGAGGTACCTTCTAGAAAAGCAGCAATAAAATAATTGTGTGAGGCTGACGATGACAGTCCAATAGCCAGCATCAAGGCTGTCACTGGTATTGACCCCAAGATACCCGAGACTAGTGGCAATGTCAGTGATGATGCCACAAGTACCAGAACAGGCCGACAAAGCAGTGGTATAAGGGCCGGCACAAACAGTAGTGTGCAGCTGAGCTGACAAGAGTGAAAAGGAAAAGGCCACATAGCCATAGGAGCTGTTTCGGGTTGTTGAAGCAGCCCGACATGCCCCACTAGAGCACTCGGAAGATGCGAGTCGCAGTAGCAGTGCCGCGAAATGTTGGAGAAGCAACTGCTCGCATTGCGCAGAAGGTCGAGTGGGTAACTACGTTCAGTAAAGAAGGCGGTCATTGTCTTAAAGACGAAAATCGATTTCGTCGCTGCAAATCTTATGGAGGCGAAGGAATTGTGAGAAGGGAATAGAGTTGATTTGGGATCTAGGATGGATCAAGGAGTAAAGAAGGTAGCTATGGCTGTCAGTGGGTTTATAGTGCACAAAGGTGTGGAACCTGTGACCGTCACTAGTGACTTTTAAGTCTAGGAAGTTGACAGCGCATTTCGATATCAGTGAGGTAAACTTGAGGGAGGGGTAGGCGTTGCAGAGTGCAGACCACCACGTTTCCACCCTTATCGGCTGGCTTGGTTACGAGGTTAGTGCGTTTTCGAAGGGAGTTTAGAGCGGTAACTTCTTGTGGGGTTGCGTTGCGGTATTTAGAGATTAGTTTGCTAGAGGAGTTGGCAAGAATGCTACGACATGCTTTGATTGAACTGTCAGTTTCAGGGTGTTTGGCGGGAAGCAGGGTCCGAATAGTAGTCTTTGGGTTAATGGTGTCGAACATGGTGCGATTAAAGTTAGACGGATGCTGGGTGAAGTGGGCATCTAAAAGTAGGCATCAGAAGAATTGTTTGCTGTCCACATGTAAAAACAAAAAAGGGTAAGGTCGGCTTTGAAGTGCAGGAACGAAGGACGGGCCCTTCGATAAGATAACGTGTTCAGGGGCAGTGAGGGGTAAATCGTCTCGTATGGTGACATCATCAATGCGTTGGACGGCAGCCTCATCATTTCGGGGCAAGAGAGTGTATAGTTTCCTTGATTTACAGGTGAGACCATCGGCATAGAGATATGAGTTGACTTCCAGAATTTTGTCAACAAGTTTGCATGAGTGTGAATCGAAAGATGAGTCAAGGGACTTGAGGAGTCTTAGCGACGGTGAGCGTTTGGCGTAACTGGGCACAGTGGTCATTATGATATCTCAGATGTGCCTTCACTAGCTGGAGAGCAGCATTATCTAATATTTGTGACACTTTTGAAGGGCCGGAGGAATTCTCATTGGCAGGTTGTAAGGAGGGCCGGTCTGTTTGCACGCAAGACATGTCGGAGTGCCGCACGGCGTGGTACCAGGGAGCAAAGTCTGAGGCTTTGTGGTCTGGTTGCTGCATACTGGAAGGTATCATAAGTTGGGCTTCGATAGGAAGTTAGGGTGGGTGCTTTAGAAATAACTGTAGAGTCTACGAGGTGGAAAGTCGTTTTAATGATTAGTTTGCTGAGCCTGGGTACGG